TGTTTAATTGACAGTATTAATCATACACAGGACACTATTTTTGTGTCTTCTTCTTGAGACTGGACTGCCGTTCCTGTTGCCAACTCACCCATACTGAGGTGTAAGGTTTCTCTCAGTTTTTTCAGGTCTTTGGCTTTAAACCCCAAACCCTCTGCTAGCTCTACAGACCTGTACCAACTCAGCCAAAGGTGATTCATTTCAAGTTTATTCTGTACTGATCAGATTTTTATTTTTCGCAGCTTAAAAGAATGTTTCCTGACCTGCGTTTGAAACTACCTAGTAAACGATTACTAGGCAATAACTTTGATCCTGGTAAGCTTACTTGTTTGGGAATGAGCAAAGCATAATTATTTATTTTGGGTCTAGAAAAAGACAACCTAGAAAATGAAGTCGTGTGACCTGTAGATGACGTAGAAAGTGACGACGTAGAAAACAATGACCTTGAAAATGACATTTTAGTAAACAACAACCCAGAAATGGACCTTTTCCTCGGGTCTATTGCCACAGTGAGAGAAAATAGAACATTATAAACTACATTATATCCACAGCATATAAAGCACTGGACAAACTTGAATGTGATTAGGATCCTCGGTTTTACTTATTTTCTTATTACTCCTGTGTTATAGAGTTTATCAAAATAAGGCGAGAGGGTCTCAATGATGTCACACAGAAGATTTTCAGTCATCCTAAAGCCATTGAACTGTAAGTTGGTTCTGTTTAATTACTATTGTGCTTGAACCTAGTCAGTTCATTGAGCACTTAACCCTGATCAGTGCAAGTTGAGCAGGACTGCATAATTCTGCAAATATTCCAGCAGAAAAACCTTACATACCTTACATACCCATATGTAGGGGACAGCAGGAAACATTTTTCATGCTTTTACAATTTCGTAAAACTTAGTTTTTTTTTCATTGCTGGCATGGTTCGCTGGCTTGCAGATTGTCCAGCCTTCAATGAACACAGCTGAGGTTGCATGGGGGTTGATGTTCTGTGAAATTACAAGCATTTTATACAGTCAGTTTTAACTATTTAATAGGCTTCTTTCACGGGCTCAAACAAAGTCCCTTGTGGTTATACAGTCGACTCTCGATAATTCGAACCTTCAAGGGAAACAGAAAAAAGTTCGAGTTATCGGGAGTTCGAGTTATCGAGGGTAAAATTATATAGAAAATGTTTTGAAGGGAAATGAAAATTGCTTTGAGTTAGCGGGAGTTTCGAGTTATAGAGGGTTCGAGTTACTGGGAGTCGACTGTATGTCATGGGAACCAATAGATTTTCCTTTGTGGCAAGTAACTTTTCATATTGGTGGACAAGGCTGTTTAGACTGACAATTCACAACACCAATACTGGTTTCCCCATGAAATTAATGATGCTTCTGATTGGTTGTGCTGCATGTAAAATTTGCTTCAACCAATCAGAAGCACTAACCAGATCTGGGTAGTGATGCGTCATCAGTATGGAATTTCTGCTCCCATTTCTCACACATCATTCCTGAGGAAACCAGCTAAGTGGTGGTGTCGGAAAATGTCACCTGTTGTCTCAGGATACTTCTGATTAACTGCCCTGGGCAAGCAAAATTTTGAGAGCTGCATGTCTGAAGTACAGTTGAAATGCGAGTGAAAATTGGAATGACAATTTTAATGTTGTCATTTTTTGCAGACCTGAGGTGAGAGAATTCTTTAACCTTGATAATCCAAGGAATGCAGAAACTAATGACGATGATGATCAGCCAGGAGCTGACGAGTCTGACACTCAGGTAAAAAACAATATGACCCAGTTTGGATGTATACAACAAGCTTTAATTAGCTTCATACATTATACTTATTGTTTTATTATGAGCAATACCATGCACCCATCTTTACTTTTGCTGTACCCCATTTACCAGCTGTAAGGTGCCTCATTTTACCTTACCAGAATTAACACCACTCTTTGTAGGAGCAAAAAGGTTGTGATGAATTCCACCCCAGAATAAGCGCTGTATAAATGTCTCAGCCATTATACAGCACTTGCCAATATAAAATTTTTGTTTTAAAGATCAAGCCCCAATGAAAGCCAGCTCCCATCGTATGTACATGTATTCATTCTCATGTTAACAAGTCACTTGGTGGATCGTGCACATCTCAAAAATATTAAGCCAGAGTATAAACTGCATACCATAAACTTCTGCTTATAAGCCGTGGGCTTATTATGACTTGTAAGGAGTTTTAGGAGGGTTTATAAATGTGGGGCTTATAAAGTATTTCAAAACAAGCTAATGAACAATTATTCCTTGAGCCCGAATGGACTCTCAGTCAATAGCGGGCTATTGACTGAGAGGCCATGAGGGCGAGAGGAATAATTGTTTTAGTAAAATCCATCCAGTTGGTAAAAAATATCGAGACAAAACAACTGTAGCTGGCAAAACGCGATTCAGCCGCCATTGTTTTGGTTTTCAAAGCCGGCGCTTTTCGCCACTAGTGGACTATAACATATAGCCTAGTAGTAGCTCAACCAATCAGAACACAGCATTGGTAATAGATCACTAGTTGGATTTTACTAAATAGCAGTAGTGCTGATCAAAAATAATACTTAACAATCGCTCTTTTAAACTTTGAAAGGTCGTAAAAAATCGAATTAATTTCAATACAAGCTATAGGGTCGGTGGCTATATCCAGGGTGGCTTTATTTATTTATTTTTTCGTTTACAGGTAGATGGCCCATAACTACGGGAGGGTCGGGGGGCTTACAAGGGGAAGTTTACAGTATAGGTTTATACAAGTGTCCCATGCAGGTTTGTTGGCTATAGGTTAAGTTTGAAAAAAAAGGCCAGTGGTGCGTAACTGCTGAATCCCAGGTTGCCGATTCAAAAGTGTTGGTGCATCCTGTTTTTCAGACATGTTTTACTATAAAGCTTGTTGGCATTGGGCTCCTTTCTTCAGTTTGTTGTAGGTCTTGATATTGTTTTCTTTCATAGGCTAAGGATATGGATGGGATTGATTTAGGAGGTACAAATAATCCAAAGTGAGTACAATGTTTTCATATTTTATTACAGGCAGTGTAAAATGCAGACTGTGGACCTACTGCGTACCATTGTTTATGAATTTCACAAGGGTTAGAAAACAATGGGGCTATTGTTGTCATGTTCTTATTTGCATGGTGAAGACAATAGTCTGCAGTCTGCGTTTTACACTGACCAATGTTCTTTTAGAAAATGGCGTCTTAACGGCACATATCTTAAAATTTTTCCCAGGGGAAGCATGTCCCTAGACCCCCCTAGTAGCTTGCACCTTTGGCATTTTTGGGCGTGGCTATGCTGCTCCACAAACCCCCTTTTTTTCAGTTGACAGGGTTGGAATCTCTGCAGTGGCCACCCTATGGTCTAGAGAGGTGATTACCTCACCATGCTGATAAAAAATTTTTAAGTCAAATCACATGCAAGGAAAGTGATGTTTTCGGAGAAGGGGGTTGGGTAGTGTGCATTTGGAAAAATGTACGTACATCTGGAAAAGTCCTTGCTTATGATTCCCCTGCATGAATCTTGAATATCTGAATGCAACAGTTCATCAGAATTATATTTTTCTTCTCTAGAGCAAAGCCTAGTGATTTCCTTTTCTTGAAAGTGATAGGAAAAGGGAGCTTTGGAAAGGTAAGTGAAGCATGATTTTCTTCAAACCTTACAATTTCCACTTGGAACCCAATTCTAATTTCATCTTGTTTCCTAAAAGGTTTTTCTTTCCAAGAACAAGGCGGAGGATAAAATCTATGCCATTAAAGTTCTGAACAAGGCTATGATAAGAAAGAGGAAAGAGGTTAGTCTTAATTATATGGTACATCATTTAATTAATTTATTTCATGTGCAAAATGAGTGTAGGATTTGATCATGAGATACCAGTATTATATAAATGACTCTGAAGTTGAATAAAAATGGTCAGCAATATGTGAGAAAAGTTAACCAGACAAGTTCATTTAAGATGTAGATACCATACACGTGCAATGACAATGGTGCATACTGTCAAGTGGGGAGTTAATTTTACATTTCAATGCTGCTTTTGCCTGTACTTTGATTGTGTATCTATCCAATAAGTATAAGTGTAAAATTATTACCTGGATAGGCAACTTGCTAAAAATCGCAAAAATCGATTTCCAGCAAGAAAAACCATCATTTGCAAAGTTAGCTGTCACAAAAGTCACACAAAATCACCCCTTCCTTCGCAAGATTATAATATGAAAACTAAGTGTAACGCAATGCTATTTTTTAGGCAAAGCATATCATGGCGGAACGGAATGTTTTGTTGCAGAATATTAAACATCCCTTTTTGGTGGTAAGACTGATTGATTAATTCACATTTAAGGTACACTTTTGCACTTATGTCCAGGATTGAACTCTTTTGTAAGTAATTTATGGATGTGTAAAAATAACGCCATAAGTGATATTTGATATAATGCCCAATTTCTCCCATTGTTTCACAAGGAAATAGAGGCTAACTTGTAATGAGAAATAATTTCTCAGTATGGTTACTTGTGGGGACTTTTTCCCAGGCACCCATTATTTAACCATAAGTGACAGCCTATTTATCAATGTTTTTAATCACAGGGTCTCCACTACTCTTTCCAAACAAGGGATAAGCTATACTTTGTTTTGGACTATGCAAATGGTGGAGAGGTAGGTAGAGAGTCATAGGGTAAATTTATGTTGTGCATATATAACCATGGGCAGATTTAGGGGTCAGCCAAGTGGACCACGGCCACCCCATTTCCTGTGAAATTTTGTATTATTTTTAAATAATTCTGAGAAAATATATTAGGGTCCATTGGCAGATCATTGCAGCAGTGAAGGGGAGCAGCCCCCTGTTTTGGGCATAGAGCAACCCGTTACCTCAGGATTTGGTCTGGATCTCGATCAATGAAAAGAAAAGAAAAATGTTGTTTACAGTTCAGCTACACCCTGGATTAAACTTGACAATCTTAAAAAAAAAAAATCGGAATGGAATTTCTCTGTTACAAAGTCAAAAAGGCCCTCAAATGTATAAAAGAGGACATGGGGTGATGGAGGCTACCTCTCTGTATATACATACATGTATGGGCTCCTTATTTCCAAATATTCATGCAATGAGATTAATGATGGTTGGTTTTTTGTTGTTGTTGTAGCTTTTCTTTCATTTGCAAAGAGAGAGATATTTTCAAGAAAGCAGGTAAGTATTGGTATAGTGCCAGTATATAATTATAAAGGATATTACATAGCCATGCAGAGTTACAAAATTTTTCTTTGAGTGCTGGACAATATTTCTCAAGTGAGTACAGTGAATAATAAAATTTAACTGTTTTTCAATGCGAGAAGAAAAATGTTGTATCGCTAAGCGGTCATGTAGTGTTCTATTTGTTTATTCTAAACACCAATAAAACATCAAACCAATTCACTTAAACATTTTTTTCTGTTGTGAAAGGCACAATCTTATGTAACCATAGCAATGGTGACCTTTTTACGTGTGAAGATAACATGTTACCTCTTTGTGTGAAGATACGTTTTTGCAAGAAAACGCACCTGCTATTTCAATGGTGTTTAATATAATATTAGTGTATATCTATGTTATGCTGAGGTATGTCTATTCATATCACCGATGGTTTGGTAATGCTGACAGGCAAAACAAAGTTATGTCTAATTGAGTTTCTTTTGGTAGAGTTTTTAGCTTTTCAGGGTGAAAACAATATTTCAGACCAAAGCATTACAGGATTTAAAAAACAGAGTATACAGGAAAGATTTTTAAGAGTTAAAAACTCATTAATATTCCGTGGCGATGAACTGTTGCAAAATTAATTACAACATTGATAAGAAAATTAATCACATATTTAATAAGTGGTTATATAAATATGGGGAAAATTGACTGGAGATTTCAGCCCCAATTTTTCCTTCAATCAGAAACCCTCCGATAAGTGGAAGAATGAGCGGATGTATTGGAAAGATTTTTAAACCATCTGATAAGCATTCGCTTTTGGTTATATAAAGTCATGTGAACAGTTGAGCTGCAGATAACCTAACAGTGTTTGCTGATGATTGTGTACAGCAGACCACTTGGGTGAAAACACGGCAATAATTTTCATTGCTAATGCATGCACAGACATTTAGTTTGCTCGGTTTATAGAGAAGGCATTCAATTTTCCTTGAGCTATGAATTGAGAATAATATTATGATACATTTTATTACCAAACATTTCAGGGCAAGATTCTACGCAGCAGAAATTGCCTCGGCAATAGGTTATCTTCACTCTCTTCAAATCATATATAGGTAGGTCACCAATTTCTAACAAGTGCAAGCTGTCACGAAAATTTCATATTACTTGGTGTGTTGCCGTCGTAGTTTCGTAAGATCCGTAGTGATGAAGTAGATGCTCATGCAAAATATTTTTTTACAAACGGCTAACTTGCTCTAAAATGGACATTTGTGGGGCTGACACGTCTCAATAAAGCGTCCATCCATATAAGTCTTCTTGTATAGTGATTAATTCTAACGTTTGAGTCTGTGGACCCTTCAAGTGGAACCTCTTTCAAGTGGTGCTTTTTGTTTTTCAGCATTTTATAAAATGAGATTTAAGAATTTTGTTAAATTTTAACTTTGGCTGCGTTTTGGAGTGAAAGGGATAAAGAGGTGACTACATCACAGAGAATCAAAGAAAACCGAGTGAAGAAAGGGTGCTATCTTAATTGGTGTTTCAGTCGGACAGGTGTTATCACCAAATTACATTTTACAAAAGATTGAAAAAGCACTGAACCAACGATAGTTTCTGCAACTGCTGAAGAGAGGATCCGACCAAGTCCAGGTGTCTTTTTACGAAGGTCTCTGTTAAGAGAGCAATTAATGTTCCGCCAGTCACCGGTAATTTAGCGTTCCCATCGTTTTTAGCATTCTATTAAAGATGACTTTAAGTTGTTAGCTGATCGAATGAAGAGAATTTTAAGGCGAAGGAGGATATTGGCTCATTCCATGTCAGTGCTTTTCCCACAGTAGACTATAGGTAACATTACATTTTTCATTTTTCAGGGACTTGAAGCCAGAGAATATTCTTCTAGATTATAAGGTTTGTTCACCTCAACTAGCTCCTTGCTATTATTTGTTCGCGATAGATAATGTTTTTACAATTTCTACGATTAACTTCGAGCAATCACTTAACGTAAAAACTGGTGTTTTACAATGTTTTTTTCCCGGCAGGGTCATATTGTTTTGACAGACTTTGGACTATGTAAAGAGGGAATAGAATCTTCTGGAACAACCTCAACTTTCTGTGGCACACCAGAGGTAATTCTTTACAATAACCTCAAACAATTGTCACTATGTCACCACAAGTTCATTGATCTGTTTGCCAAGTCTAGTTTTAGAGAGATCAGAACCAATAAAATTGAAATATTCTTACGAATGTTTATGGCTTCTCGAGTGATCAAAAATCCTTGGTCAATTTTTAACGGAAATTTATGCTTGTGATATCCAAACGCTCTACACAATGTAAATTCCTTAGTTGCATGGATGTGAATACTTAATAAAAATTGATAGCCTATATCTTCAGGTCACCAGGGATAGACATTCTTTTTACTAGGATCTGTATTTGTAATAGTGACATGCCCCACCGAGAGCACAACTTGTACCTATTTTCGATATTTTTTGTTTCTCTTGTTGGTAGTACTTAGCTCCAGAAGTTCTTCGGAAGCAGGAATACGACAAAACAGTGGATTGGTGGTGTCTGGGTGCAGTCTTATACGAAATGATGTATGGTTTGGTAAGAATTCTAAGTATTAGCCGGCGAGAAAGCTATCTAGTTTAAGGATATCGTGAGAAGTCATGCGCGTGAGGGGGAAGGAAAGTAAAGCTCTCCTTTCCACTGCCGCTCGCGGCCACTCGTTCGCGCGTTTTCTCGTAGATCACCCACGCTTGCCAATCGGAATGGAAAGCTTGCTCGCAGGATACTCTCGATACTTGATTATCAGCTTAGCATCTTATTAGTTTAAGCGCGCGTTACTTTAGGAGAATACAAAATAATATTCTTATTCTCTGATTCGTTGGATTCGTTTCGGCTTAGATGTCTCAGTTTAATAAATAGATGACAGAAATCATTGTTATGTTTACATTTAAAAGAAGTCAAATTTAGTTTAGTTTTTATTACTTTGGGTCCATAAAAAAAGGACACTCAAAATTTCTTTCTTTCCTTCGTAGCCTCCATTTTACAGCCGTAACACAGCTGAAATGTATGAGAATATTCTGTACAAACCGCTGCGTCTAAGGACCAACATTTCCCAGAGTGCAAGAAACATTTTAGAGGGGGTAAGTGACCAGCTATTGGACGTTCGATGGTTTGTCTGCCAAAAGAAAGTCAAAACAATTTATACGTATATGAACTTTTGAAAAGTGGGTGAAACATGATCGTCCGGGTGAGTGTAGTCCGAAACTGGCTCGTTGACGACAGTGACTCTTAGGGAGCCCAAGCAACAACCACGGCGACGGCTACATAAACGTCACTTAAAAAGTGAAGTCGCGCTACTTCAGACGTTTTCGCGCCTATTGTATCTCGCTCAATTCGTCAAATGTTGTACTTTTTTTTCTGGAGTTGAATTCTAAACGACTCTATCGAAGTTCAGGAAAAGATAAAGAAAGTCGTTGTCTTGAGTTCACTTCCTCCTCAAACGTACAATTATGCATTTTCTCGTCGTAGTCGTGCCGTGACGGCAAAGAACTGTACAAAAAGCGCGATGCACGTACAGATTTGTTGTTTTGCCAATCTAAACCAATTTCTTTTTTTGCCGTTTTCGTTGATGTCGCCTTGGTCGTTGCTCAAGCTCGCTACTGACGTTTCGATAACCTATGCAGAGGTCATCATCAATATGGACTGAACACCACTCAGCACCATTTGCTTGCGTCAAAAGTCTTCACAGCCGAAATCACGGCTTGACTGACAGACGACTTAGAAGCTGTTAACATGGAGGAAAGATCCTAGCATCAGAAGGATCCTAGAAGGTGGATCATTCTGGCGCCTTATGTTTTTAGCATTCAGTTTACATCTAATGGGTTGTACTTGTCCCTAGACTGTTCACAGTCCTCTACTTTTCCGTAAGATCATCGAGATCGAGAGTTTTGCGTTACGGGCTGCCATTTTGCATGAGTGTCAAAACTACTTAGGGGGCGGACCGGTTTGGGAGGAGACGAGAAAAATGGAGGGACTGTAAGAACATCACTTCCCCCCCACCCCGAACTATAATCCCCGACGCGCGCCCCCTCGGTACATTTGAAAGTCAAGACAGCCGTGACGGTAAAACGCGGTATATCTAAGCGATCTCACGAAAAAATAGGGGACTGTGAACAGTCTAACTTGTCCCTAGCACTAGGATCTTCCTAGGTGAGAGATAGGAAGATGCTAGCCCCAGGTAATCTGTTTTTGCAAGGAAGATTTTAGTTCCAGGGACAAACCAGACAAAAATGGTGGCGGGTCGTTCAGTGGATTATCACGGGAATAGAGGCCGAACATTTCGTTTGGCGTTACTACGAACTGGTGAACTGCCAGCTGCTGCTGAAAGGTAGTTGTTAATGCCAGTAAAGAGGCCGAAATTGAAGATTTGGTGTTGTCTGTACACAGGCCACCCGTCATCTTTTATTTCGTCTCTACAGTGAAACCTCTATTAGGCGGACCCCAATTAAGCGGACACACTCTATTAAGTGGACACTAAGCCGGGTCCCCAAATTAACGTCTTATATTTCCCTTTATAACGAACTCCTATTCAGCCGACACCTCTATTAAGCGGACGCGGACACTAAAATAGATTGTATTTGGCTAATTTCTTTTGTTAAAAACCTCTATTAAGCGGACACAGGACTGAATTGACAATAGTAGTATTGGATTACGTCCAATACTACATACGTATTACGTCCATGAAAAACGTACCGTAGTCGATAAATAAAGATAAATCAATATATTTAGCTGTCAATAAACTGTAAATTAGATCGATATCCGGCCGTATGATTGTCATCCGCGTGCAACAAACATTGTGCAATTTTTACAAACCTCTATTCAGCGGACACCCTCTATTAAGTGGACAGTTGAGAGATCCCGAAGGTGTCCGCTTAATAGAGGTTTCACCGTATACTTGAAAACCGCACGGACCAAAATCTCTGCATGTAAACCCAACAAAAAGTTGTTCCGCCTTCCAGGATCTTCCTACCTCCATGCAAACAGCCCCTTACAGCTAACGCATCTTTTCTATTTCCTACGAAATAGTATTTTATCACTTTTGTGATGAAAATATTTCTTAGCCTGTGTGCAGGCGTCTTCTATTTCCTTTGTTGCTTGCGGAACAAAGAAATATACGAGTCTTTTGTACGCAGGCGAAATATTTATGTGATAACGCTTTTTTTTTGTCGCTGATAGCTTCTTCAGAAAGACCGTACCAAGAGGCTTGGACAGGGACCAAGTGATTTTGTAAGTAATAGTTCTGCTACTAAATACATTCAAACTCTGCATTATCATCGCCGAGAATGCTATTGTCTTTCGGGACATGTACTTACAGCGCCCAGTTTGTCAATGCAAGGAATAACAATTAGATGAATTGAGCTTTTGGAATGCCGACGGGCCTCGACAAAGAATCTGTGGCTCTCAATCAAACCGTTTGATGCAAGAAGCTTAAATCTCTAGGTGTGACTGGAAGTTCAAGTGATATTTTTTTTGCTTTATTTCTGTAAGACCAATCCAACAAGTGCCACATGATCACGTTTTCCCCCATTTTCTACTTCTGCCATTATCATCACGTGTAGATTTGTGTTCCTCAATATTCAACGCTTTTCAATCCTCTGAGTTTTTTCTTACTTAGGCGAGAGAAGTGGGAAAGTAATTATAAATAAAGTGATTGAAAAGAAGCGAAACGGCATTGGAGTTAATTTCCAAGTAACTAAAGCTTAATTCGGCAAAAATTCTCTAGTACACACGAAGAAATCTGTCCCTGCGATGTGTCTCCGTGACATGTTGCTGTAACTTGTCGCCCAGTGTATTCCGACCTAGGAAGTTGAATCTGGCACAGTGAATACCCTGGGGTCAGAGAACAATTTTAAAGTACTGAGAAAATTGTACCTAGAAGCATGGGCTTAGCTGCCTTGTTTTTAGAAGTTGTACTTTATCGGCAAGTCATTTTAAGTTTAATCAATCGTTTTTCTTCCTCAGGAGGACATAAAGAATCATCCGTTCTTCAGGAACATTGACTGGGAGTCGTTGTACGAAAAGAAAATTGACCCACCATACAATCCTAATGTGGTGAGTAAAGTCAAGTGTCACAAGTGAATGACTGCATACAATGTGTATAAATACTCCAAACCTGGGCTTTTTAGTCACAATGTTTATATGACTACGATATTATAACAACGTAGAAAAAATAGCAAATTAGTAGAAAATGTATACGTTGGGACAATTAAAAAAATGGGAACATATTTTAAATAAATAAATGAATGAATAAATAAATAGATTTCATCCAAGCTAAATTTCATCACTCAAAAGCGCATTCAGTAGACGGCGTCTGAAAATTGTCACATTCTCCTCTACTTTAAAGTCACTGGAAAGATTATTCCACAGTTTGCATCGGAGTACGCAAACATAAACGCTGCCAAGACGACAAGCGACATATAGGGATATGCAATAGATTACACGATCTTGTGGCGCAACCATGAAATCTAACGAAGAATGAGAGGACAAATTTATAATTCTCTTTCCGTTATATATTAGGGACCCCAAGCAGCGACAACGGCGACGGCACTGAAAACGTTATTGGTAGAGTGAATTCGTGCTCTTTCAAACTTTGTCACGTTTTTTCCAACGCGCTTAAACTGTGAAAATATGTGGGCGAATTCCCGAGGACCGCATCCAAATTCAAAAATTGGAAGAAAAATTTGTCGCTGTGTGATTACGTCCTCAGCAAAACGTCGAATTAGCAAATTTCACGTGGTAGTCGTGCAGTGACGACTAAAAAATGTACCAGAAAGTGTAATGCACAAGCAGAGTTGTTGTTCTGCTCGTTACATAAGCTTCCTTCTAACTTCAGGGACCTTAAGATCCGCGCGAACGGCGAGGGAAGCGAAAACCTCTCTTAAAAATTGAATTTGCGTTCTTCCAATCTTCATCGCGATCATTCCGACTCACTCACTTAAGCAAACACTCCTTGACTTGAATTCCTGGAACCATATTCAGGATAAGAATGAGAGAAGATTTCGTCCTGGCTTGTTTAAGACTCCCAGAAAACGTGAAACTAGGCATTTTGGCGTCGTAGTTGTCGCTATGTTGCGCTGAAAATCGTCGTTGCAAAACGTCCCGTGTAAAGCTCAGATGTCACCATATGGTAACCGATCGTTTCAATACAAACCCAAGCAGTAAACCTGCACAAAAATTTCGATCACTTCAGGTATAGTTTGTGCGTGAAAAAGAAACACATTGTTGGTGAATATTCTTCGTTCTTAAAGCTAAGTACGTGAATCTTTTTACAACTCGAGTGAATAAACTTGTATCGATACGACCGGTAACCCCGCTTATGGGGCGCCATCTTTGAACTTATTGTAATCAACCTAATCCGCGACATGTATTGTGTGAAGTGAAAAAAGGGGTGGAGGCAGATCATACCATCGGGAAACTCCCCTACTCGTTTTTTCGAACAGAGGCTTTAAGTGTGCGTTCTTTTACGACCCCTACGAGTAAACTAACGAAGGAAGTATATGGGAGACAGAACCAACGGCTTAACGTCACCGCCCAATGACGCGGTCATCCTCAATTAACCCCCAACATATTCTCATCAGATATTTTTTTATTGTATTTTTATGGTAAGTATATGGGTAGACAGAACCAACCATCCGGGGATCGCCGACTATATGGTTTATACGTCACCCCTCGTGTATCAGCAATGACGCGGTCATCCTCAATTTGACGAAAATTAAATACTTTAAAAAAAAACAAATTGAAAAAGTATTTTCTCAATGGCTTTTACGGCCAAGATATTGTCATGGCGTTTTCGCCACCTGAATATTTTTATTGTATTTTTATGGTAACCCCAGGACCCCCCCTCCCCCTAGCTACGCCCCTGAGCTTGTTTTTGACAAGTGGTAGTATATTTTCTGGTATGCTCCTCGGATACGGAAATACGCAGTGTTTCTCTTGATACTTACTTACTTTATTTGACAGAGTGGTCAACTGGATCTGAAGCATTTTGATCCTGAATTTGTTCGTGAGCCGGTCCCAGGTTTGTTTCTGCTTCTTTACTTTAATATTTTTGCAAACTTTATAAGATAACTCTGTTTCTTTTGTCTTTGCTCCATATTAGTGCTATTTTGAACAAAATCTAACTGGCATTTTTCATTTTTGTCGCCCGTTCCCCTGTAACAAACTATTGAAGTAGTTTGTTTGGAAAACCATGATCCGTTTTCGCTTTAAAAAACTGCTCTTCCTTGGCATACATCATACCTGACTTGAAGTTTGCATTCCAGTGAGGTCAAATATGCGCCATTATGGAATAAAACAACCTGGGGTCATTTCGAAGGTAACTGTTCACAGTCCCCTATTTTTCCGTAAGATAGTCGAGATCGAGCGCTTCCCGGTACAGGCAGCCAACTTGGCTTCAAATGTTCTGAGTTTAGCCTGGGGATGAGTCTCAAATCTACTTAGGGGACGGAGGACGCTTTGGGAGGTGGCGCCTCCCTCCCCCCACCGCTATAAACCCGGACGTCCACCCCCTCGGTATATATGAAATCAAGATGGCCGCCTGTGCTGGTAAGCTCTCGATCCTGACAATCTTACGAAAAAATAGGGGACTGTGAACAGTTTATTTCGAGGGATTTAGCTTTTTTTAATAAAGTCTTATTGACATCTACTAGGATGCTTGGCTCCGTCGTGTTCTGAGTCCCACGGTGAATCAACCAATCCTTTGAGTGTCTATGATGCTTCACCTATCGCGGGAAACAAACTTGAGTGTGACATCTGTTACCTCGGCATGTAAAATCAGGGTCGTACGAAGACGGAAATTCTTACCGAAGCATATACATGTGTCAATTTCTTTTCAATGTATTGCAGTGTCAGTTGGATTTGGAAAATTTTGCGTACCTTTTGAAAAATTCTGGCTTCGCCCCTAACTCATATCGTGACTAACAAGTATTTATTTCAATCCCTAGGATCGGTGGGTAAATCAGCTGACTCAGCTTTCTTGAGTGCCAGCGTGGATGACCCTGATGACGCCTTCGTTGGTTTCACTTACGTTCCTCCAACAGAAGATCTACACGAGTGAAAGTCACGATAAAGGCTCTGCTGGTCGGCCTTGTGCTGGTTCCTGCCGCGAGAATCAAACAAGTTTCAATGTGTTTTCACTAACGTACATGTCAGTAACAGATGATTGACTACGATCACGTGTTTTCTTTTTGTTGGGGTATGATGAAAGTTTGTAAAATAAACAGAAAATTCGAGAGGTGAGACTTGTAAAAAGTACCAATTCCATTATTTTTTTTTCACGAGAAATTTGACTTTCATCACTAGAGAATGATGTCCATGATTGTTTTTACAAGAAACGAGACTTCGCCACCATGTAAGGGAATCCAAGACATTCTTGGATTCTGAATGCCAGGTATTGGATTCCGGATTCCAATCGTTGAGCTGTATTCCGGATTCCACTGGCAAAAATTTTCTGGATTAGGGAATCTGGATTTCCTTACTTTGGGCGACTATTGTGACAATTAATTCAACTACTGAAAAATTGATAGAAACCGTTGAGTAACGAATGAATGTATTTCAATTGAATACTCGCGAACAGCTTTATCTATTTTGTGACACTCTAAATCACCATGAATTCTTGTCATTTTTTGTACTTTCATTAATGGTCGGATCACTCGTGCTTTTCTCTCGTTTTACATGTCTTTTTGGTTAGCGAGAGTGGTTCAGACTCGATTGAAAACTGTTCCATTTAATGCCAAAATTGTTTTTTTTGGGGGGGGAAGAGACTCAGAATTCAAGTAAGAATTTTCTAATATAAAATATATATTTACAAGTATAAACTGTTATTTTTGAGAGATTGTATTATTTCACAATATTTTCATTCGAAAAAAATACGGTTACAACAATCACACCTTTTAGTGATCTATTAGTTTGTCTCTGAAACTCAACGTGATTTTAGAGAACTTTCATGCGAATTCTTTACACGAGTTAAGCACATTTTGATTTTTCAATTTTAACAACTTACACTATCGCTATCGCCCCTGAACGGTGCAGAATCAGTTATCACAGTTCTGTCAAATAAGGGTAAGATCTCTATCTTATATTTTCCTGTACATCGCGTCACCCAATGTTGCGAATCTAAACGAATACTTCAAATAAAATATAAACTGAATAAACGCCAGGAAACGCCATTTTTTGTCTTTCTCTTGGTCTTTTTGTTTGTTTTATTTTATAAAGTACGGCAAACTCTATAATGTCAGAAAATCTATGACGGACTTTTAACTCTTAGTGTCTTGCTGAATACAGCAAAGCCAGCTTAGGCGCCATCTTTACTTCGTCATCAAATTTTGATTTCTTGAATAACTGCTTTTACAATTCAACAAGGTTTGCGACACCGGAATAATTTATAAGGGCGCGTTTACTTAGCCTGGCATTCGAATCGGTAACTCATTTGGCCCAAAACGAACAAGAGTATTTTTTTTACACTATTTGGACTACAGTGGAACCTCGTTATAATACAGTCCTTGGTTTACCGAACCATATCCCTCGCCCCAGAAAAAGGAAAATACAGTCGAATCTCTCGTAAGCGACCACCTCAGAAATTCGAAGAAGTGGTCGAAACTAGAGCTGGTCGGTTACGAGAATGAGCTGTCTCGACTCCATGGTCGCGCGTGTCTGGCACTCCTTGCTCGCCTCACGCTAGCCTTCGCTTGCCTGAAAAGGGGGGAAAAATCACGTCTGTTATGCAGGCTATTTTAAAAAACAATAGAGGGTGGTCGCTTACGAGAGCTTCAGAAACTCATCTTAAAATAATTCATGAAGGCTACGTTAGACTATGTGAGTGATCGTTGCTATGCAGGTACCCCCTCTAACGCCTGCAGGTTAACGAAGACTGAGGGTAAGAAGCTTCCCTTCTTTCCCTCCCCAATGCCCTCTCCTTTTTTCTTTCTTACCCTCCCCACTCCCCTTTAACGCCTGCTACGCAGGCGACCATGCAGGCTAAGAGAATGACCGAAATACAATACCACACTGTAAAAGATCTTTATCAACAAACCATTCGTGCAATGTGTAGCTTCATTAAAGTGTTGATTTATATTAATAAGACTCGAAGTGGTTGCTTTCACAAAGGTAGTCGTAATAGGCCATTTCCGAGTTCCCTCTGGCCCCTGTATCAAAAACGAGGTTAAGTGCTCAGCCTTTGTTATGGAAATGATTTTTCATTCTCATGTGCAAATAAAACTCATTTTCACAAGAAAGGCTGTTACAGCGAACGTATTTTGTCAGTCCCGAGGGTTGGGAAAAGAACCACGTTGTAACAAAGCCTCGTTACAGTCATCCCATGGAGGTTACAGCGTATTGTTCCAGTTACCATGTAACAACAAACAGTCTTGGCTACTTAAAACTGAAATTGGTCTGTTCAGTTCTTTGTTTTTCACGAAGAAGCGCCACATACTTGCGAAGCATTAGCTCGAAGAATTTGGGTTGTTCTTGATATGGCAGGGGAAGCAGGAGGGGGGATGCTATGTGCTCGACAAGATTCGCGCTGTCCTATACGCTGGCGCTTCTGCAGTCGCAACCTAAGGGATCATGGGAAGGGCGCTTCGCTTTTCACTTTCCCATGTGCCATTGCCTTTTCCTAGCTTTCCCATGATCCTTCCTGCTGCACGCCAAAATGTTCCATGACCCTTTGCGACTACGCCGAAAATCCTAAGAAGCGCGAGGGTACGAGGAAGAGATCCGTTAGAGTAGCTGCTTTGCATGTGAAAGGGGACGAAAGGAGGATGAAAGTCAAGATGGAGAAAGTAGTCGATATCACGAAGAAATGTTTCTATATTTACAACTCTTTTGTAGTTTATTTACAAAGTAACCGTCATGAAAACTGTGACGTCATTACTTTCACTGTCAACATTGGTACATTTTAGTACACCCGTTCTTCCTCTCGTAACCTCTTGTAATAAGCATAGCATTTCACTCAAGCGGGCATTTATAACCGAGATAGTACAGAATGTTGTTGTCGTTTTTCGAAGAAAAAAGCAAAAACATTTCATCAGTCAAATCCTTTTAAAGCACAACCAATGGGAAGAATGGCAAATCGCCACACTCGAAGAAGGCTGCCCTCCGCGTATCACCTTCCTCACAAGAGGCAATTTTCACGAGCTCGCGTATTTCGCTCGCTGTCTCTGTGGAGAATACTGGCTGCTCGCAGCCTAAACGCGACTGAAGAGATCCACCTCATTTAAGGTTGAAAGTTTCAAATATTCTAACTGTCACAACTCTGTTGTTTAACAACTGCCACATTGGAAAGGTTTAAAAAAGTATTTTCGATCGCCTGACATAAATCAGCATCAGTAGGTTTCTCCAAAACACTTCTTTCCTTTTCACGAGCAACATTGTTGGGGAGCCACACGTCATCCGTGAAGCCGTGGTCTTCTTGGTCAGTGGTTTCTTGGTGCTGCTCAGGCGCCAGTTGATGCAAGAGAGATCCTGGAGTACCTAAAAGACGAGAAAGGGATTTAACAATTTACTATGGTATACAATCTTCTCTCAGGATCTCATCGAGGACAAGGGATGAGTGCTGATGTATACCAAGATTATACAACTTTCAATACTCATGTTGGGTAAAAATCTTTGCCAATCTAGTATTAAAAAAAGGATACAATATAAAGCTCAATCAAAACAGGAAACAACGCGAGCTAGCAAAACACCTTTCATCAATGGTCAACTTCGACTCTGAAGATGACTACCGCACAGGTTGTCGAAACGTCAGTCACTGTCAACAACAACAGTCCTATTGAGGACTACGTTCACCCGGACGATCAAATTCAACCTACTTTTGAGAAGTTTTAAGTTACGCATGAGTTGGAAATTTGTGACGCAGACAAAATTGTTATTCACAGGGTAAAATTATACTCGTCTTTCTCACGCTGGGGTAGATTTCCAGCTGTTTGAGAGAGTCAGCTTGGCCTTGGCATCCTCCTGCCATGGGCTAATGCAACTTCGTTTCTAGGGTCCTCTCATACTCTTCCACTAGAGGGACGAGTAGACCAAAACCCTAGGAACGAAGTTGGGGCTAATGAACGCGGGAGCACAAAACGGATTGTACTCCAGCCTTCGTTCGGGCAAGATTGGTGTTGTGACTTACCTAAAGGATGTCCAACAGATGCTGAAGCATGAGATGCTGCTACTCGACCAAGCTCCAACAGAAACCCTGTGGCTTCGTCACACAATGGCGGAAATGCTCGACAAAATCGGACCAAGGCTGGGAGGGCAGGAGTGAAAAATGCTACACGTTTGCTAGCAGGGAGTGTAGCCAAGAGAGAACTGAGGCGACTGAGAATGTACCTAGCCACACCCATCGCCTTGGGGAGAGGGAATTGAAGGCAAAGATATGAAGCGAGCTGTATTGCAAATAACTACAACAAGATAGAGAAAACATGTTGATATAATTGAAAAACAGCAACTAACCAGTACTAGAGAATGCAGTAAAACTTCAACATTCTCACGTCGTTGTCTAGGCTGCAAGTAGTTACAATCTTTTCCTGTTTTCTGTAAATAAGAGGAGACCTTCCCCAGCGATACGAGCCTGTGCCAGGTTCTCATATAATGGGAACGCGATCGACGTCGCGAAAATAAAACTAGCGAAGCGAATATAAAACGCGCGCGATCTGGGGAAGTGGGTGGTGGCCCTCTCTCTCCCTAGCCCCCGCGCGTTTTTCGCATCTTTTTTCACCGCAAGATGAAGCCTGGCACAGGCTACAGCGATAAGAACCAACTGAGCGGCAAGGCAGCCCAAACGAGGGAAAATTTGCATACTCGTAAATCAATCCACGCGCCTCACTGGTCTAAGGAAAAGGAACGATTGTTCGCAGTCTTGTTTAGTGGTTATCGAGTCGCTAAACCTGGAGAAACAATTCTTACAAACCTGTTTTTCCAGTTGTGGCTGGTTGACAAGTTCACATATGAAGTCCAAACAGATGTGCATCGAAGGGATACCAGCAACTGTGACAGGCAACAGCTCCTCTGGGTACCCCTGTAAAGTGAATAATTACAAACTGACATTGCAATGATCCGACAGATAAGACCTTTCCACAAACGTTTTCTTACTTTCCGAGCTCTTTAACCACTTCATATTAATTCCATTTGTACTATACTGAAAGCAGCCATCAGGTGGGAGGGAAATAAAGAACCACTGAAGATTTTTTTTTTTAACTTTTAAGTTGAAAAAAAATCTTCCTTAGTAACAACTGCTACAAAGAGTTGTGTAATTTCTAGCAGTTGTCGTTTTTCCCGCGCTTGGCAAAAGTGCTACATGTAATCCCTTAAACTTATAATTTAGCTCGTATAAAGCATATAAATAATTCTTTAATGCAGCCTTTTTATTCCGGCATTTAAGCAGGTATTTTTTTTTATTGAAAACTTTTGACCTCTTTTGTAAATTGGTGCACTTTTTATCAGTTACGCATCATTTAAGGACGAAAATGAATCTCCAAATTTGTAAGTTTTTGACGCTTAAAAAACAAAGGGCAAAGGGCAGTGTATTGCAGATCAAATAATACACTTATCTGCTCGCGACAAACAAATTACGATACTTTGCTTATCCTCGTCTAATAACTGGTTAGTTTTAGAAATCCTCAACTGGGGTCAATTTAACAAAACTTTAACAAGTGTAACTTACCGTGTAGCCATTGTTTTAGGGTCTCAAAACAATGGCTACACTTGTAAATTACACTTGTAAAGGTTTTTTTAAATTGACCCCTGGTTACAGTAACCGAGGAAAAATTCTTTCAAAGCAAAACCAAAATAAACCTAAAATGAATTCAATACGCAAGTGAAACTCACTCGGTTCAGTCACACATTTAATTAAAAATGCTTCACAAGTTATGTGCTGTGCAGGAAACAACTACACCGAGTACCTGAAAATGAACAAGTTTTGCAATGTCTGGAACAGCGATAAACATCTGATGAAGCTGTGAACAGACTCGGCACTGAATTTCACGAAGAACTGCTGATCCACTGCAACCCGGTTGATCCTGTTAACAAAGAGAAATCAATATTATACAACTTGTTCTTGTCTGAAAGACTACAATAAACTTGCTCCACCCTTCTCAGCCCTAGTCTTCCACCAAACCTCTCAGCCACACCTTTAGTAGCTTGGAACTCATTAGGGAGCTTTAGAAACAACGACGACTACGGCAACGGGAATCAGTAAAACAACAACTCTGCACGTGCATCACGCTTTTTTGTTCATTTCTTGGCCGTCGCTGCACGAATGCGACGTGAAAATGCCTAATTTCACGTTTTAGCGCAGCGGCTTTCCTTTCATAGTTTGTGGGACTGGTAGAGAGGGCAACTCGCACGAGACCTGTGAGTCGCATTCAGATTATTTGGATTTCGACATTATACGAACTAACCTGATCCTGAGCTGTTTTCACGCAGACTTCAAGTAAGATCTGTATTGCGGCACTCTCCTGTGCTGTCACCAGGGCAGCCCTAAGCTCCTCCCTTTCCTGCTCCACAGCCAGGCCCTCCGTCCTTGATGCGGGATGAGCCTGCAGATACTGACTTAAAAGGGCCCTCGAGCCTGCTAGATACCCCATAAGGACCCTCACAAGTAGGTCAAATAGAGGAGGACATCTAAATAAGAAAAGCAAAACAAATCTTCAGAGGATACGTCTATGAAAACAAGTTTTCATTGAATAATTTAAAGAGGGATTATCCACCTGAGGCGAATTGTTTGATAATAGAGAGGTTAAGATTCACGTCTACGGCAATCGGCAAACGGCAGATTTAAGTTGAGAATCTCTCAGAATAGAAAATAAGCAGATAAAAACTGTCCAGAACAATTCTTACGGATAAAACTGGCGTGAAACTACTTATTTTTGAGTAGAAGTAATAAACAATACACGACAATTAAGGGAAAAACTTGGTCATGTGGTACAAGTTCACGTTTGCCGTTTGGCGTAAACATGAATCTTAATCTATCTATTGTTGGAAAATCTGCCCCTAAAAGGATTTTTTAACATCAATTCATATACTTGCATATCTCACAGCTACGTAAAGTGATAATTTATAAAAACCAAAACTACATTGTATCAAACTGAAGTAGTCCAGAAATTATATAGATTGTAACACAAAGGCCTTGTTACTTTGTATATGCTTACCTGAACACTCTCCTGTCACACCTCAAAACCGTCAAAGGATCTTTCATAATATCTTCATCAGTGTACAACTGAGGCGTCAAATGAGGAACTGGAGTTTCTGCTGGGCAAAGAGTATTAACAGTGGCCAGCCACAATCTGTACAGAAACGCAATAAAATCTGGCATATCAAAACCTGTTAGGCTAAGATTTGGGATTTGTATAGGTAATAGCAAGATTTTTAGTGATATTTGGCATAAATACCACGAGTGATATTTGGAAATTGTTATACGTATACGTAACGCCGTTAGGCGAGTGAAATTTGAGACAATTTTGAAATGTCCCAAGTGGTATTTATGCCAAATATCACGCACAAATCCTGCTATTATTTGTTTATACTACTACCCACAAAACGCTTGTAATTTTGAAAAGTGATTTTTGCAGGCATAGAATTATACTTTAACAAGTTGGTCTAAGTTTTTCAAGTCTCAATCCACGTGCATCCGTGCCATCCGTTGCGACAGACGACAGGAAACAGTTTCAATGCCTACATATAGTCTAAAATAACAAAACTGAACAATTTCTTTGGAATTTGATTGATGCGAAAACAAGTTTTAGCCTTTCAAAAGGTAGCAAATAGTATGACAGAGCCCCTTTCATGAACTATGGCGATGTTTGTAGCACGTGATTCTCTAGATGAATGTGACCATTTCTTACTTGCGAGGTATAACCGTGTTCATCTTTGTCCACAATTCACAGCACAGTGTCTGAACACGACGAGGGATCCCAGGCTCCAGCAAGCTCGGTAAAGCCTGGACCAAAACGTCCATATAAGAGATCAGTGAACTGGGCTCTAGTCGTAACAGTCTTCTGAGTAACAGCAGCGCTGGGCAAGGATTATCTTGCAGTGATGACATTGCTATTGAACAAGAAATAACACAAACTTTAAGAAGACAAGCGGAGGTTAAGGCAGTTAGAAAAAACAAGAAAATAAGCACATTCTTCTCACCATATAGTGCAAGAGATCTGGAATATATGGTATTTGCATTTTTCCGCCAAGCTTAACTAATTGGGACTGTTATTTATGTTGCAAAATTTGTTCGTCCAGCTATGGCAGTCGGTCCTTGACACCTAAAATTTTCTTTTGCAGTTAAGCAGGCGTGTAAGGTTTTAAGGGCTATGCTAAACGTTAAACTTTTCATGAGACGAATCAAACTCTAATTTGGGTCGACCAATATTCATCCTCGGAGACCCAGGGACAGTTAGTCGTGACGATACAATGTTCGTGGTGAAAGTTTACTGTAAACTTTCACCACGAACATTGTATCGTCCCGACTAACTGCCCCTGGGTCTCCGAGGATGACCAATACTAAGTTAAGATCGTCTGTTGGCTCAGACGTCGAACTTACGACGCGTTGAACAAATCACCTGAATCAGATCAGTAATAAATTTTCTCCCGAACGAGGCTAAATATACATTATCATACAAAGGTTTAAGCTGCTTGTTTAGTTCGTCACACGTTGTCCCGGAGACGATCTTCAGACGTTCTATCCATCTGAAGCAGACGGATTGAACGTGATGACTTGGACGATCCAAACTCATTCAGACGAACGTAACTGAGCTAGACGTCGAAATTTCATGACCTTAACTCACTAAGTTTGGTTCATCTCATGAATAGTTCGAGGTTTGGCCTAGGCCCTGGTCAACTATGGCCACGAATTACTCCACGAAACATCAGATATCAAACAGGCGAAGCTCATTTAAAGTACGCAGCGGGGCTTTGTTTTCTTTTAACCCTTTTCTCGATGTCTGGGAATGGGAGGAAACACTTGCTTTCGCGTTTAATATGCTACGTCCAAATGAAGAGGTTTCGAAGTGATCGAAATGAAGCTCTGCTATGAAGATAAAAGGGAAATCTGAAGAGGAAAAAAAATCACTCCAGATAATTATTAGACGTACCTTCCTTGAGCAGCAAGGGCGAACACTTGATATTGGGTAGCGGAGATGCAGCAGACAGCGGTGCTGTGAATACCTCCTCTTGTCTAAGCCAATCATCGACCAGACACAGATGCGGCAAGTGAGTGTTTATCAGCTGCAGGAGAGGAGCGTACAGTCCTCTGAATTCCTGGCGTCGACTCCTGGCCTGTTCCAATAGGTGTTTTATAGGGATTTGCGAGAGTAGCATAGGGGATAGCCACTGAGGCTGAATGTTGTTAGACACTGCAACCAATACGATAAAAAGAGTCACAAGAGTTGTAAGACACAAGTAAATGTTGTTTTAATTGAAATGTTGAAAGACACCTTGCCGTTGATCTTTGTTAAAGCCGTCTACAGATTCCTGGAGTGACACTTAATCAAGAAAACCAATGAATGAATTTCAGAAATAACGAGATAAAAGGGGGCAGAAGGATCGGATATGTTAAAATATGTCCAGGAATGTTGAGCTCGGGTATGCCGCGCAACAAGGAGCAGAACAATTACTGGCGATCTTCAGATACTAGCTTACTGACTACTCGGTCACGCTGTCTTGAGCTCCGACCAAACATTTCCGGGATGATTTAAACAACTTGCGAAATTTCCCATGTTATTAAACAGGGTAAAGGAAAAACTTCAGATGACCGTTACCATGCCTCATACAGGAAACGGGACCGCCATTTTACGTGGTCATCCGAGCCCCGAGAAGGTCAAGCCGTTTGTAGGCCAAAGGCAGCACCTTCATTTTTCAGTTATTTAAAGAACCTGAGTATAGGTCCTGCCCCGGGGATCGGACCCGGGATCTCCCGCTCCGCCATCCAGAGCCCTACCGCCTTAGCTAATGGTACCGCGGTTGGAATGATGTTGTTTAGGCCTTACCTAATGATTTCATGTTGGAGAGAAGACAGTCTTGGTAAGTTAAAACATAGTACAGCATCAGAATCTGTGAGGTGAGGCGAGAGGACAGTTCTGTTGCAACATAAACTGAGCTTCGCCTTAGGGATCCCAAAGGAATTCCATGAATCCGAAAAGCAGTTCCCTGATCCTGAAAAGTATTTTAAAGACACAAAATAAAATCACTTTATTATTCGTTGACGTATGCAACTCAGGCTGTGTTCACGTGAAACTGTTTACGTTTGAAAACGCAATAAAACGATTGGTTGCATAAGCAGCATAACAACGACTATGCACGTGCATCACTACTTTTTTGTACATTTCTTTGACGTCCACTACACGACTACGACATGTTAGGCTGATTTAGCAACAGGACGGGAACGTCAGTTGACGACAGGAAAGCGCGCGGAAAGGACTAAACACGACTTCCGGTGCGCAATTTGCCGCTCTGCCACTGGTCAAGCCAACACCGCGGCAAAACGCAATGCGCATGAGCACAAAATTTAATATCCGGTCAGCTTTTTATTTCCGGTCTAGTATATAAACCAATAGCGTAAGCATAACTTTGCCGTCGCGCCAAGTTTAAAAGCAAAAAGGGCGAAACAGACAAAAAAGGGGGCCAAAAAAATCACTTCATTCGAAAGCTTATATATTTTTCTATTCTCAAACTTTTGCACCACATGGTTATCTGTTTGCACCAACGGTGAAAATGATGTTTGAAGTTTGCAGGTCGCGAGCGCTCGACAAGACGAATTTGTTTTTACTGGCTTTCTTGCATGCTACTGGTTTGGCATAAGTTAATTTGGGAGAAGGCGACAACTAAGAAAAGAATAACAATACTTATGAAAGAAACCAAAATAAAGACGTCATCATTATCATAAAAAACACTAAAACCAGGAAATAAAATTTCAGTCCGTTCAATAATTTGTTTTATTATCAGAGAAAACAAGAACTCAAAACAAAAGATGGGCGGGATTTAATAACAACTTTGACTTTGATGACTGCAGTCACCGGGAAACTAAACATGCCTATAAATGACTTTCATTCAAGAAAATGCCTATTTAATTCTTTTACATGGTTGTTCTTTTGTTGAAGACTTCAATAATTTCAGACTGTGCGGCTCGGCTGCATCTCATGCAAACACGAAACTTCTAGCTGCTAAATACATGGCATGAAAAGTTCGACTTCTAAAAGCCACTAAACCAGCTTTCGCTCTCTGATTCTGAGAATGGAAAAATAAATAAATAATAAGTTGTCAACTTGCTGCCAACCGTCTCAACAGTATAATTAAACTTATGTTTCATGGCAATCAACCCAGAAGAGTTTCGTTTTAAAACACGGTAAAACCCACTGGTAAACAAAACTACAAAGCGATTGTGTGTTGTCGTTTTCCAAATAAAGTTTCAATCGGCTTTAACACATGTAGACTGAGAAACTGAAGAACTGAAAATTAGAACTACAATACACAAGCTCGCAATGATAACGTTTTAATTTTATGTCTTAGTTTCAGCCAGGTTAAGTGAAAAATAACAGTCAAAAACTTTATTTTCGTGAATGAAAATCAGTTTACCTGACGTTCTAGCCAAAATTACACAGTGAGTTATTATCATCTTACCTTTTCTGAATCTAATCGACTAATCGTTTCAGTGATCTGTGCCTGGTTATCCATAAAAGCAATTTCAATAACTACAAAATAGTCAAAAACACGAGCAGCATAAAGCAGAACAACTGAACCACAAGCTGCACACAGAATGAAGCGCGCGGGAGACTTTGACTGGAAAGTGTGACTGAAAAAGGGGACCGGAAATGCTCAACCTGGCGCATGCGTAGACGTTTTGCCGCGGTGTTGGTCAAGCCAGTTGTTTGATTTGCGCGCACCGTCGTCAACTGACGTTCCCGTTCTGTTGCTAAATCAGCCTAATACTTCCTAGGTGACGTTTTATGAAGGACATAAACAGATGACGACAAATTTTCCTTTACCTTTTTGAACTTGGTAAGAGTCCTTAAGAATTTAACTTCACGATAATTATAGCGTTTGAAAGATCGCAAATTCATCGTGGTTGTAGTCGTGCTTGTTTGAGCACCTCAGTTACGTTTGTTATAGTACAGGATAGAGTTAAGAGTGATTTTACTTAACCCGTGAAACAGTATCTAATAACCAGCGCCAAATAGTTACAAGTTAACAAAAGAAAACAATGAAATTAGAGTGTAAAACAGCGTAGTATTCTACTATCTATTTCAAGGGTTACGTAAAATCACTTAAACACGCGTAGGTATCGTTGACTGCACAGGCTTTAGAGGAGTGCCAGCCAATCCAAAGATTTATCTATTATTCTAAAAGATTGTCGAGCCCTGTCATAACATAGAAAATATAACACATACCTGCTGATCGGGAGCGAACACTGACATAACCTCGGCATCAGTGAATCCATGCAGTGTAAAAGCAGTTTCTTTTTGTTTGGATGATTTACTGGACACAGGATTGATCACTGAATGTACAAACGCTTCAAGAAGAGGGGCGACCAGAGGATGGAGAGGAGTTGTGCAACAACAGATCTGTTTATAAACCCAGTCCTGGATAAAAGTAACAAAGAAGTCATTAGGGGGACAATATCAGACAAATATAGGCAGTTGTAGCCTGCGTGGCATGGGCAAAAAGGGAGGGAGAGGGGGAGGGGAGAAAAACGGAAGGGGAAAAGGGAACCCTTTTCTTCTCTCCCTCAACCCCTCTCTTTTTTCTCTTCCTCCCCGACCCCTTGAGGCAGGCAGTTTGGTCGAGCGGTGGGAGCGCTGGACTCGCATCCAGTAGCTCTGATCCAAGTTCCGTCCTGATCGCTTAGTTCCGAGTTTAACTCCTCAGCGATGGTTGTAAATAGGCCAACGGATCACCTCCTGCCAGTGGAAGATTCTGCCTTAACTCTGTCATGTTTCATGTAAATCATTTGTGTCAGTCATTTGTTCGGCCCCTCTAGCATTTGTGCCGTAAATCATTGTTTATAAAGTTAAAAGCTTATGAAGCTCAGAGTTCTTTCCTGATCTGTTTTTGTCAGGTATTTTGGATTTGATGGTGCACAACGTTCAATAGCATTCCTATTATTTTGATCTTACTGACCCCAAAAAGTAAAAACGTCTCATTAATTCATTCAGTCACAATAATTTATGAACAAAAACAAAGGACTGTTCACCGTCACGGAGCTTCCAACGTAGACTGTAACACCGTTGTTCTTATCAGTGACCACCAGTTGCCAGATTTCATAACCAGTAACTATGTAACCAGTAAATAATAGTAATAATAATTGTTATTATTATCCCTCTAAGATAAGGAAGAACTCATGGTGGACAAGGACAATATAAAGGGTTTGTATAGTAATGTGTTCTAGGATCAACAATTTCCAAAGCGTCAAGCGCAGTGACTATTAACAACGAGGGCGTCTACTTTCGGAACTTCACGATTTTGTGTAAAATGTTGCTGACCTTAACTGGTACGGCATGCTTGGTGAACGCTCTGGATCGGAGCAGCTGATGCATGCAGTGAATTGGCAGAAATCCAGTGTCATCAGAGCTCAACTGTGGTGTAACGGGAACTGTTACTGCATGAGCTGTAACCACCTGTAGAAGAAAAAAAAATATGGCCTCGACTGATTCGGTGGATAATGTGATTCTAGTTTTACTTGTCCAAACTTACAACAAGTTTTACTTTAAGAGAGAGTCTAGAAACAAAATAATAATTCATTTCACTTTTTCTTGGGAACTCAACTAATGAAATTATTGCGATACCCATCATTAAAATAATGCAGAGGGAAATTATCGATAAGTAATACTTAAAGTTTTATAATTGTACATCAAGTAAAAACCTTTTACACCTGTAAGAAACCCGACTGTGTACTCTTTTTCCAGCTGAAACTATCAAAACCGATTGTTGCTTAATTTTTTATGACGATCTATTTTGCCGTTTAACAAGTAAGATTGATTACGCTCGGCGGTTAACCTCAACCAAACTCAGCTGCTGGGGCAAGTAGATAACGTTTTTTGTGGAACCCGCCAGTTACAGGGTATGTGGGTAACGATGCACGCAAAAATCATATTCTTTTCATCATCCTAGCAACCTGCGGTCTCTAATTAATGTGATTTGCAAAATACGTCATTTCCTTAAGTGCGGTAATCTTGTTCCTTAACCACCCACCACACATCATGGAAATCAAGGAATATCTACCGCGTAATCAGCTTGCTATACCATAGAAGGCATAAAAAGTTAAGCACTGACCAGCAGCAGCAGGTATTTTAAAGCAAACAAGAAGTATGATAGGCAATGTAAATATTTTCATACATGAAAGGAACTGCACAAAATTGTCGACTTTCTACTTAAAAGCAGTAGACGATAATCTATTCTATCTTTAACAATCCTTCGCCTTTTTTGGTTCACTATCCTTCAATTTCAGGAACTTTTCCTATAAAATAATGACTAAATATATCACGATAGGGGTTCTTTAGTTTGCCCTGAAATGACCTATAAACTTAAACGGTAATACTAAAAAAGGAAGCAAGCTTCCGGGGGAGAACAGATGGATTCAGGCTAGAGGGGGGTCTATTCCTTCCTTTCCACACGATAATACGAGAGGGCTTGCTAATATGGGCTACTGTAGTGCATTGTTCACAAACCTTCTCAGGAAATATTTCCTCAGTGAACAAAGTTTTCATTCGCGTCAGTGAGCCCAGTCTAATGTTCATACCGAGTACAGAGCACACAAGTTCAGCAATAGCATCCACCTGACTGGCATGAAAATGAATTGCGATCAATAGGAGAATTTCTCCAAATGATGCATGTACCCCGCTTGCTGCTTCATAGTGGGCTTCTTCCTTCGACAGCCACTTGATCCACTGGGTGGCAATCTGCTCATGTTCTGGAGAACTAAACACAGGAAGAACTGTCATAAATCAGCCTCTCTAATTATGGCAAAATATCTGGAACAATAACAGCAGATGCACTACACTCCCCCGTCCACCAAATGTGGCAACGTGAGACACAAAAGTAGAGGCTCTACTTTTGAACACTGTCTCTATTATAGACTAATCAGCTGGCGCCAAATATCCCAATAAGGACGGACTACTACCACCATCACTGTTTCCACCACCACTGCTTCCACAACACTGCCCCTATCACCACTGCTTCCACCGCACTGCTCCTTCAGGGTCCGAAATTGCGCCTTCCTGGTCGCCAATGCGACCAAAAATTCAGTTCTGGCGACCAGAATTTCGTAGTTGGTCGCCAGCTGGCGACTGGTAAAGCTGGTTGTCATTGTAGACTTTCACGTTCGGAGAAAATGATTAAGAATTGAAACCTCGAAGCTATTTGCCAACAGGTGTCTTACTTTTCGTCCTGCAGATATTTTTTTAATTTAAAAGTGAAACGAATCTTCCTGTAAATATACCTCCACAACAGCTACGATCAAGACGAGTTGAACGTTTCCAAGCCGCCAAGAGGAATTTTTGGCGACCATAATTTGCCCCCTGGCGACCGAAAATTTATACTTGCTCACCAGTGGGCGCCCATATTAAAAAGTTAATTTCGGACCCTGTCCTTTCAACACTGCTTCCACCAGCACTACTCCCGCCATCACTGCTTCTAACAACACTGCTTCCACTACAAATGCTTCCACTAGCACTGCTCCCATCACCACTGCTTCCACCAGCCTTCTCCTTTCAACACTGCTTCCACCAACACTGCATCTTCCACCAATGCTTCCACCAGCAGTGCTGCCAGCAACACTGCGTCCACCACCACTGCTTCCACCAGCACTGGTCCCATCACCACTGCTTCCATAAGCACTGCTCCCATGACCACAGCCTCCATGAGCAGTACTCCCATCAACACTGCTTCCACCAGCACTGGTCCCATCACCACTGCTTCCATAAGCACTCCTCCCATGACCACAGCCTCCATGAGCAGTACTCCCATCAACACTGCCTCCACCAGTACTGCTCCCATCACCTCTGCTTACACCAGTACTGCTCCCATCACCACTGCTTCCACCAGCACTGGTCCCATCACCACTGCTTCCATAAGCACTGCTCCCATGACCACAGCCTCCATGAGCAGTACTCCCATCAACACTGCTTCCACCAGCACTGCTCCCATCAACACTGCTTCCACCAGCACTGCTCCCATCACCACTGCTTCCACCAGCACTGCTCCCATCACCACTGCTTCCATCAGCACTGCTCCCATCAACACTGCTTCCACCAGCACTGCTCCCATCACCTCTGCTTCCACCAGCACTGCTCCCATCACCACTGCTTCCATCAGCACTACTCCCATCAACACTGCTTCCACCAGCACTGCTCCCATCACCTCTGCTTCCACTGACACTGCTCCTTTCAACGCTGCTTCCATGAGCACTGCATTACTTTGAGATTTCCGTATAATTATTACATGTAAACTCTGAAAGCTAAAAAAGTTAATGAACCTACCAATAGTGATGAAGACTTACCTCATAATATTGGTGCAGACCAAAAGGGTGCAAAGTCCAACTACAACAAACCTCACGCCTGCAGCAGTGGGTGGGGGGTGGCATGTGACAAGATGGAGCAATGCCTCTGACTCCTGTTGACTCAGCTTCATTCCTGCCAATCTTTTGAGTGCGCAGTAAAGTCTCAGTAGTGCTGTCCCTTGAATTACATCTTCATCTCGAATTTCTATGGTTTCTACCTTTTCAATGTTGATCTTTTGTATTGAAGACCCCTCTTCTGTTAGTTCATACTCTGTACTCACTTCCATAGCTGTGGAATTAAATTCAGTTGGTGGACACTCATTGATCAGTGATCAATTTTTATAAAACTTCTACATTAATATTGTAAATTACAAGTGTATTTATTGTTTTCAAATTCTAAAACAATGGTTACACTAAGTAAATTGACCCTTGATAAGGGACTGTGCATTCCTTTAGGAAGAACTTCTGACTGGCATCAATGATCCAATATTGCTCACATTTTGGTGCATTAAATTTAAAGTACGCTTGTCATCACTAATAGCACACTAAAATGAAGCAAGTTTAAAGAGGGTCCTCAATAGGTTTTTTGGCAGCCAGGATTTCCCTTATTTGAAGCTCAAGATTCAGGATTATAAAGCAAAATCAGGCCGAGACTTGGGATTGAAAGTATTTGCGTGAGGTGGGGTGCCAAAAATAACTATCAAGATTACAAGACTGCATGAAATTCTGGGTCCCGATTAAGGGATTGAAGAACGCTACTGGGGAACCTCTTTAAAGTAAATTGATCACTACACTTTAAAAAAGCTTGTCCTTACCTTGAACAATGCATTTTGATAAAGTCAGTTTAGAAACCTTTTCATAGAGTTTTTATATTGTATTCCAACTAGACTACATTGTGTGCATAGTACACTTACAATAAACCACAATATTCTAATAAATAACTACTCTCATCTATTAGCTTTTAAGCCTTAGGCACTTTTGTATTTTTTCCAGGGTTAAACCCCTGACACTGACCTTGGAGTATTTCCAGGGTTTCCTCATCTTGATGAGCTATGCTATGCTCAGTTACTGCATCCTGAATGGTAAACTCCATGCCAGATGTGTCATCCAGTGATTTCACCCCCTTTTTTACCCCTTTAGAGACTATCGATGACATTTCTTTCAGCAGTTGACTCCTCAGTGAAGACAAGATTGATGTGTTGGACTAGTTGAAGAAAACAATAATAAAACTGTTATTATTAACTAAATGGAACAAATCCTACTTAGAAGCAGTTCTGTGAATCTAGACAGCTGTACAAAAAAAATGGCAATTCCCAGGACATTTAAAATACTGACCCTTTGTCCAATCCGAACAAATGAAGAAAACCAATTTTTAGCCTTGGTGTCCTCTCCCAATAAAAGACCACTGAGAAATGCAACCAAGTCACTGGAGCTTAACGAACCTGCGAAAAACAAAATATTTTCATTATAACAATAGCCCACGTTCAATTTATGAAAATTCTAACATGACTCCGAGGCTTTCTGGTTATATTTCTCTTTTTGGTTTGGTTTTTTTTGCGTCAAGTCTCTTCTGGGAATTGAGAGACAATGGAGTCGTGAAAAATTTGCAAATTTGTCTATAAAGCCTCAGAGTCACGATAGAATTTTAATACTATTGAACGTGGGCTATTATAATCATCAGTAATGATACAATAACAATATTAATGCCAGCTTTAACTTTTGTCTCAGCTTACTCCCTGTTTTTCAAAAGACAGACAGTATAAATAAAATAATTCCTAGTCCTTGCTTTCTGGCTGATTGACTGACTGGCTTATTTTTTCATACAACAACCAACTGGTTTGAGGGTAATGTTATTAAATTGATTTAGAAGATTTATTTAGTTTTCCTAAATACCAGACAGGAAAATGGAATTTATTTAATTATTATTATTATTTTTTTACTTTTCCTTTTAACTATTCCTTTTACAGTGGAACTCCATTAATATGGTCACCAATAATAACAAGTTGACTGTAAATTTCTTTTTCAAGAAACTTATATTTTTTTGCTGGGCAGCCAAAAAAAAAAAAGGCTCAAAATTATTATATTTTCTCTTTTTAGGCTCAAAATCAGGTGTGGCGCTAATCAAAAAGAAAACAAAAAGTAAGATTGTAAAAGGTAAAAAGGACACTAATGGTTGTCAGTTTCAAAGGGATAATCACTCATTATCCACTCAAAAGGATTTACAACTTGTCTGAATATTTGTTTGCCAATGAAAAACATCTGTTTGAATGGAATTTATAATCCTTTTGTTAATAAGTAGAGAGTAGCATTCATTAGAAGAATTGCGACATCTGATTCCTTCTCTGTATGGCAGTAGTCGCATTAAAAGAAAAATTTAGAGAACTCTAGTTGCCAAAAGGCAAAGTAAGCCCCCATGGACAACTAGGCTCTGCTCAGTAAGGTAAGTTCTACGTACCATTGCCGTCAATACCAAAGTCAAGGATAAGTGCCACAGCAAGACCAGGCATGTGGCATAGTCTCAATGCCTCAGAATGAACAACAAGAGCAGAGCTAGGGTTCATGGTGCAGAGCTGTCGTAGGACTTGTGTGCGCACTATCCCTCCAGTACTTCCTTCATCTTGTACTTCACCATGTTCCAGCAATGACGTGCATACTAGAGAATAAGTTTCAATTAGCAGACAGAACACCAAAATGTTGTACCCACCAAAAATGTTTGGCATGCTTTCCACAAGCTAGCTAGAGTTCCATTCTAAAGTTACTGGTCACTGACTCATTGTGATTTATGCCTTGTGTTTTGTGTTATCAGAAAACCTGCTATATGGTGTAATGCTACTGTGATCTTTGCCAAACATTTAGCAGTTTATTATGAGGATTACCATACACCAACAGCCACTGAAAAATTTCTTTAACCTGCAAAACAATTATTTTCATGAGTGTTCCTTGAAAACCTCTGTAACCTCTGTACTGCACAAGTATTTTTCACACAGCTACCAAATGCTTGGCTTTTGCTACCTTGACAAGGCAATTGGAGGTCAATACAATACATTTTTTTACAGAACTTGCATAAAAAAAACGTTTTTACTTGTAGCTCCCAGCCAACATGACCCCTCTGATGTCACACAAATACCAGCAATAGCAGTCACGATCCAAAGGTGTGTGCATGATACATATTTCCCTACAATTTTATGACTGCATTGTTGGCTGCACCCATGATAGTTCTTTATAGCATCCATAGGGAGCTTCAGCATGAGAAACACACATCAACTGGACGTGGAACTTTTGGATTCTTATGCAGTGGTTTCCCCCAATTTTGGGTAGATCATCTCTTAAAGAGTATAGAGCATTAGTAATAAAAATTTGGTAGCATCAAGGCAAATTAAAAGGGAAAAGGTCTCACTTCTGGATGATGTGTGTAGCTCAAAAATACCTTGGCTTAAGCCCCCTACTGATTTCAACAGACAACACCCTGTTATTAACAACACTATACCTTGTTCAAAGCTATCAGGGGCATTAGCAACTAGTCGGCACAGCAGCCAAGAGCCATGCTTTACCCTTAATAAGGCTTCAGCAAGCTGGTTTAGAGCCAGTAGTGAAGGCAGCTCTGCCTGTGCAATGCAAATGACATCTGATACCTCCTCTAAATACACTTCACTTTCAAACAGTTCACACTTTTCAGGAATAAATTCCTCTGAAACATCAACCTAAAATTTAAGTGCCAGACAGTAAATTAAAAAATAAATCATGAGTTGGTCATTTTCAAGCACAGTGCAGGAGGAAGCGAGCAGTAGAGAAACTGACCTTCCCACCTTTAATATCACAACAGTGGACTACCAGCTAATCAGGGCACAAGATTCTAGAAGATGTAAGCCATCAAAACTAAATAATGCAAGTGTGTGCATTTTCCCTGGGGTGACTTCTAGGACATAGCCAAGCGAAAGCTAGACAGGCTCACTAAACAAAAAAGACTGTTTTGTACTCAATGGTACAATGTACCTTAAAATTTATTCACACATGTGTGACCTTCTTTGGGAAAACGTACACTAACGATATTTCGTTATCGTTAGAAAACTAACGGATAGCTAACGGATAGCTAACGGCTTTTCTAACGTTCTAACGGTTTGTCCAAACGTTCTAACGGTTTGTTCTGACGTTCTAACGATTTGTCCAAACGCTCTAACGATTTGTTCTAACGCTCTAACGGTTCGTTCTAACGCTCTAACGATTTGTTCTAACGCTCTAACAGTTGAATTGGTGGCAGTAATCGAGCGCTATTCCCTATTAAGCAATCTATTAACGGCTGGTTAGTTCATCTTGTTGTTATCAATGTATTGAGCGAAAGTTTTAAGTACAGCTGTCGATCGATAAACGGCTGAAAATTGAAAGCATCAAAATCACTAGTGATGTGATCAACGAGTAAAATAATAATCGAAATCGACTTGCTCTCGAAACGACTGCGCTTCAAAACAGGCCGTCCAATTTCTCCTGGAATGAAACTTCTACTGCATCGTATTGACAAGAACTACTGTTTGCAAACACGTATCTTGACTTGGGACTGTAATGTTTCCAAAAACTATATCAAGCAAGCCCCTCGATGTCTGATGAAAGTTTTTCAACAAGATGCCGTCGGGTTTCGTAAACAACTTTATGCAAATTTCGGTTGAAATTTGACTCCCGGGAATTTGAATACGCAGTGAAGCGTTGTGTGACGGACAACACATGAATAAAAGCTGTATTGAATGATTGTAGACTTTTTTAATTACTAGAGAGCCTCAGTTATTTAGGACTACAAATCAAAAAGACGGGAAGAAGGTCATGACTTTTATACCGAAGGTTTTCCTGCAACCATTCAATTCATTCGAGATCAATTAGCGGAAGTCTGCAGAGAAGCGGATTTCAAGACGTGTGCTTGTTTGTTTACTTCTTATCGTCGATATCTTTTGCCTACAGCCGACGACCAAGCATTTTGATATTAATTTTTCGTTTCAAAAGCGTAGAACGGGTAGGGAATTGTGTCGCTCGCTCACTGGACGTTGGGAAACGGGTTTGGCAAGAATCACTAGTTTCAGGTGCCCGGCGCGGGCTCCTTGTTTATAATTTCGTCGCCCGCCGGCGAATAAAATTAATCGTAAAACCTCTGACGACAGGGCGCCCATAAGGCAGCGGCCTTGATCAGCAAAGCAATAGAATCGTCAGTTAACGCTTTAGTTTCCTGGACTAACGCTCTAACGGATACAACTAACGCTCTAACGGATATACATGAGTTGCTAACGAATTGACTAACACCTCTAACGGATACAACTAACGCTCTAACGGCTACGGATGAGTTGCTAACGAATTGCCTAACGCCTCTAACGATTTTCATTGAATCATCTAACGGATGACTAACGGACAGCTAACGGTCTAACCGTTTAACGAAATATCGTTAGTGTACGTTTTCCCAAAGAAGGTCACATGTTTGTTCTTGATGAAATTCAGGCTAACAGCATGGTCTCATTCAGCTGTTTTTATATTTTCACTTGGTCATTGCCGCTTTTTTAACTCCAACAAAGACTCCGTCGCTAGTATACTGAAGCCTGAGTAAAACTGCTGTCATATTGCGATGCTGCAAAGTTCTGAAATGGAGGCCAAAATCCTTGGGACAATTATTGAAAACCTTCCTTCAATAACAATAACACACAGGTACATGTATCAACTATACAGTTGTACCAGAACATCCACTTCTGCAATATTTCGAATGCCCCGAATGGCCATCCCATCCCCCATCCAAACAATGTTTTTAGGACAGGGTTAAGTGTGCAGGGTGCACAAACTACAACTTTCCTTGGGGCAACGGGGTGAGGGAGGCAGTTTAAGATGTATCATGTTAAGTGTCCTAAGACTTTTGACCTCCATTGAGGTTTCCTTGCAAAATGACATCTAATGAACAAGCCCAGAAATTCTACAATGATGACATTTCACCACCCAGATATGAGTTCTGCTTCTGATCAGTGGAAGCAAATTTCCCTCTCAGCACAACCAATCACATTAAAGTAATATGAAGATCTGGGTAGTGACAAGTCATCAGTATGGAATTTCTGATCTTGTTCCTCAGATATTATTTGTGCATTAGTAGCACCACAATGTTGGCTGTTTTCGCAAGCAATGTCGACGGCGAAAGCAGTTTTGGGCTCACCTGACTCATAATACGCAAGAGTTCACTCAGCACCAGGCGAAGCCGCCTTGATGGTTCACTTCGCTCAAATTCCAGGGCAAGGCCATTTTGTAAGTTCTCGACCAGAACACTGGTGCCAGCATTCCCGCCCGCTTTCCTTCTTAACTGTTGTTCTTTCAGCGCATCTTGCTCGAGAAGGCTAAAATCCACCGACAGAAGCGCCACAATGGAGTTCACAACTTCTAGGCCGGATAAAAGCTTCTGGACCTCTTTACGTGCTTCAGTCCACTTTGGGCTTTCATCAACTGGCGAGCAGAGTGCCATTCGGACCAAACATGGCAACAAAGGACGAACCTCTTCTTCCTTCAAACGCGAAAGTTCGGTCACACTAACGGAACGAATAGCTTGAAAGGCTCGCGCTGAAGGAATCTCCGATAACACCATCGTGTATTGTTAGTTAAGGTTAGTAATATGGAAGGTGGAAATAGAAAAACAATAAACTGGCCTTCATCTTTACTAACTGATCCGCCATGTTTCACACAGTACCGGGACAGATAAGTAACCTTACATCAGGTACTATGTTGAGGATTGGACACCTTATGACGCTTACGTGAACATTCAAACGAAGAGAAGTGAGCATCGGGGTCGTTTAGGCATCGTGAGGTGTCCAACCCTCGTCTTACAAACATGGCGGATGTGAAGAGGAGAAAATGCGAAAATTTACAACTTCCTCGGTCGTTACTAGATTCTTTAAACGAAATGAGGAATACAAGAGAGCACTGTGACGTGTTTCTGCAAGTAAATAATGAAGTGTTTCCTGCGCATCGTGCTGTTTTGGCGGCCAGCTCTTCATACTTTCGAGCTATGTTTTCTTCGCAAACTTCTTTTACGGAAGCGAATAACTCTGAAGTTTGCTTGAAAGGCGTTGAACAAGAGGCTGTGCGTGTGGTTCTGGACTACATATATACTGGGGAATTAGAATTTACTCACTTAAACATTGAGAACGTGATCACTTTGGCGAATTTGTGGGACATTCCATTTTTATTGTCCTCCAGTGAAGATTTCTTACGGGACGAGCTCAACGTGAGCAATTGTCTAACTGTACATCTCCTGGTAGAAAACCATCAAACGTTTTCTTCTTCTTTTCAAGATTTTCTGGAAAAATTTATCTTTAACAACTTTATGGACATTTCCAACCAGCAGAACTTTTTGTCTTTGACTGCTGATCGCCTTATTGAAATTCTCAAAAACGACTTGTTGCGAGTGAAATTCGAACAGATGGTTTTTCAAGCCGTTATGAGGTGGATAAACTATGATCGATGCTCTAGAAAACACTTCGCAGCACAACTTTTCAAAGAAGTAAGGTTTGGATTGATGCCCCATTCCTTTCTTAATGACAGAGTGCTCACAGAGGATCTTGTTCAGCAAGATTCTAATTGCAAAGACATTGTTTTAAGGGCTTTAAAACAGACAGGTTTAAGTCAAGATCTTGATACGTCCTGTAGAAAACGAAAGGTAGAAGCCCTGTATTTCTTTGGAGGGCTTTTAAATAACATGGGAAAATGGGGAAAAGGGAAAGTATTCCTGCCACAGTATTTAGACTGTGTAATGGACACTACCAACCTGGAAAATTTTCCATCAATTCACATGACTGACTGCCATGTCGCGTCAATAGGAGAGTTCATTTACTTCAATATTGTGGATACAAACAAAGTAACAAAACTCAATAAGTTGACGATGGAAGCATCTAGAGTGTTTATTTTTAAAGGGGATGGTAACGACAGAGTGAACTCAGTAAACAGTAAGAGCTGTGCTTTTCAGCACTTCATGTATGTTGTTGGTGGAAGTTGCTATAGAAGGTTTAATACAGCTACAAGCCAGTGGGAGAAGTTGCCTCCTCCAGAATATTTACATTATCGACCAGGTGTTTGCACTCTTGATAACAAGGTCTATGTTATTGGTGGCTGTACCAAGTGTTATGAGGAGTGTGTTGACATTGTTGAGTGTTTCGATGTAGTCAGGAAAGTTTGGAAAAAACTTTCTCCCATGCCCACTGGGCGATGGGGAGGTGGTGCTACTGTAATGAATCACAAGATCTATGTTGCTGGAGGTGAGTTTATCTAAACACCATATTTAAAGGGGTTATTTCATTAGGATATTTCTCTTTCAGGTCAATTCTGTGCTAAAATCATTACTTAATGCCTCTACCCGTCCCATGCACAAAAGGCTCCTGTAGCAGTTATGAAAAAGACTTCTATCATATTTCATCTGGAAACACTAATCATAATATTTTTTGGTGATTGTTGTCGACATGGCATTAAAACTTGAAAAAGTTGGCTCAACTTTTTCAAGTTTCAGTCCATGTCCATCCTTGCCATCCATAGAAACAGACAACAGGGAGCAGTTTCAGTTCCTAAAAATTAATATAGTCTTGAATAACAAAACTGAACCATTTTCTTGGAATTAAATTAATGGGGAAAAAAATTAGCTTTTCAAAAAGATAGCAAATAAAGTAACATGGCCGTTTTAATAAAATTCATGCCCAGTCTTTGTGAAATGACACCTTTTAAAGGTGGCCGATTATTAATTGCAGGCACAATTTGAACCGTGATGAACTTTGTGTCATAACTTTGCCGGTTTTGATGCATGAAACCTTGAGAAAAAATACAGCTATCATTCAGGATTGATCCAATTTTACTAGTTTTAATGAAATTAGCGCTGTCGTAGATCCTACTTTTCAAAAAACATTATCTGTAATGAAAAATAGTTTGGCAAATTAACTGCCCAAAATGCCAGTTATAAGTCAGCACTTGGCAGCTTCAAAAGTTCAGACATACACCGAAAGCAAAATTTTGGGGTCAAAAGTGACTCAGCTGAATCTTGACTTTTGCTTTTCTCTTTCTCTCCTCCCCTCTTCTTTCACTTTTTTCCATGTTTTTTCCTTTGCTGGGCATTGAGAGAGCTTGTAATATCTTAGGATTAGATGGAAGGAAGGTAGATAGATAGAGGAACAAGACATTCATGGGAATTTGGGAAAGACAAGTGGGAGCTATATGAGTCAGGGTCAGTAAAACTATATTATTTCCTTGGTTTGTTTCACTCACATATCTTGCTGATTACTTCATTGTATTTTCATTAGGTTATGACACAGAAAACAACTGCCCCTTGGATACAGTAGAAGTCTATGACCCTGACAATGATACTTGGAGTTCTATTGCATCCCTCGTTCATCCACGCCGGCGTTTTGGTATGGCTGTTGTCAATGGCATCATTTATGTAGCTGGTGGGTATTTTGAGCATAGCGTAGAGTGGTATGATGAAAAAAATGACCAGTGGAGAGTATATGAAGGTGTGACAGTCAACAGGCATGACTTTACATGTTTGGCTTTACCAGTTCCTCACTGTTGGTAGGAACAGTTTGTAAGCTTATTAGTAATCGGCATAAGATGAAAATTAAAAAACTGCTTGCCCTTTAGGCAAGTTGTTGCTGAGGTTTACTGGCCCAGAGTAGATGTACAGGCCTTAAAAGCACCCTTTACACTAAACTTTTTCTCTGGAAATGTTGCTTACCTGTAGAATAACTTGCAATATTGTAATATTTAAACACGCTAGCTTTAGGGGCCACTCAAATAGCCCTGGAATTCCATACAACACCTTAGTTATGCCCTGGTAATATGCACTGTTAAATAAGTACCAGCTTGTTTTAGGCACACACTTTCATGCAGATTCGCAGTTGACTGGAGGCACTAGATAATAGGGATCGAAGAAACCTGTTGCTCCTTTTGTTCTCGACTAATTTTTCTTTCTCTTGCAATAATGCTTTTCTGATGTCAAAAGTCACTGAATCTAAAACATGCTCGATGGTTTAGCTTCAATTATTCAGTTCTAGGAATACAGCCAACTCTCTCATCCACACATACAGTTGGTTCCTGCTTTTCTTTACTCCCTTAATTGAATTCTATAAGATGAACATCACTCTTGCAGTACTCTTTATAGAGCGAACATCACTCTTTGAGAGATACTTTGTGCTGTCCCTCAAGGTCTCTGTCTTAGAGAGAGTTGAGTGTATTTCCTTTCTCAAATCCCCTCCTTACGTGTACATAGTTTTTGCTAGAGAGACTAAGTGTTTAATTATTTTATTATGGAAAAACAGGCCAACAACAAGAAGTATGCATACATGTATGCTTATTTCAGGAAAAAAGCTTTGTGTTTTTACCTGAAATATTACTTAATATGTCCATTTTTATCATTTAACTGACAAGAACAATGTTCCACTTCAGAAGTGACCGTTACAATGCCTTTTTAATGAAATTTTCTTCTTTTCATGCATACAAAGCTATTATTAGTTATAGTATCAAGGCTGGTTACAAAAATTAATGTATCATGCAAATGTTGTTTAGATGTGAAATTTCACAGTTCAAGATAATGCCACAATCATATGTTTACAAGAACATTAATTTTTACATAAAGTTGAACCTGCTGTAAGCCACCCAAAATGCAAAGATTCAGTTGTCACTCAATTAGCCTGGGATCAGGCTCTCAAGTGGAGTGCAGTGAAAAAGAAAATCGGTGAGCAAAGCGAGCCTGATGCTATCCATCCATTATTGGTCAGATCAATGACAGTTAACAAATGAGTGATGAACATTGGCCAAAAAATACTCACGTGCATGCAAATGTATTTGATCGGTCTCATAACCTAATTGGCATGTTACTGACATATGTGTTACAGGATAATAAATTGCAAGTAGGCCAATGGGTGGCATCAACACAAAGTATACAGCCCCCCTCCCCTACCCTCCCCCACACAGACCTGTTTTTCTCCCCCAGGCCACGCCTTGCAAGCTTTGATCCCCGATTTCCTTTTTCACCCCAACCCAGTTGGGAGCCTGTTCGTAGGCTATCACTAAAAAACTTAATGGGTGTGACAAATTCAAATTCTATCTGGATTTGATTTAGTGCAGTAAATTTTGTTGTTGGTTGTTATCTTTCTATAATGATGCTAACAAGGCAGTATGTTGCACCTTACCATGGCAACCAAACAAATTTAACAATTTGGCCATTGTGGCACCAGGCACAGTTGAGCAAACCCTAATGCTCCTCGGGCTGATGTGACCGTTCATGGCTTCATTCACAATAAGCATGTTGATGTAATATTACTGGTTTGTTTTCCCTTGCCAGTGATTTTTAATAATTAGTTTTTACCTAGTTCTTGTATTACTAAATTACCTCCCTTTGAAGCTTTAGTGAATAAAGGAGCTTGAAAGGAGTAGAACCAAAAACAAAAACTTGATCCTTATCAGTGGAGCTTGCTAAACAATTATTCTCACATCCCCTGAAAAAAATTCACTTTTTCTAATATTTGTTGGGTCATCACAGTAAGGCAATAATATGTAATAACATTAACCATAACTTACATTTTTAGGGACAGACCATTAGAAAACTTATATTCACACAAGGGAAAATTTTTAATGAAAAAAAATTCATGCACACCAATTAACCCTGAAAAATATTCATGCTATGGCCTAAAAAAATTCATTCAAGGAATTTGATAATGTTGATAAGTTCCTGCAGCTCGACAAATCCCCCCCCATAACTCTTCTGATGGTTTGTCCCTTTATCACAGCTGAATAAATGTATAGCCAATAAATTATTACCCATTTAAAATAATTATAAATGCTTTGTAATGTTTTAGCTTTTCCTTCCTCTAGATTATCTTTATAACAACATAGTAATCATAGTATTGTTTGTTCATCAACAGCACTATTTGTTTCAATGACTCGTATTGTTAAGTGTAGTTATGTATAAATATTTCCTTTGGACAGAAGATATGTACAAAAACCAATATCATGCAGTGCCTAACCACTGACCTATAAAATGTTATTTGTAATAAAAGACTTAACAATACTTTTTGCTACTATTCTGTTGAGTTAATACCATGGATAATATCCATTTAATACAAAGTCCAGTATCTCCTCAGTGTGGCTGGGAAGAAAAGGGACATTCCTCTCCCTGTTTTCTTCACAACTTTGTCTATTTGCTTTGAGACAAGAAATGTATGATTAAATGGCATGGATGAAACTATTATTATTATAAAAATGTTAACTGGAATGCCTGCAGCTAGCAAAATGATACACCTTTTACAGAAAGGAAGGTGATCTGATTGTGTGTGGTGTGCACCAGTGTGGCTTTATTTAAAAAAATAACCATTGTGTACATGATATGTATGTACACAAGACACTTAATAACATGCATTGTCCTTTTCAAGACATACAGTGAAGGATAAGTTATTTTTTCCCTGTCCTTTACTCCTCCAGCAAATTATCATACTTACGAGTGACTCAAACATGCATAAGGAATTTTTATCAAGGCGAAGATTATTAAAATCTAAGAGTATATCACTTCACCTAAAGTCTGGAATCTGCCACACCATTTGCAAGATCGCACATTTCCTTAGCAACGTCCTCTATGTCACCATAGTAACTACTGCTGCTGACACTGGAACTGTCGTTATGGCTGTGATATCCATTTCTTTTAGGATACAAGCCATTCTCATCAAAAATTGAGTAGCTACTACCATTAATGTCCACATCATCATGTCCATTTTGCAACTCAACATGTCGCAGACGTTGCCGAACTAGATCAAACTCGTTTGTTGAATTATCTTCAGAACCAGTGCTGTCAGGTCGTGAACTTTTGCGCAGTATCCCCCTTGGGTGTTTCGGAATCCCACTGGACTGAGTATGATTGTCCCTCCCATTTGTAGCTTTACTGTGTTCTTCATTGCCATCAGGCCTTGAAGTTTTACGCAGTCTTGCCCTATGATCTGTTATAATTCCATCTGACTGGGCATCATCCAGCCCATTTGTTGATTTGACAGGTGCCTCAGTGCTGTCTTGAGGCCTTGAACTTTTGCGTAGTTTTGCCCTGTGATCTTTTATGACACCATCAGTGGATTTCTCGCCATTAACTTCAACAACAGTGTGTTGACTGTCTTTGAATATACCATTTACTTTTGGCTTCTGCTCTGTTTTGTATACAGCTCGCCCAACCAAAGAAGCAGTGTTTTTTGCATTTCTTGGTGATTGGGAAGAGTCACTGTCACTGGTTTCACCTGTAACAAAATATTGTTACCACGATAATTTATACAATGTAATCACTGATCAAACATAATGTTGTGGAAACATATAGTAAAAACCTATGACTAAGATCCTGCATTTTCCCAAGTTAGCCTAAACAGATTCTTAAATAAATGGTAATTAGCACAAAACAATTTAGGCTATTCTAATAGGTTCTTACTGTTAAACTCACTGGCAAAACTTTTCCCGCCTCTGTCAGCGACACATGTGCTCGCACGAGACGAAACAAATATTTTAAACAAATTCGCTGTCAGCACAAAACTTTGCATTTGCAGTTTAATAGACGATTTGTCGAATATCTATAAATAAAAAATATTTCTTCTTTGTTTCCTCTGCAATTACAATTTACCATGTGCCGTTTTAGAAGTCATTGTTAAAATAAACAAATTTCAAAATTTGCATTTGCTTCATGGTAATTTGATACCCTGTCATTTATATACGGTAATTATCATCAATTTTTTTTCCATGGCAGTTCACAAAGAAATCATTCCTTTTATTCATAAAGGTACTTGATTCTTATCGCTTACACTTTTCTTGTCCTAACTTTGCCACTGTGATTTGTTCCTCTTGTACTTTATTTTGTTTCACGTTTTGTTTCATTGGTATTTATTCGTTTAATAATTTTTTGCATGGAAATAAAAAAGCATCTAGCATTCAGTCAACTCTTCACGCTTCGGTACGTACGCGTAGTAGACAGAGAATTCTCCGATCTCTGATGCTTTATGAAACCCATGGTATTAGTTTGTGGTTTTGTGGTTTGCTCGCATTTCCTGAACTTCATTGTGATTGGTCACCACACAGTCAACATTCCCGAAAATTTTCAGCCGTTCACAGTTTTCTGAGTTTGACAATAAATAGGCTCTTATTTTCTGACGATAAAAATACATCATAGCTAAGAGACGAGTATTTAGTGGTATTCAGCTCACTATTTAGGTAAATTCTGTATACCATTACAATTTGCCGTTAGAGTAATAAGGCATCTATGTCTCCAAAGAGGATCCTAAGAGTACAGAATTTTTTTTATAGATTTCAGAAAATAAGAACCTGATTAAAATTTTCGGCTTAACAGGTTCTTGTATAGAGGGGGCCAAGCAGGCAAATTTTAGCCTAACAGGTTCTTAAAAACTAGGTTCTTAGTTGCAGGTTTTTACTGTAGTACTTGTTTGTCACTATGCTGTGATTTTGTGCTTATCAACAACTGCAGCCTTAAAAAATTTATCAACATTCTCGTAGTTTGCTTTTGTTGATCGCTATAACAGAACCCCTCAGGAAATATAGCCTAGGCTTTTATCAGCAGGTTCAAATGGTCACATTTGAAGATTGCCTAGTCCCTGTACGGTGTTTTCCCAGGCCTTCTCAGTCAATTCACTTCATGAGGTATCTGACACAAATGGGCAGGAAATGCCTAGACAAAATCAGAATGGACGTGCTTGCATTGTTTTTTAATCAAGATGTCGTAATTGTAAACAGAAGGAAGGTTTTAATACCCTTTTGGATATTTGCAAAATAGTAGATCGATTTTCGCCAACCGGCTTTGAAGAGTGACCAGAATGTCATGAATTCATAGTCCTGTGAAGATTGATTTCTGCTCCCTCAATCTTATCATTCTAACTGAACTATCGGAGTATCTAGCTCTTAACCCATTTAAACGACTGCGCAAATTTTCAAAATAAAAGCGATACTTTAGTGACCCTTTGTGTAGTAAACTTAAAACGCAAATCTTGATTAATCAGAAATTAAACATACTTTCAAATAATATTCATTAGCTGTGCATTGAAATGTGCCTAAAAACTGAACCTAAAAGTAAAAGTTCTATAAAATGTGCCCACATCTTCGCAGAAGTGATGCATGTAATGTGAGAAGCATCACATGTAAAATAATTCAACTTGGATGCTGTAGTCTCAACCTCAGGATCGTGTTTTGAGCTATTTTGTTAACAATAAAAGAACATACAACAGACACAGAAATTATTTCTCGAACAATTATATTTAAAAACGCATAAATTAATACTTTAAAGCAACTCGCATAACACTAACTGGCTGGTGAATCTGTTCATGCAGTTAGAAACCAGGGTCTCAAAAGGTATAAAATGGCTATGAAATGTTCACTTACAGTATACATAAATTTCCTTTTAAAACATAATTTTCTTGACTACAGAGTACAAAAAGTTCAAAAACTTCACTGCTTAGTTCTGTTTCAAAACAGGCCAAGTACTTCGCCATGAAGAAAATTTTGAATTCCTAGCAGGAGTCAATTTTGTAAAGAAAAGCCTTCCTTTGTCTATGAAAAGAAAACTAAGCATTCTTTTGAACTTTCCCTTCCCATCTGTGTCTTTTAGCGGTGCATTTTTAACCTTGAAATGTGAAACTTTGGTCTTGTAACCCACGGCATGGGATGTCTCACTTTTGTCTCACTTTTGAGGATTTTTGTCTAGGCCTCACTTCTTTACTTGGACCAAGTGACCCGAAACGAATCAGCTGCACAGAATAATGGGGCCTAGGGACTAGGCAATTCTGTGGTGTAGGCTGTAATTGGTGGATTTTGGTCCATTTTGTTTGTTTCATTTTGTCATATGATTGACAACCAACTTTCTTGTTAGTTTCCTGTAAGTAATTAATGGGATTAGACCATTTTGCCAAGCTGACCCCAGTTACAGTAGGTTGTACTGTAACTATTACCAGTGTCCAAATGCTAGTCACTTGTACTTACTCATAATTTTTTGCATTACTTTCTTGGTATATTTCTTCCACAGTGTAGCACCCTTGTTGATGGCAGCTTCACTTTGATCCTCAATTGGAAGTGCATCAACTTCTGTTAGAGAAACATCCAAAGAAGACAATATGATGTCTTTGTCCCTGGCTCCTGTAGCCAACAGTGTCCCATCTGGGGATAATGCCAGAGCTTCCACCTTATCACAAATAAAAAATAAAAATTAAGAATTAAAAAGTTGTCGGTGGTTAGGATCATGATTATTTCTTATCTGATCGAGTTGTATTTAAAAATGTTCAAAATTGAATTTAACACCTGGAATTTGGCAAAAACAACCCTGGAGATCTGATTATAACACCAACCCTAGAAAATATGACAACAAAAAAAATGCCTTCTTTTTTTGACTGGGATCTAGAGAGAATCAGGTGGAAAAGTTTGAAATGGAGTGACATTTTTATGCACTTTGTTGAATTCTTGAATTTTACTGCAAACTCTTGGTGTTCAAGCAAGGTCTCAGTAGTCTCAGTATATTGGTTATGTCTCAAATTTTACAAGCCTGCGGAATTTGGGTGCACACATAGAGTTAGGTAATAAGCAGTGAGTCTGCTGTTGGCCTTCGAGTTGATCTGCCTCAATTCAAGTACCAATACCCCAATGAAACTACTTGTGACATAGTAAAAGTGCTTACATCTCTTTTGAAGACAACGATAACAATCAGCCGCCTACAAGGGGAAGCTTATATCAGCCTTGTTCATACCTCTAAGCCAAGTCTGTGTTGCTTGATTATCTGGAGCTGTTTGCTGCGCTTCCTTAAAGGATGCCACACTCGACAGGAATTGTCACCAACAGAGAAGATGATAGGCACTGATTTACTGCTTATTACAGGGTAAAACTGTATTTCATTGACAGCATCTTCATGTGCGCGGAGTTTGATGAGCAGTGTTCCACTTCTTGGTTCCCACAAAGCAATCTGAAAATAAGGACCACTCTTATAAGGGCATTTTTGTAAACACAAATAAGAAGGGGATAAGGAGCAGGGTGAATAGGCAAACGGATTGGCGGATTTTCAAAATATTTTTCCCCTGGATTTTGGATTCAAAGCAAGATTTTAGTGGATTTCCGGATCCTGCAATAAATTGCAGCAGATTCATCCATTTTGGGGGCCCGGATTTGGACTTTGCATGCAATTAAAATATTTGCACCCGGATTTCGGATTCAGGGCAAAATTTAGTGGCGGATTTGATTGATAAATCATGACAAATTGGCGGATTTGCATACCCCCATTCATCCCTTCCCCCCGGTAAGACATGTTGGTTTCAAATTCCATTCAAGCCCCCCCACACACACACACCAAAAAAAAGGCAGGCACATTGTTTTTTTCTTTCTCTTGGACAACTGTAGTATCCAGGAGAAACTGAGAATCATCCTTTTTCAAAAAACTGGAGGATCTGAAAATGTTATTTTCTCTTTTTCTCCTTACAATGATATCTGTAAATCAACAAGACCAAAATAAAAGTAATTTATTTCTGGCCACTTGAGCTACCCACCATTTCACAAGCAATGTTGAAATAAAATCATACATGAACCAAGATGGTGACTTGTTCAACTATCTCACGCTGAATTTTGTACATTTTTGGAAGAGAATGTTTATAGAGTGCCATTTTGTGTTATCATAACTGGAACAAAGGCTCCACAACATTTTTACAAACTCCAGTTACATGTTCTTGGTCAAGAGACCTTCCATCAACTCTGGCTAAACCCTGGCTTAAGCGATCTTTCAAGGAACCAGGAATGATCATTTGTGGATGCTAAAACATCACAAACAGCATTAAAACAGATGGAAAGATTATATCCCTCTAAACATAAATGGTTAAAAAACCAAATCCCAATTTTTATTATTTTCTTTTCTACTAATTAATAATTTACAACGGCATCTCTTTCATCATCCGCATCGAATTGTAATTGACGTCATAAGTCCAAATCCTAAGATGGATTCAATTTACAGGATGTGAATACGGTATATGAATGAAAAGGGAACAAAATTCGTGAGTAATGACACCAACTATGAACTTATTTCACGCAATGTTTTAAGCCAGATTTTGCTAAAGTCACCTTTTGTTTAGAAACAGAAGACGCAAATCATTGCTTTTGAAGTTGAAACACTATGACGTCCATGGCTACCACTTTCAGCTACCGCCAAACTAATCGGTTCATTGGATGACAAAAAAACTCTCTTTTCAAACCACAAAACAATCGATCCCCTTAAAATTAACAGCTATTATTAATAACCAGCACTAAAAAAGGTCTCGAAATTGAACGTCCATTCCGTGGGAATAAAATAATTTTCCGTAACCATAAAAAACGCAACTACCAAAATGGATTCCAAAATGAGCTAAACTTTTGACAACTCTAAAAAGTAAAACAAACTTTGTTCTCACGATGGAATCAAACACAACTGTTGAAGTAATGATTTTCTTTCGAACGTGGTAGGGTAAAATTCCTTAAATTAAACCGCGAAAAAAGAACAAATATCTTCGCTTGACTTGAGTCAAAAATATTTTGACAGCGATTTTCAACCTGATTGCGCTTGGTGTTTTAATACATGTTCAAAAAGTTATCGTCCACTTTGTTCAAAGAGGACCGAAGAGTCTCCAAAAGTATAAAAAACATTGATTACTTTTTAAGTACTGTAGTTATAGCTTTAAAGGTGTGGCAAGTTAACATTAAAATACGAAAAGAACCTAGAAATACTTTCCTAAGAAGTTATTTTTTCTATATTGTGGCAGTATTAGATCATTTCTCACCTTGTTATCAGCCGCCCCAGAGGCGATGTATCCGCCATCTGGAGACCACGCACAGGATTTCACGCTATCGTCATGCGCTCCGACCAGTGACATGACGGAATTTGCCATTCGTGTATCCCAGATCTTTAAGGAACCGTCATCTGCTCCAGAACAAAGCAAATTTGTTGAAATCCCACTCGTTTGAAACACACAATTCCATACACCAGTTGTATGACCTACAAGTCTATGAATTAACCGTCCCGTGCGCACATCAGAGAGACATACGGTTTTGTCCCAACCAGCGGAGGCCAATAAGTCACCACCACTCGAAAATGAAGTCCCCAAAACCCATCCTTTGTGATGCGAAATAGATTGAAGTAGTTTCCCTGTTTCCCCACTCCACAAGGCGACAGTGCCGTCAGCCGAACCGGAGGCGAGTCTACCCAGATGGCCTTCCGCTGCTCCTCGCGGCTGCCAAGAGAGACAAGTGACGGGATTTCGATGGTGCCGTAAAACGAACATAGATTCCAACGTACTGAGATCCCATATCCTCACTGTTTTATCCCAACTAGCGGAGGCGAGATGTAGTCCACTAGGACTAAATTCTAGCTGACAAACGTGCCACTTATGGCCGCTCAGATTAGTTTGCTTTTCGGCCGAAACACTCATTCAGCCGATGTCTTCAACTCTCGTTGAAAAGCAGCTTAAAAGTAAGCGCACGCTTATTATACTCTATAATCCTGACTTATCCTTGTCCTAACTTGTTAACCAACTTGCATTGTCTCCCAGGAATCTGCGGTTCCCACGTCGGTAAATATTTCTTCGTTCGTTGTTTACCTAAAATTTTAACATTAGTTGTGCAAACGCGGCAAGATACGGCTACATCATAATCGAAAATGTGCGTAGCTTGTTTGTTCCCTGAGTCACCAAAAATGGACTTCTCGTCAAAATCTCCTGACAGCTGATTTATAAAGATATTTTCTCACTTCCGAATAAGATAAATATTAAGAGTCCCAAAACTACCTTGGAAAGTAAGCACTTATCACGTGACATTGTCAACCAACCGGATCTTGAATAAATCCGATTTCCTGAGTGGAAGCAGTAACAGTAAATTTAGGCCTCAAAAATTATTTATAGGAATTAAGAAGTTTTTTGCAGTTGTCGAGTGCCACTGCCATTTGTCAAAAGATGACAGAGGAAATAAAAAGAACAGCTAAAAATGACCGCAGTAAAGATAAAACGGTTTTGTGGTTTGTAATATTGAAGGCTATTATTAACAAATGATACATATCTACTAAATCTTCCAACAGTGTTTTTTTCCCGTTTGTATTTCAGTTCGAAAAGCAAGAACGCAGAAAGCACATGTCAGATGGCCTCGGTGCAAATCTTTTTAGAAGAGTCTTAATTAAAATTCAGCAGTAGACAAAATTGTCTCTGACAGGTCATTGTGTGAAAATTAAACAACTTTGTTAAAGGAGCCATGCATCTTAACAAAAAAAACATTACTTTTTTTTTATTTCAAAAACATCACTGTGGTCCCTTGCAAAGCAGAAGCTAAGGTTTTCATTTTTCTCTGGGATTATGCTCAACAGAACATCTTCCCTGTCACATTATATAAATGAACTTGAGTGCACAGTTACACGTCAATAATAAAGTTGTGGTCATTCCTCGCCTATCAATAATATTTGTCTCGTATAAAACAAAAGAAAAAGGGTTTCAAAGATATTAAGAAACTGAAAAATTACACGGATTGCACAGTTAAATATGGGCAATATAAAAGATCATGAAATTTAAAACATGTATTCGAACTTTGTCAGAAAAAGTTTAACATAAAAATGATTTAGTTGATAAGAAGTCTAGTTTACTACGTGAAATTTGTGACCTTGTATGGAATTAAAACACTAATTTCCACCAAGTTTTGAATTGAAACAAAAATATTTTGACTATGCATACTATCTCCTAAATATTTCATACTGCGGTACCCATTTTGTGTCAAACTTTTTTTTTGTGCTGTGGAAATTCAAAACTCCATTAACATCTTAGACGACCCATATTGATGTATCTGTTTAAACACCAATACTTGTTTCAACTATCCCCTCCAAGATCTCAGTATAATCAGTTTTCAAAACATCTGCCAATTTCTATTTGTAGTGCCACCTGCACTATATGTAGTACTGTAGTCACACTGGCGGTGCCTGTATTGTCCACTTATACACAGTAATATCATACTATCTCAACCGTTAGACTTTCACTTTTTCACAGCATATGAGTTTTAAAGCTTCCTTACTCTTTAAAGTGAAAAAGAAAACTGCTCTTAAAATCTAACTTATTCCTTTTCTATCATGAATAATACTAGGAAAAAGAACAATAAAAAGCATATTTATCTTGCACATCAAATAATGAGCAAGTCTTGGTTATATGAAAAGTTTTTTTTCTGTTTGCCCTAATATTAAAATATATTAATTTGATGCTATATTTATTAGCAAATACAAACGCAAAATACCTCATCGGGGGTTTCAATAAAAATTAACGTAGCCAGCAGGTTTGAATAGAGTAACCGACTGTATCAACATGGTCCCGTTAGTCCCCCTTTTTTAGGGGGGGGGGGTGCTCGGCGCAGTCTGCCCCAGAAAATTTTGAAATTTCAATGCCCTAGTATGCGATTTTCAGCATTCTGGGGACTAAATTTGAGGACGAAAGAGTGTGTTTTTCATTTTACAAAAATTTCGCTTTCAATGTATCAGTCACACAATCAATTCCTATAAGCAATGAACCAATGGTGAGTAAACCTATAAGGAAACTTGTGAAAAATGACTGAAATATCGCATTCACATGACTAAAGCATAACGTAAAACCAGTGGGCCTTTATGAAAACACATCACAATTATGTTTTCATTCAGATTTCATGATATTTTTTTTGTTTACAGCGTTATTCAAACAAGTTGCTTCTTCTTTCTAGAAAAAAGGTAGCCGACCTCTATGAGCAAAGTAGACGACACATTTCGTCAGCCGTCGGTGCTTATTGAAATCCCTGCCTCATTTTTAATGAATTATTTTTAAAAAGAACAAATTTTCAAGGTCTGGTTTAATTAAAAACTTAGAGTAGAAGATAAAAAACCTAAAAACTAATGATTGAGGGCAACAGTAAATAAAATATTGTCTGCTAACTTCTAACAAAAAAAATTATTTTTAAAAAGAATGCCAGCAAAGAAACTAGTAGTTGCCTTGTCTTGAACAAGTGACAAACTTTTTTATGTCAGAAATGCAAAGGGTAAGTTAAAACCTTAGCTAGCTCAGTTAGCACACAACTCTTTAAGGCTGTATCTTTAAATGAGACATCACTGTTTGACAGTTTATGGATGGCTTACAAGAAGAGATAATGGCTAAAGTTGATTGTTTCAAAAAAATAATATTAAAATGATAATCTCACCAAAGAAAAAAGTGAATGGTTATCTATTTCTGCTCAGTGGTTTTCTATTCACAGCCTTTTGCAATAAGTTTTGCTGAGTCTGCATTAAGATCTCTAGAAACTCCATTGATGGTTTATTCTCCTCAAAAAATTAACAAACTTTCAGAACAAATATAATTGAAAGGATAACTACATGTATAATTTACATCTGTGGTAATTGCTAACCCTGCTTAGGAATTACACCTCACTGGTACTTAATTTTCATGGGAATTAAATTTCACTATTTTTTTGGGAAATTTAACTCCTACAAAAAATGTTACAACAAAAAAATAGCAAATGAAATTCAATGTATTTGCACAAAATTTCGTTTTCAACCTCATGATTTGTTTTAAAGACACTGAAAGTGCTATTCAGATGTCAACACTAAATGCTTTCTAATAAGAAGAGACATACAGTTGAGTTCTGGACTAGAAAGGGGATTAGACATTAAGTTTTATCAAAAACAATCATTTTGTTAGATTTGTTGTTGTTATTAATTGTTCACATCAGTCCAATATTGCCATTGCTAATGTTGACATGGCACCAGATGATTTTTCGACTGGTTGAAGGGGTCAAAATGTTAGCCGATATTGCAAAATTGACACAACAATGTGAACACCATAATCATCTCAATTTTGGCATGCCAAAGGCATGGTGGCATGGATGCATGGTAACTCAGCTTGGAGACACCATTTTGGATTTGCCAAAGTAGCACTCTATGCATGAGCACATAGTAAAACCCTCCGACAAAAGTTAAAATTTAACCTGGTTCATCAGTTCTGTGAGAACAGAGTGAAGATATTAGACAGTTCCATGCAAACAAAGTGTTTGGTCAAATTTTTCAGCTGGTCAAAAATTCCCGCGATGCCATGTGAAGTTATTGTAATGAAAAAGGAAAGAGGGACTATCATCTGACCCTCAATTTTGCCAAAATATGTTCCCTTTCACACAACTTTTTATTGCGAACATACCTCGTCCATAATTGCAAAATTAACTGGCGACAAAAATTAGTACCAATGAGGCAACTACACCAGTTAGTTTCCAAGGCCTCTTCTTTAAACTACCACCTCTGCTTGAGCACTCTGTTTTACATTAGCTTACCTTAGAATTTGTCTGAAACCGGTTTAATTGTCATTGTTTTCTTTCTGATTTCAAAAAAAATGTTGCTGACAGTTTGTACTCTCATAAAGCTGACAATAAGAAGCACAAATCTGAACACAGTTTTCTAAATCGCAGTGACTGATAGTTATCTGTAGTTGATATCAACTTGTGTTGAAGCTTATTCCTCCGAGAGACAAACAATATGCTTTGTCCATCATTTTAGCCAGTTAGTACAGTTCGTGTGATTTGTAAATAAGCCTATCATCACAATTATGATGATGAAGATGATGACGACAAGGATGATGATAATGATGATGATGATATATGATGATGTCTGGGGTCAATTCTGATTCTCAAATGACATCACAACATCGTTCCTAAGGGCATCACCATGATTATGACACGCAAAAATTATCCGCAAGAATCGTGATACGATGGCCTCTGTCTTTCAAGTTTTGATAAGCTAATTCACTTCCACACTTGAGTAATTCTAGATTAACTAGTTGTGTTTCGGCTTGTTCTTTTACCTGCACAATAGATAATTCTCTTCATTCCATCTTAAACAGTACCACGTTCGTTAATGCGACAGAAACTTCCTTCCCTTCTTTTTCCGCCGCTCTAGAATCTTTCTCCCCGCTCGAGTTCGCAGTCTGGCCAAGAAACCATGCTTGCGTTTTCGCTGAAGGTTGTTTGGTTGGTATTCCATTCCAAACCTCACATAGCGGCCCGGTTGCTGAAAAACGGGAAATGGCCTTCCCAGAAAATAAGATACACCTGGTAGCTGGGAAGCTGTTTGGGCAAAAGAGCGAGAAATAAGGGAACAAAACCAACTCATTTCGCCTTTACAATCCACATGAAGGGTAGTACTTGGTGTAAGACTGCCCAAAATGTCCCGGGCCACCGCCCACCGCTGTCAGTGCTGTAGTGAAGGGTAGTACTTGGTGTAAGACTGCCCAAAATGTCCCGGGCCACCGCCCACCGCTGTCAGTGCTGTAGTGGCTGTACCCTAGTAGACACAATGATACCTGTAGTGGCTGTAGTAGCTGTAGTACCTGTAGTACCTGTAGTACCTGTAGTAGGTGTAGTACCTGTAGTAGCTGTAGTACCTGTAGTAGCTGTAGTAGCTGTAGTACCTGTAGTAGCTGTAGTAGCTGTAGTAGCTGTAGTAGCAGTAGTACCTGTAGTACCTGTAGTACCTGTAGTAGCTGTAGTAGCCGTAGTAGCTGTAGTACCTGTAGTACCTGTAGTACCTGTAGTAGGTGTAGTACCTGTAGTAGCTGTAGTAGCTGTAGTAGCCGTAGTACCTGTAGTAGCTGTAGTACCTGTAGTACCTGTAGTAGCTGTAGTAGCCGTAGTAGCTGTAGTAGCTGTAGTAGCTGTAGTACCTGTAGTAGCCGTAGTACCTGTAGTAGCTGTAGTAGCCGTAGTAGCTGTAGTAGCTGTAGTAGCTGTAGTACCTGTAGTAGCCGTAGTAGCTGTAGTAGCTGTAGTAGCTGTAGTAGCTGTAGTAGCTGTAGTACCTGTAGTAGCTGTAGTAGCTGTAGTAGCCGTAGTAGCTGTAGTAGCTGTAGTACCTGTAGTAGCTGTAGTAGCTGTAGTAGCTGTAGTAGGTGTAGTACCTGTAGTACCTGTAGTAGCTGTAGTACCTGTAGTACCTGTAGTACCTGTAGTACCTGTAGTAGGTGTAGTACCTGTAGTAGCTGTAGTAGCTGTAGTAGCTGTAGTAGCCGTAGTACCTGTAGTAGCTGTAGTAGCTGTAGTAGCTGTAGTAGCTGTAGTACCTGTAGTAGCTGTAGTAGCTGTAGTACCTGTAGTAGGTGTAGTAGCCGTAGTAGCTGTAGTAGCTGTAGTAGCTGTAGTAGTTGTAGTAGCTGTAGTAGCTGTAGTAGCTGTAGTACCTGTAGTACCTGTAGTAGCTGTAGTAGCTGTAGTAGCTGTAGTACCTGTAGTAGCTGTAGTACGTGTAGTAGCTGTATTAGGTGTAGTAGGTGTAGTACCTGTAGTACCTGTAGTAGCCGTAGTAGCTGTAGTAGCTGTAGTAGGTGTAGTACCTGTAGTAGCCGTAGTAGCTGTAGTACCTGTAGTACCTGTAGCACCTGTAGTACCTGTAGTAGGTGTAGTACCTGTAGTAGCTGTAGTAGCCGTAGTACCTGTAGTACCTGTAGTAGCCGTAGTAGCTGTAGTACCTGTAGTAGCTGTGGTAGGTGTAGTAGCTGTAGTAGCTGTAGTACCTGTAGTACCTGTAGTAGCTGTAGTACCCGTAGTAGCTGTAGTATCTGTAGTATCTGTAGCAGCTGTAGTACCTGTAGTAGCTGTAGTTGCTGTAGTAGCCGTAGTAGCTGTAGTACCTGTAGTAGCTGTAGTAGCTGTGGTACCTGTAGTAGCTGTAGTAGGTGTAGTACCTGTAGTAGCTGTAGTAGCTGTAGTACCTGTAGTAGCTGTAGTAGCCGTAGTAGCTGTAGTACCTGTAGTAGCTGTAGTAGGTGTAGTAGCTGTAGTAGCTGTAGTAGCTGTAGTAGCCGTAGTAGCTGTAGTAGCTGTAGTACCTGTAGTAGCCGTAGTAGCTGTAGTACCTGTAGTAGCTGTAGTAGCTGTAGTACCTGTAGTAGCTGTAGTAGCTGTAGTAGCTGTAGTAACTGTAGTAGCTGTAGTAGGTGTAGTAGCTGTAGTAGCTGTAGTAGGTGTAGTAGCTGTAGTAGGTGTAGTAGGTGTAGTAGCTGTAGTAGGTGTAGTAGCTGTAGTAGGTGTAGTAGCTGTAGTATCTGTAGTACGTGTAGTATCTGTAGTAGCTGTAGTAGGTGTAGTAGCAGGTGACAAATGATCTATTTGGTATCGACCTTGTTCAATCAGAAGTTTGTGATTACTTATTTTAAACTGGACCAAAATGTTGTCATTCATCATAATGTCTTAGCTGGTAGAGATAATCAGTTGTAGAATATTCATATTTAAAAAATTATAAAATTCCATTTTTTTTTTAATTTTCAAGACTGTGTCGCAAAAAAGATAGCGGATATTTCTCTCTCATTTCTGTGGTATATCGTCCAATTTAATCATTATCTAAAGATTCTGTATCTAAACTGGTTAGATTGTATTGTTCAAACATGTTTATGAATTTGCAATAATATCCGAAATTATTCATAGAATGTACATTCTTTGACATAAGGAAAGACTGTTTGATTATAGGGTCCTTATCGTTGGTGGTTCGATAAACAAAATACTTCATAATGTTTTGATTTCTCGGGATAAGCAGCGGCAATCTACCAAGTTTAGCTCTGCAAGCTATGTTAGAGGCCTTATTGTTTACTTGTGAATAACGTTTAAAGAATTTTAGGTGAATTTTTTCTATTGGGGATCTATCCCATTTTTTTAAAATCTTGCTCGGTGCACATCCCCCTTGCCTCGCTGTTGTAAGTTAAGATGGGGAATATCCAGTGAATATCCTTGTGTCAAGAATTTGGGATTAGGTATCAGGATTAAGTTTATTAAGAACTGTCGTGTTTGCTTCCGAATACTAGAAAACGCCTGAAGGGCCTTCTCTTTTATATTAGTTATCATTGTTTATTTAAGGTGGCTTATAACAGTTTTCCGATGACACCATTGTCTTTTCAAACTTGGACATTTTTTACAACTAAAGGCATTCACTGGACTGAATTGATGTAATTAAGCTTGTAAAAACATTTTTAATGCGTAGTATAACGCGAAATATAGTGGCCAAGCACCCCAAAAGAGGACTGGAAACTAGATCTGGGCTGGATGGGAAGGCAATGTAATAAGATGACAAGACACCCAAGACACAAGCAATGCCAAAAATTCAGAGGGCAGTCGCAGCGCAGCGCTGGACTTTCTCTACTTCATCAATCGCTAACGGAGGTGTAGCGCTCTATTAAACTTGCTGAATGGAGAGCTCGCCTTCAGTTTGAACACGTAATTGTTTCTACATGAGTCAATCAGGTGGGTATAGAGCGGGCAAGCCAATATTCCTATTGTAGAAGAGAGACGCCCACTAGATATGGAGGAACTCACTTATTTTGTTTGCAGGAAATTACTTTTGTAACTGGTTATAATAATGGGTGATGTCATGAACGAGTAGTGTAGGAGCTGCTTGCAAGGTCTTTCATAATTGGAGGCGGGAAACAAAGACAAGTCATTCTTTTGGGTCAGGGTTAGGCACCACTGGACCCTCTTGAACTAGATCCTTGCGCATGTTAATACTAGGGAACCCACCAACAGGGCTTGTCTTTCAACATAGTACACTACTCTAGCCCAACAATACTACCAAGTGTGGAATAGCTGAACTTTTCTAGCCCGAAAGTGCCTCAAATCTCAACCAATAGATACAGTTGTACCATAATCTACCTAAGGATCAAAGGCTTTGATATAGACAGGGAAAAGTGATTTAAAGGTGGCTTAGTTAACGTCATTTATTATGGTGTGATTTCTTATTCTTAAATTTCTTCACCTTTGGTCGACTTAACGTACTTCTTCATACCAAAAGCTTCATCGTGCCATGTCCGCTTTAATTTTGAGTATTAGGCGGTTCTGGGCGAAAGGGGGAAGAGGTAAGGTTGAGAAGGCCTGATACTCAGTCTACGTCTGCTTATATACTGGTCTGTCAACATACAAGAACAACAACAACAATAAGCTTTATTTTCACAGCCATAAAAAGTTTCAGCTTCAACAGAATTCCATCAGTCATAAACAGAGCTGAACAGAAACAGAAACTCCAAACTTTTCATTCAAAACGTTTTTATCACCTACAAAGCCAGTTCAAATGTTTACAGTTTTTATTACCAATATATCGTGAAATGAGGTTTTTAAAATTACCTTTACGCGTTACTTCTCTCATATATTTTACTAACGTCAAACGTGAATTTTTCACACAACATTTTTTTTGGCATTTTTCTTGGCTCATTACATTTCTTTCTTGATTTTAACTCCGGACAAAGTTATTAAGCAAAGCTGGTTGCGCTGAAAAATTGCACAAAAATGCTAAGAAATGGTACTTTTGCTTGTACAATTTGCATATTTTCATAACTTCAGACCAAACAAACATTTTGTTTTTCGAGCAACTTTTGAGTAAGTTTTGTTGCAATAAGCAACTTTTGATTGTTTTTGGCAACTTTTGAGCATTTGTTTGAGAAATAATGAGAAACTTTTTGGAAAATCTCGAACAACTTATGGAAAGCCCTACCGGTCTGACCGGTCATCCTAGAGGAACTTAAGTCAGTTTTCAAAATTACAAAGGCTTCAGTGTTACTTTTTCGAAAATTTTAGTTGCGATTTAACGATTTACGAAAGTGAGGATTTTTCTGGTTACCTCTCCCCATCACATTTTAGAATCCAAAAAAATAAAATAAAAGAAAAATATTGTAACGTGGGAACTGATTTTGAAACATTAAAAATCAGAATTCGTAGGGAATTTATTAGGTATAAAGCATCGAAAATTGTTTATGAATGGAAGGTCCATCTAGAAATTTTTAGTCTTCCTCAAGCAAAAGAAAATTCTTGGCAATATTTCCTTCTCCGAACAGATATTTCGCAGAAAATTGTCTTTGGGTGCCCCTGGTAGCCTCGCCGGGTCAATTTTGTGCAATTGAGCATGGGACACCCCAGTCGTAAGAACAAGAGAGGTCGCGTAAAAAGATAAAAGCTAGAAAATATTTCTATATATCACTAACTTGATCAAATGTGTGTGAACCTTGACGTTCCTTTCATAAGCTTGTGCAAATCGTACTTTGTAGAAGGTTCCATTCAGGACTCACATACCTACATTTATATTGTATATATTCTCTCGCCCATTAAATCGACCGTAGTTTATATTAATCCCTTTGAATATGGACTCGGTTTCACTGGCTTACTCCTAATAATCCTCCAAGTTTGGTCGATTGACTAAATGGATAAGCCCGTTGAACCCGAAATAATGCGAAATAGCTTTGAAGCCCGCTTAAGCTAATTTTCGGCAAAAATGTATACTCAACAGCTTTCGTATTTTTATTCATCAAATTTTTATAATACGCATTGGCCACTCTGCTGCTAATAACGATCCCATGAACCTCATATTGCTGGGTCTAGATTCCTTCATGTTGCGGTGCAGCGGCACTCGAAAGTGAGACTAGTCGATATGAATGCTTGGAAAATTGGCTGGAAGGTAACTTTACAATTCCTTACACCACTGGACGCCCCTACTAAGGCTGCTACAGCTACTACAGGTATTACAGGTACTACACCTACTACAGCTACTACACCTACTACAGACACTACAGCTACTACAGTTACTACACCTACTACAGCTACTACAGTTACTACAGCTACTACAGCTACTACAGCTACTACAGGTACTACACCTACTACAGGTACTACAGCTACTACAGCTACTACGGCTACTACAGCTACTACAGCTACTACAGGTACTACACCTACTACAGGTACTACAGGTACTACAGCTACTACAGCTACTACAGCTACTACAGGTACTACAGCTACTACAGCTACTACACCTACTACACCTACTACAGGTACTACAGCTACTACAGCTACTACAGCTACTACAGGTACTACAGCTACTACAGCTACTACGGCTACTACAGGTACTACAGGTACTACACCTACTACAGGTACTACAGGTACTACAGGTACTACAGCTACTACGGCTACTACAGCTACTACAGCTACTACACCTACTACAGGTACTACAGCTACTACAGCTACTACAGGTACTACAGGTACTACAGCTACGACAGCCACTACAGGTATCATTGTGTCTACTAGGGTACAGCCACTACAGCACTGACAGCGGTGGGCGGTGGCCCGGGACATTTTGGGCAGTCTTACACCAAGTACTACCCCATGAATGGGCAGTCTTACACCAAGTACTACCCCACATGAACACGCCGGAAAAAGTGCATTGTGGTAGCGTTACAGAAAAAAATTGCGAGGGACGGGAGTCACGAGGCTGAAAGATACTTTTTTTTGCTTGCGTTTTCCCTCTCCGGAAAACTTTGGTGACTAAATTTTTATTGAAGTAGGCAGAAATAAAAACTTCTTACTTCAAATATGATTTGTGGATGCGTTTTTTGGATACACATATTTCTTTGATTCAATTATTTCAAACTCGAATATTACCCTACCCTGCTTAGGAGCACTTTACCACAGGCAGCCCATCCGGCTTGAGCAGATTTGAAAGATGGCGGGCCGTGAGTGATATAGATCTGAAAATGGCAAAGAGAAGAAGTAAAATTGTTTATGCTCTCAAGTCACGACGCAGAAGCAGTGGAACTGATAGAAGTCAGTCAGCTTCATCTTATGAACAAGACACGAAAGAAACTTCGAGAAGGAATAAGCGGTCCGGTGCAAAAAATGAAGCTGCCGAGGCTTCTTCTTCAAATTTGAGCTCGAATGTCGAAAACAGTCAACAACATTCAAAGGTACAGTGTCAGATCAAACATGTAAACTGAGGCTTTCTTTTCGCGATATTTGGGTACATCAAAAGTGCTTCACTTATCCACTCTCAAATTTGACAATCAACTGTTGTACATGTATCACAGTCTTGTATGTGGTAGTCACAGGGACATAACCCACTTGTTTGTTTTCAAAATGGGACACAGTAATTAAAAAAAGTTTGAGTTACCAGTACTACCTTTTTCAGAGGATCTATCATTGTGATCACAGCAACAAATCATTACAAAATGTCAGCGGGAGCAGCAGTGGTAGCTGGCTGTAAAGACTCAGAAATATACTGCAAACTTTAGAAATGCTGGAACTGGGTCTCTGGGGTGAGACCCAGAGCATGTCTTAAACTGAAATAAATTTATTATTAGGTAACAAACTGATCCTTAAAGAGGAAAAGGAGGGAAAAAAGAATACTATTTTTTTCAGCCTTCACTTTAGTACTGTCTCAAAATATCTGTCCTTTTTTCTTAACAATAAGGTTCATTTTATTTTTAGTGCATTAAATATTTTTTTGTTACATGGTTAGCAGTGGAACAAAAGAAGTGGTTCTGCCACTGATAAAGGGTCATCTCCACATAAGCCCTCAACATCAAAACAAGCTGAAGGTACAGAATCTTTTGTCTTTAAACACTTAAAACTCTAACTCTGCAGTTACAAAATATGGTTGATAATTTTTAGACAGAGTCATCCATTTCAGTTTTATCTACCTTGGGGGGGGGGGGTAGACTCTAGATCATCTACTCTCGAAAAGTGTCCTCTTGAAAAAAACAAGGTGTCGGCTCTAGCAGGCTGAGTTTTATCAGGCACTGTTGACGGTGACCCCCCTTTCCCTCACCCAGGGTTCTCATTAAGTGCTGGAAACGGGCTAAAATAATGGCTACCTTGAGGGTTGAGCCCTGTACTTTTTGGAGAAAAGGGGTAAAATAGGGAATGAAAGCCTGAAATTGCCTGCAATACTCAATTGCTAAGCCACCTTCTTTTACATCCTAGCTGTCTCCTCTAAAACTTAATGAGAACCCTGCTCACCAACAACCCCCTCACCCATCATAAAGCTTGATTTTACAGTCAACTCTTGCCTTGCAGACACCCCCCTATTACAGAAGCTCCAATAATACCTGTAGACAGCAGTTAAATCCTCAACAAAAATAAATTACCGTGTAATTCAATAAATTAATATTAGTCCCACACAGCAAGTTGTGACTGTCACCTAATGAACGACAAAAATGTCATGACCAGTTTACAAAGTGGTTATCATGAGGGAAAAGATATAATATTAGACAGGCCATATTGGCTTTGTGTGTTTGTGTCACATGACCAATGCTTCCTTTAAACAATGAGTTGGACTCTTGCTGATGCTAAAAATTGACAGAGCTCATAAAAATTATCTTACTTACACCCAAAATTTGAAAGGAAACACATTTAAGGAAGATATGTTATGGCACTTTGATTTTTCAACAAAGTAGTATGATTTGTATTGGCAGCCATGTTGGAGGGCATACTCTTTCAAATGGCCTATTGAGGGACATTTTTGTGAGGCCTCCTACTGCATGTTGAAGTTTAACTGAATAAGCCTTGGAAAGAACCCACTCTTGAGCATAATGTTTGTCCTCATTTTAAAGGTGGAACTGAAGATACCCGCAGTGATCAAAAGGTAGTAGAGAAGAAGAGAACTTATCCAAAAAGAAACAAAACGGTAAAAGCTGATGAAGCCCCAGAACGTATTAGAGATATGACTGTTACAAAGAAAGCTTATGCCAAGTGGAAGCCACTAAGCTCATCAACAAAGAAATACACGAAGCAAGTCCTAGAAAGCACAATTTTGTAAGTGAACTAATAAACATAATATAGGTCATTGAGTACCTAATTAATTGTTAATAAAATGTCCCAGTTTGCCAAAAACTGGGTATCATTGTAAATTTTGTTTAGTTACTGAGTCACACAAGTCACACAAAGCTGTCAGGAGCTCGTAGATGCAAGAACATACTGTACCGTTCTCAAATAGAGTGAATGCCCAGGCATTTTATAGTTTACTGTTAAGTATTATTATATTGGTCAACATCAACTTAAATGCCTTAATAATAAGACAGTTCCTTAATGTGAAGGGTTACATTCCATGTCATTTGGGAAGGATCTCTCTCCCCCTGGCCCTGGGAATGAAGTAGGGCTTACGTTATCATTGACAGAATGTCATGTTACCAAGTCTTAAACAACTTGTTGTTATTAACAGGAGTGTTATAAATAGTGTTGGAAAAGAATCCAAGAAAAGTGACTTACAAGTTCATTTGAAGCAGTTATCTGACAGGTGATCTCTATTAACTTTAAAGCTAACCTTGTAATTATTAATAATTTATTTTTATTTGTGGAGAAGTCACCAGTCAGAGGTCTTTTAACGCCTTGCCTATCAAGGACGTACATCTATATCCTGTGTCAGGTCACTATATATGTCCTAAGACAAATGAAATCACCAAAAGTCTGATCGTTCGAGTTGCCTTGAAGAATTGAACTCTGGTTGTCAAGAAAGGTCACCGGTTGCTCCTTTCCTCCTTGACTCTTGATTACAATGACACATCTCAGTCATCTCTATAATTATGATTACTTTTTGTATACAATTGCAGGAGAGAAAGCAGTGAAAAAGTTCCCCCTTCTTCCTCTTTCTAGCCTCCATTGGTCACCTTCATTCATGTACTTAATACCTCACTGATTCTTAAAACTAGATCGGTGCAAACCTGAAACGAGTCGGAGACAATTCGTAATGATTCAGTTGATTACTGGTACTTTTTTCACCAGAATTATCAAGAGACTAGATCATGTCAAAGGGCCAACACAGAAAGGAGACTACTGTAAAATGGAAGCTGAATCTGTACGTCTTTTCTTTTAATTTTGTATTTGTTTTTTTGTTTGTAACTGTGATTGATGTTGTTGCTATTTTTGCATTATTGTGTCTGTGAAGTCCCATCCTTTCTTCATTTTTGACCATTCATTTTTTTAAATCTTGTCTCTTACGTTTCTCTCACCTCTTTCAGTTTTGAGCTGAAACCTAAGGGAACATTATAATAATAGTTATATAATTCCACTGTATCAAACCATGGCTCCTTTCGCAGGCATCTTTTGTTCCCTATTCCCTCAAGTTTCATATCAGATGGATTGGGTGTCCTGTGCCAATATTATTTTTCACAGGGTTTCCTTGGTACTACAGTCAAAGCTCTATGGGTAGCCACCTCTTCTAAGCTAAAGCAGCCACCTCCCATAAGTGACTGATGCCAAACACCAGCATTTTCCCAGTCAAAACCCCATAGTTGGCCTCTCTCACAAGCAACCACTTTGCAACAACATTTACGGGTACAAGCTTGGTCCGATCTCTATGTTTGATGTAGGAACTAAGCTACTCAGACTGTACAAAGAACATTTAGTGACAATAGGGAACTATCACACCAATAATAATTAACAATTATTAGGCAAGGTTGAGCAAAATATCATGATTTGTCTGTGGCGAGCAGATCAATTATTTGCCGAAGCCGATGATCTCCGAGACACTGACAAATCACGATATTTTGTGATAACCGAGTTCAATAATTGTTTTATCATTCGATCATCGAGTTTGTTTTTTTAATGAATATCCTTGGGAAGCGCAGCGATCTGCCATTTTCACGCAAGAGCAATCGCAAGAAGGAGAAAAGCATGGTTTCCTTTACTTATGAGCAGAATATTATTTGCAGCCAAACACTGTTGGACAGCATTGCACATGAGCAGACCATTATTTGTAGGCAGTTATTTGCAGGTCACATGGTGGGCTCTCGAATGATAATAATTTACCTTCGAATGATAATAACTTACAATTATTATTGTAATTGAAACTGAGAAATTGCATGCAGTGAATTCTCTTCCAAAACGTAGATGTACATCTCTTGCTCTACTCAAAAGAGATCCCTTGTGGTTTGATTCTCATCTGTGTTCAGCTCACATTTGACAAGCAGCCACTAATTCTTCATAAGTCTGTGCAGCTGGCTGCTTTTTTAGTGTTGTTTTGTGGTTCACAAAGTAAGAGTTAGAGCGGCGCAAATGCTGTAATGAGGTCGAAACAGAATTCACGCAGTATCCCTTACTATATGAATCCAGAAAAAAATCATACCAGAAAAACAGTAAACCGCCAGCTACCCAGGCTAAATCTCCATTGTTTAGGTTGTCACTCACAGATTCAACTGTACTTGTTCCTGTGAATTCTTTTTTCATCCACTGAAACTGCCTGCAGAGATTTTTTTTTTTTTTTTTTTTTTTTTTTTTTTTTTTTTTTTTATTGACAACAAATCAACAACATTAATACACAGCAGAAAGTAAAAGAGCAAATAAGTAAATAAATATGTCAGCAAGTAACAAAACAAATTACAATAAAAATGAAAAGTATTGGAAAAAAAAAAACCTGTCAGTTGCCACACATATTTAATATCGTTTACCTGCAGAGAACGCTAATTGAACATGGACTTCAAAAAATTGTCTTGCTTGACCTTTTGACATTTAGCAGGGTTCACTTCTCCTTTTTCATAGCATGAACTGGAAGATGCTGTCATATCTTTTAACCGACAAACTGAAGCTTTGGAAAAAGAATTGGAAGAGCAAACAAGGTATAAATTAGGGATATTTAATTTCTTTAGCATTAAATCAGGGGCACCCAACGACTGATTTCAGTAAAATATCTGTTCGTAGTTCAAGCAAATATTGCCAAGAATTTATTATTGCTTTCAAGGACAGCTAAAAATTTCTACATGACTGATCCCGGATTCACGGACAATATTTTCTATGCATATCTTGTAAATTCCCTATGATTTTCTGACGTATAATGCTTTACATTTCACTCCCCAGGTTAAGCTATATTTCGTAGAAAAAGGAACCTAGCATTTTCGGATTCGAAAAAGTAATGGAGAGAGGAATCAAAAGAATTCTCGCCTTTATAAAGCTTTTAATTACATCTAAAATTTTCCAGAAAATTATACTGAAGCCCTTTGTAATTTCAAAAAGACCTCAAGTTTGCCAAGGATAACCAAACAGATAAAAATTTAATGGTGCCATTTAGAATGCATTTCTTGAGATCTAAAAAGTACTCTTGATAGCTTAAAAAGTGTTTTTAGTGTATTTGGGAGGAGACCATTGTTGGTTGCCCCTGTTGTCTCAGCCCCTTTCCCCTTCCCTCATATGGCAAGCATACAATCTTAAATTTCTGAGGTTTTGTTAGCTTAAAGCAAGGATTATAATATTTACTTACCTATATATTCCATTTAAGGCTTTTTGAGCAAGATGAACAAATGTTAGAAAGCTTCAGTAATCAAGAACAGGATTTACAACAGGTGAGATTTCTTCTTTTCTTTTCAAGTTTCAGTGTGGTTAGTCCTTTAATCTGTTTTAAATATTATTGCCTAGCATTTTAAAAATTAGAATACTTTCTAATGTCTTTCTAGTCTTTCTAGTGTAATAAAAATGTATAAGTTAAGTGAAAATGAGCTATAAAAAAAGAATAAACCAAACAGTTTTTCTATTCCCTTTAAAGAAACATGCCATTCCCACAAACACTGTAAATACAATTTTTCTTTCTTCTTTATTTTCCTTCCCTTTGTAAATTAAAACGGCACCATTTTTAATAGAATTTGAAACAGAGGAATCAACCAAACTACAGGAATTCAGGGGTGAATCTAGGAAAAACAGCAACTTTTTTCTGAAACAACCAAATCCAAGTGGCTGGGGTGGGTTGGGGGGCTTATGATTGGATGGTGTTGTTGTTGTTTACAGGTGTGTGGATTGTAACTGGGAGGGGGGGGGTTATAAGCAGCAGTTTACTGTATTTATTCTGAGAAACGTGACCAGTTTCCTTAACACAGAGAAATTGGCAAAGACAGGGTTTGCACAGCCTTGAAAAGCCCTTGAATTTTAGGGGAAGTCTTTGCTTGAAAAGTCCTTGGATCTTCTTCAACTTTGAATGTAGTTGCCTGGAAAGTTTTTTTTAATGCTTTTTGGTTGTCCAAGACAGAATATAAATCATAGCTTAGAGACGTTTTTTAGAGAAGCGCTTTTTTGTTTCATGCAATAATTAACAATCAATTTAAGACAAGTGTACTGAAAAATGTAGAGAAGTTAGTGAAGCAAACAGTTTAAGCCTTAAAGTCATGTTAGAATGTACTGGGAAAGTGAATTTTTGTACAATCTGTGAAATAAGTTTCCTGTTAGGTGGTCCTTGAAAATCAAATGTGGTCCTTGAAAAGTCCTTAAAAACTGGTTGAAAATTTTTGTATGAACCCTGTATAGATCCACGCCTATGAATTTAATAGTCGTAAAACTCAGGAATGCCCCTCGGCGTCATTAAACCACAACTGTTGGGGTTAACTGAGTCAACAGCAAGATTCATTGTGTTTCTGTTGGCTTTTAAATCACACAGCTTCATCCCCTTCTGCAAAAACAACCTGCCAATGCATTAAATCTTCCCAGTTTGTCAAGTGCAGCTGTACCGCATGAAATGTCTTCAATCTTTGAGGTAGGTGTTGTTAGGGCGTGGAAAGAGTCCCAACGTTTTAGCTAAAACTGTGGGCCCCAAAACATTACAAATGTCACACCTTGTGAAATATCTCTTCGCTTGTTTCTTAGACGTACAACCACGAGGTTTGCAGTTCCTATACGCAAATCCGTAGGTGTTTTGTGTTCAATGTAAAATTCAGTTCGTTTTTAGGTATATATACAGGTACCCTTAGTTGTATTGTAAAACCCCCTGATGAAGTGTGCGCTAGTCACACGAAACGCGTAGGAGACAATAAAACAATTTTACAACTCAAGAATTTCGCAGAAGCGCTGTTCACTGGTTTGTCCTTTAAAAACATCTCTAAAAGGGGTAAAGAAAGGATTTTCAATTCAATTCAATTTTATTATTCACACTTTATAAAATATTTACATTATATAAAGGAGAAGAGGAAGAAGAAAAAAGAAAATTAATGGCTTGGGTAGAAGTGTAAGGTGGTCAGAGGAGCTTAGCTTTCGAGCTAACCACCGCAAGGAGGGCACCAACTCTGGGCCTCCGGTTTACTTCAACGAGGCATCCGTCTTCTAGAGGTGTCCGTTAAGACAGAGTTGACTGTATTTTAATGTGTAACATGTCTTATTTGGTGAATCATACCAGTGGTTTCTTGTTTGTTTGTTTTGTTTTTTTCCTATTATTTTATACAGATACCGACATCACTAGAGAGCAGTGGGGAACGATTAGCACAATCACTCGCCAGATTAAGTGATCGAGCACAACAAGTCGGTTTCACTACCTGGCTAGAGTCCTTAAGTGACAGAACTAACTCATAGCAAACAGCATTTCATTCATATTAAGCACATCAAAATTTATTTAGTAAAACATAAATAATTTACTATTATTATTAAACTTGAGTTTGTTATCGGGAACAAATGTCTTTGTGGTAAGGACAAACCAGTTGAACGTCAATGTGCGACCACCTCTCATAAGCGACCGCCTATCCAAAACACCAAAGCTTTCCCAGTCAGAGCCTTACAGTCGAAACTTCTAGTAAATGACCACCTCCTATAAGCGACTGCGGCCACGACCACTTTTTGGGCCTGAAAGCTTCTTGATTTTCCATTCTTTTTAAGCCCTTGTAAGCGACCGCTTGAAGCGTTCTCTGATCTCTATGTTAGCTGTGTGCACTAAGCTACTTAGAATATACGACATGTACAAAGAACTTTAGTGACATGGCGTAACTTAGAAATTGCATGCAATAAATTATCTTCCGTAAAGTAGATGTGCCGAGACCTCTTCTCGGAAGAGGCCCCTTGTGGTTCGATTATTGTAAGCGACCACTAAGTCTTTCATTTTGTGTGGTCGCTTATCGGAGGTTCGACTGTACTCCTTTTTACTGAAATTACTGACATGGAAACTAATTCTTCATTGATTTAACCATAAGATTCTGTACAAGTACATCATATTTTTTACAAAACAGAGAGGCTACTTAGTGTTCTTTATTTAGGAAAAGGCGGTGAGCAGACTGGTTTGGGGGTAGGTGATATAGTTTTAAAAACAGTACTATGGTATTCCTGCTTTTTCGATGCGACATGAGGATACACAATTTCAAAATAGAGAGGTTGCTGCCAGGCCATTATTTTTGAAAGTTAAGAAATAAACCTTTCAACTTCATTATTTTGTTCTCCCATTGTAGATCACATATCAGTACACAGAAAGCATTCCATTTTGACATTTATCAACTTAAAAATTTTAAAACATTATTCATGCTTCTGGGCCTCTGAGAAGATCATGTAATCTTCAATGGATAATTCTTAGCATATAGAGGAAATAATATTTACGGCACTTTCAGTTAACCGATTTATTCATAGACCTGTAATAAACAAATTTATTCTTGATTCAGTCTGCTGTATAGTAAATTTGTGAGAGGAGATAACTAAAAATAATAATTATTATATGGTATTTAGTCAACTTCGCCTGCTCAATTTCCTCACCTCTTTCCCCTAAGTAAAGAACACTCTGAAGAGGGAACTTCCGTACCGTGACTTGTGAGTTTCTGCACGTATAGTTGGTACAAAAAGAGAAATTATGTACATCAAGATAAATATTTTTTTTATAAACCGTTATTTATGTACATCTTTTACACTATGATACAGAAATATATAGCTTTTGTGTGAAGATTTTTTGTATGACAAGTTGTAATGCATTGCACCTGGATTGTAGTGTTTTGATGTTATTGTACGCTGAAGTGTCTGTTCTGAACAATTTCGAGATGCACTGATGTAATTTTGTACCCATCCACGGATGCTAATAAAAGGCAGGGGGAAAGGCTTGATTTTTCTGACTAAAACCATACATTTCTGATTACCTAACTATTTCTCTTTAAAACTGCCTAAATGTTTGAAGTAGAACCTGTTGGACATTTTAACCTTGGTCATGCCCAAAAACCTGTAAAAAAAAATGGCAGAACGGACTGCATGAAATATGTCCCCTGTTTTTTAGAAAACTTTACACTGTAGATGTCACTGAAAGTGTGTGAAATCCCTTACAACTCCTGAAGCAGTGATGGGCTGAAGAGATACAACAGCAGATGGAAGAGTCCAAAGGCGACAATCTTTTAGACCAGTTTAAAGTTGTGATTTTCATGGTAAGACCATTAACCATAGACTTCGACAAACACCCGGACGTTTTCTAGCCGATTATAGCACCTGATCTGACCATCACTTTATAGATGGAAGCCCCTCTCTTGCAGCCAACATTCTTCTTTTCGCTCGCTGAAATGCATCTGGTGAAGAGAAACCAATAATGAAAAAATGATAAGTTACAGATTAGAACCAACAAGCTGTAAATCAGGTCCTGCTGTTAAATGATCACCTACCTAAGACCCGCGCCAGAGAATCTAAGGCATTCATTCCTCTGAAGAAAAAAACAAACAAAGACAATTAGGAACGTTCCATTTTTTTATCCGCACCCCGCCTAAAGATGACGGGAATCTGAACCCTAAAATTTTTGTCGGAGGCCTTTCACAAATGAAATCCGAAGGGTTCATTTTTGGTTGGCACCTTTGAAAAATTTGTTCCAAGGCACCAAATTTTGTCGGCTTCTTTAAAGGAAAAATCCGAACATCCGTTGTTTTTACATTGGTATTATTTCGTCGTCGTTGTGGCTGCTTAAGGGAGTTTAAGCAATGACGACAATGACGGCAGTGAAAACGTCGCTAAAAAATAAGAATTTGCGTCCCCTTCAAATTTGGACCTGCTCAGCTCTATTAGTCAAATGTAGGCCATTTTTTCCTGGAGTTTAATTCTTCATTAAGGACTTTATCCAGGTTCAAAAGAAGAATAGCCCGTGAACAGGCCTTTAGTCGCTATTTTTTTCCCAAACAGAGAGCCTGTTCACATGATAAAGAAGAAAGGAAAAAATCGTCATCGTATTCTCACGTCCCTTATAGAACGTCACTTTGGGAGGTTTCACGTCGTAGTCGTGCAATGGACGGCAAAGAAAGGTACAAAAAAACGTGATGCCCGTGCAGAGCTGTTGTTTTGCTCATAAAACCAATTGTTTTTTGACGTTGTAGTTGTCTCCGTCGCTGTGGTTAAGCTCCCTTTAAGATACCTATTGTTCTTACTGTTAGAGTTACTGATACGGTTATTTATCCTTGTAAAGTAGTGTTTTTTCTTGAGATGTTGATATGATTAAAATTAAAAGAAAAGCTGACTTTCTTGGCTTCAAAGCAGTTAGATCAGGGATATACAGTACATGTAAATTGTTCTAATCCCGTGTAGGGATTTAGAATCGGCGAAACACACAAGCTAGACCTTTGTTAGAAGTTAATCTGGCGAAAAACTGAAGTGACGGGAAAAAAAAGGGACAAAAGAGGGAAGCAAACTGTTAGGATGATTTTTTTCTGAATGACACTGAGTACTTACCCTAGTCTGTCCAATATAGTTCTTGTCCGGCGAGGTTTCTTTGTTACCTCCACAAAAGATCTTTAGAGATTAAAAGATGAAAACACACTCAACTTAAGTAATATAAAGAACAAAAGGCTAGGAAAAGCATTACAACATATGGACGTAAGTTTGCTAATTAATTCCAGTACTTTTTGAACTGAAAGTAATATGGTTCTCTAAGTGTTTAGAACAGTAACATTAATATTCCCGGTCAAGCCTGAATTTTTTCAGGTTCTTTTTCAACCGCTCAGGTTGTTTATTCAACTGCAAGGATCATTTCCATAGTTTTCATAATATTATTATTACTGAACAAAAATTAGCAATTTCAGTTATTGTGACTTAACTTAAAGAATGCAGCAATTAAAAGACACTACAAATTAACAAACCTACAATGTTCCTAAACAACTCTGTACATTTTGAATATAAAACATTTTTCACAGAAGAGTGAAGACTCAGACATAAGATTAGCCACATCCTTAAACATAATCCCTATAATAATAATCATATAATATTCATTTTTCAAAAGTGTGTTGCAAACGTACAAATAAGCTAACAGCAACAAACTAACCTCCCATCCGTAAAAATAAAATATTAAGTACACTAATAAAACGCTTGTTTAACAAGATGTGTCCAAATTGATCTCTTAAAGTGGTTTACAACACTAATTCCTCTCAGTTCTGATTGACGATGATGTAATACATACTGGCATTGCTGCATAATATGTAGTTTAACCGTGACACTCCCAGAGGCAGCTGTCCTGAAGAAGTATTTGCTCAAAACTTTGTCCTACCAATAAAAGGGACAAAATTAACAGACAACCCACGGCTCAAATAAAACTTGAATTCCGGCTCGTCGTTTGAGCAAACAGCTCTCACATTTTTTGCTTCCCGGGGCCACTTCTTACTCGTCTAAATTAATAGTTTTATTAGAGGATGAGTACCTGGTCCTTTGCCCACTGGGCAAGTAAGCGTTACAATTTACTTGCCCAGCAAGGGTTGCAATATACTTGTTCCTACAGGACAGGACGTTTTTCGAGTCCTGCATGACCACCAATATTTGTTTACTCTTTCAAAACAATAATATTGTACTTTGGCGTGAAATAATACCTCCAGAGGTAATTTATTGCACATCTGATTTGGAGATGACTACATAACAAGTTTCCATAATTTTGAGATTTTTTGAGACAAGAGCTGTTTGACCATCAGCAAATAAAGCATGAGAATCCTCAAACAAATGATTTTCCCCCATTCTCTAGTTTCTGGGATATCAACATACATAAGATGGATTCATGAGACATTTTTTGATCTAAATCAGGGACCAACTGCTTCAAACAATACCCCTCCCTTTTCCACCTCAAAAAAATAATGACCAACATAATTTTCTCCCCACAATATGAGTAGTGGTGGTACTATTGCAATAGTATTGCGATACTTTTCAGGAATGTCTGTTTTTACTTAATGCCTTATACTTTAAGAAATAACTGAGAAGTAGTGGTCATACAATACAGGTACTATGCAGTTCAAGAATCAAGACGCTAAAACATTTTAGGTGCAGCAGGACGGTAGATTGTTTTTAGTTTCTTTTTACGGTAAGGAAGAGTTTCCTTATTTTCCAAAGAAGTTAAATTTTTAGAAGTATAAAGACTATCGAAACTTTCAATAGTTCGCATCACTAAAGCGATTGTTATCGATGTTTCATTTTTGCTATCGATCCATCACTATCGCAGGATTAATATCACGACTAATCGATAGTTCGATGTATTGTTAAAGCCTTAGTTAAGAGAGAGTTATGAATTTAGGATTTCTCAAGTGCAGTTATTCCTTCCCACTCACGGTAAGTAACTTCTTTATACCTTACAAAGAACACTGTATAATATCTCACTTACATCAGTCATAGCAGGTTTTTGTGGATATGTAGGATCTTCTAGTTCAGGTGAACCACCAATAAAAAATCGTCTCATCTCAGGAATTGGACCATTTCCGATTGGTCTCCAAGTATCAGCCTCAAGAGTATAGCTACCTGAATGAGGAAAATATTAATAATAAAAAGACAATACCATTAATGTTGCAGTCAGAAAATAACTTAAACTATAATTGACATCATGATTACATGTACTTTATTTTAATCTATCCTTTGCACGCAATCTAAAGGAATTAAGTAGGCAAACTACAGTGAAACTCCACCTTATGGCCACCTCGGTAATACGGTCACCTCGTTATTACGGCCAGTTTTTTTGGTCGCCAGGCAAAAACCGCTATACATTTTCTTGTAAAAAAAAACCTCGTATTAACCGGTTCCACTGTAATTAAAAGAGGTTATCCCAGCCTAGAAAATTCAAGAGGAAATGAAACCACCCATGCAATTCTATTGAAGGAAGAAAATAAGTCACTATGTCGTCTAACAGCCATCCTTACTGTAGGAAGATTGAAGGGAATCTTAATTACACTTTATTACAGTCTCACTAATAACTGACGCTTGTTATAGTGGTCATTTGACTTGCTTCTTCCACAGATTTCTCTAAGACTAAGTGGGGAGGGTCACAGGTCTTCAATGCAGGTTGCTGGAAATGAGGGCAAAGAGTACGTAAGGAGGGGTTAAATAGGACGCAAGAAGATTCACCTCTATTCCCCTTTGCCCCATTGTTCCTCAATAATTAACTAAATTTTGTGTAACATCCCCAGATAAGATAATGTGAGAGTTCACGAGTGACTTGGGAGTCTAGATGGCAAGGCAAGTCATATGACTGTGTTAGTCTAAAACCCAGCTCACCAGCTTTACTGGGTATGGTAAGGTATGTGTATCCTTCAGTTCTGAATCTCTCCCAGCTGTCCAGTGACAATACTTCAATAAATAGAGTGGGCCAGTGAATAAAGTCATCTGCAATAAATCAACACAATAAATTGCTGCCGGCGTACCTGCTGTTTTATACACAGAAATTGAAAGTATTGATTTAAGTCCAGCAGTTTACATAGTACAGGAAATTGCAAGTTAAAGCGCAAAAAACTGGAACCAAATTATAAAAAAAGGTCTTATCAACAGTGTAACTGCTGTGATTTGCTGCATTTTTGGCAACTCTATCATTATAAGTATTCAAGAAGCAGAACTCACCAGCAGACTCGTCATCTTCTTGGTAAAGCAATGAAAACTCAAAAGGGTAACAGAAATGGGCAACATTCTCCTACAATTAGTAAACAAATCTGAGTTATTTCTAACGTCAATCAAAATTTACCAACAGGTGATGTTATCCTTTCACTGTCTTTAACTCCTTAGTAGCACTTGGGAATTTAAGACGGAAGCTGGGTAGATGGTTCATACAGACTTTTGGGGGAAAACATCAAGGACTTTTCAGCACTTTTCAAGGTCTAAAATAATTTTTTCAAGGACCTCTTTTCCCTGTAATTTGACATAGACAGATTATTGCAATACCTTCCCCCATGAGGGTACTTCAAATAACGGAAAATATACTATGCTGGGAACACTGAAAATCATAAAACACACTTTCATGATCACCAGGAACATTTGCATGCTTCTGTGTTTTCAATCTTTCCTTTTTCCCAAAACACTTTTTTTTTTTAACAGAGGTTATTTTTATACAAGGAGCTTTCAAAAGTACTCAAGAACTTCTGTGGAAAATTCAAGGACTTTTCAAGGACATCCCACAATTTTTCGATTTTCAAGGACATGATGCCTCTTTAAGTCCTTATTTTTTAAGGCCTCATGGGAGCCCTGTAGGTAGAGTTAATTTTTGCAAAGACTTCTGGGACTGTTACACTGATACTTGGGACAGGGAAAACAAATTGGCCAATAGCTGTCTGCTGACTGGTGAGTCCCCAGTAACAATCCCATGAGTCTTTGTGAAAGCTAACTTGCCCCAGTTTCCAGGTTCTTATATCTAAAGTGGTGAATAGCCAACCTGTCAATTGATGTGTATGTCTATCTTGCCCGCTAAAACAAATTCTGCTTTGATCTCACAAGAAGAAATTTTGGTGTGACTATATACATAATAAATGCTTTTTTGACCGAGTTTCTTCTGTCAAGATGGCAGGATATCGGCCCTGTGTTTTTGTTTGTTTGTTTTGCCATTGTTGTAGTTTTGTTTTGCTTTAATGTTTTGTTTTTTTTTTTGCATTTTTAATGACGTCAATTTTGTCCAGGGCCATAAAACACAAACACAACTAGCCTTCATGACAAGCCAAGGAGTACATGTATAAAGTTTGTTTGTGTATTTATTTACTAATCTATTTGAAACAAAATAACTCATCCTGTATTTGAAAATGGTTGATTCCAGAGCTCAAATTATATTACCAAAAAGGAAGAAAAAAAATTGTTTACCTCTCCTTCCAGCTTTGTGACACAAGTTTGCGTTACTCCAGATAATACCGGGTCATCAACAGGTCTCCACTCTAAAAAGCAATGTGTAAACAAATAAATTAAAGTAATTAAAAACACTGTGATCAAGCATTTAACTACACAAGATGAGATTATAGCTGACTTACTTGAGGGCAGATCAAGGAAAAAATGAACATAAAGACCATCATATTCAAATCCTCTGGCAGAAACTATGGAGAAGAAAAACAATTATAATTACTAAGTTCAATGAATTTTTCTGAATGTGCAAGTCTTTAAAACTGACAGATAGCTGTACTTCCTAGAACTTGATGTTATCTTAAAACAAGATAACAATCAACTTTATAATAGACTGCACTTAGTGGTGGCTACACCAAGAAGACAGTATCCTCCAGATATTCTCGCACTAAGATAACATCATCCTGTCTCTATGAAATACAAAACAATCTATTCTGTCTCTTATGAAATACAAAACAATCTATAATGGAAGTATTTTGGATTCTTGGATGTGCTTTTAGTTTTTGGGACGTGTTTTGGATTCTGGGAGTTGTTTTGGATTCTGGGAGTTGTTTTGGATTCTGGGAATTGTGTAGTGTTACTTGAAGCACAAAAATCTGCACAAATTTCTGCAACAGATCATTAAAAAAAACTACAACTTCATCACGCAGTTGATGATCATAACGACATCAAGATGATATTCACCAATTTCGCCAAATATATTCATCCTTAGAACTCCAGGCTCTGGCTAAAATCAAGGACGCAAAACATTACATTTTAGTACAACTTTAAGATTGATTATGAAGCAAGCAATTAAAAAATAATATAAATCTCAATCAGATCTTAGAGCCATGCTTGCCTTAAATTATTGAAAGTTATTACTAACAGTACAGAGAACAGTCATTCATACTCCTCATACTGAGAACAAACAGAAATTAAGAGAGTCAGAGTAATCAAGAGTCTCTCACAGTAACTGTGTCATAACACCATGGTCCCAGGATGTGTGGATTGACAGAGGATTTTTTCAAGGACTTGAGGGAGGGGGCGGTGGGGCAGGGGGCACTGTAATAAGAAGTAATAAGGGATGGATATGTACAGGTAAGTAATAATGCCATTTACTGGGGGGTCCTGCTGATTGGCTTTGTTTAAAATTTGATAAGACTTAATACCACAAATGATTCACTAAACCTACCACAGGATCAAACCCTGAACCGACTTGTGAAGCCAAGTACAAGGCATGTCTGTTGTATAACTGTGGAGACAAAAAGGTGTGCAAATAAGATATATCTCAATGCTAGCAGTATTGCCATTTTATTTATTTATTGTTGTTTCAACAAACAGAGTATCTTTCTTGTCTCCATAGCTGCCATCCTTTTGGCAAGCACCTCCAATCGAGAGCTCTGGGCATTAAATTCAAAATGGGAAGTCAACACATTACAGAGTTCTGGACTTTGAATACCAGTATAACGTGTCAGAAAATGTGAAACTCAAACAATCACAGTTTATGATAGTTTCAATAAAAGTAGGCAGCTATTATGCCTGGGTGTCACCCTAGTCAAAAAAACCAGAGCCCTCTCAAACTGAGTCATTGGCCAAAAGGATCACAGATGTAGGAACTAAGTAGAATGACAGAGTAGTAGATAAATTTTACTATAAATGTGTAGTTCCAGAAAATATCCATACCCCCCCCACGGAGGGTTGTTTACAGTTTGAGCCCCCACCCCCCCGCATTTTCCATTCCAGAGGGCTTCAGGTTGCTCCCCCCTACCCCCTGGAATTTCCATGATTTTTTCACTTGGTCGCCCCTACCCCTAGGAAATTCCAAATCCACAAATAAAAAGACTTCATTGATTTATTTTGGTCTACTTAGTGCCGAAATAAAATTTAGCCGCAGCCGATTATAGTTACAATTCAGATGAAGACGTAAAGCGGCATAATTTTCACGTAAGTGATTTGGCCATACCACACTTGCTATTTCATGGAACATTATTTATGGAGATATTCGCTAGGTAAGGTACAAAATTGCTGGAGGAGGCTATGAGATTTAATTTTCTTAAAAATGACCGTGGAAAATTCTAGACGTATGAACAGACGCGCCTCTCGCTTCCTCTATTTTGAAATGTTCAAACTCTAACAACTGACCTTATTAACACTATAGTTCTGGCAGCGGACCTTTCGTCTGCTTAATTGACAGAAGATTTCATTCAAAAAATATCTAAGAAAGTACTGAAAGTTGACGGTATCATCAACGTTTTGTAACCTAGTCGAAGTTTGTAATTTATGCATAGACGAAACAACGTATCGAATTACTTTAAACACGAAATGACTATAATATTACATCATTCTTGTTTTTGCTGTCAAAGCAAAACTCAGGAATTGACTCGATGCTAATCTCCATGATATTTTTTGTACTTTGCAGGTGTAATTTTATCTACATGTAGTATAATGTGCGAACAGTACTGCTAACAAATGTTGTTTTCCTGTGTGGAGCCGTGAAGTGACTTCGCTTATCAGCGGGAATCATAATCCGTCACGCAACATGTTTTGTAAAAACTTAAGTTCGTCTTTCAACAGGAATACTTCAATAAAGTTGTACGCTTTATCTCTGTAGTTTGTAAATGATAGTAAATTTCACGCCTTACAGTTTTTTTTAACTTTTTTTAATTTCATGTGTAAAAGGTACTTTTCAAGTTCATTCCGGTAACTAAACAACGAAATGAAATCTTCGCCGTCTCTCATCGCTGTTCACGGTTACAAAAAAATTATGCTTAAAACAAATGGCATCGTATCGACTTTGCTAACGTTTCCAAACTCGTAACTACACAGAAAACGATACAATACAGCCAATGTTAGGGACTGGGAACGATATTTTTCTAGTCAGCCATTTTGTTTGACTCGACGTCGAACGTGCTCAGAGGTGTGCCTCGGAGCTGTACGTGTCATCTGGCGCCGGGATAATAATAGAAAATATATGACAAGGAATCCTACGTCTATTTCCACGGATAGAACTTTTGGTTTTTCTTGGCTACCCCGAATCAATTGGAAAAATACGTAAGTATTCATTCGATCGCATTTCAAACCCTCTGGAAAGAAAAACTCTTTATGTACCCCCCTCCCGCTTCAGAAATTTGTCTCTTTTAGACCCCCCTACCCCTAGGAAATTCCGTGACCCTCCGTGGGGGGGGTATGGATATTTTCTGGAACCACACAATTAGGGAAATGGCAATAAACAACAAGTCATACCTCACTAAAGCTTTTATATTCTTGTTCTCTTTGATCACTGAAATTTACAATAATTGTATTAAACAAACTTTTGAGAAATCTGTGAATAACTGTAATTTTGTATGTCAACAAACCAAACTTGTTGATACAGACATTATACTGAAAAAAGTGATGAAGTTTGTCCAAGATCTCATACCTTGTCATTTGTGGAGAACATTGTTCAATTGTATACTCATAAACCTCTGAAAAAAAAATTAAAATCAAGAATAATTCCAATTATTGTTTTAATGAACATCCCTGCCCCACTCAAATAAGTGCATTACTAACACAAAGACAAAAAAAATCCCTCTTCCTACAGATACCTAGGATTGTGGTCAGTTACTTGGTTCCAATACCCACATAAAAAAATAACCTTAAAAATTATGTTAAAAGTTGAAATAAAAATAACTAAGATAAACAAATTAATTTAGGAAGGCTTTTGCCTGTTATAGTTAGATTGATAATTAAATTTTAGATTAAAAATTTTAGGTATTCTTAAGTATACTTTATTGTAATTATTACAGGTAGTTATAGTTGTAAGGCGCATTTGATCATATTCAATGTTAATTTGTGCCTAATAAGAAATAAATTATTACTATTATTATAAAAGTTTAAATTCTTTAATGGGATCAATTTATAATGTTAAGATGGAATCCATTAGGAAAATGAGTAATTTTAATTTTCAGTGGGCAAAAACCTTGAACCAGAATATTTTAAGCCATATTGAATTCTTTTTTACACTGATCTAAGGTTACGGCCAGATTTGTAAAGGTCTAAATAAACTACATTGGAAACAAGTGCCACAGGTACTTGAGCAGGTAGTGGGGGTTAAACACAGACAATCAACTGAAAATGTCCACAAAAAGAAAACCTTAGACAGAACACACAAAGATAAGCTAAATATAATAATGAACAAGTCCTGCTAATATTTCACCAACAGAATTTTAAACTGAATTGCAAATTATACCCACCTCTTAGATCATTGCAGGTCTCTATCCGATATGGTGGGTTTTCTCCATTAAAATCAGGTTTGACAAAAATTTGGCCATTCACATCAATCTGCACAAAAATGTTTTAAAAAGCAAAACAGGACAGATCAATACAAACATTTCCCTAATGGATCACAAACTAGTAACTGTTTATGACTGTGATATAATACAAGGCACACTAATTCTTAATGAAATAAATTAAAATTACCTTGACAGAGAAGAGCACATGTTCATCCTCTTGATCATGCGTTGCTCTTAAAAATAAAGAGGAACACTAATCTCAGTCAGTTATTAAAATCTAAATAACTAAGATCGTGACCTTTGGGCACAAGAACACCATAGTTTTGTACTAAGGACTCTTTTACTAGCAGAGTCTCCTAGTACATTGTTGTATTAATTTTTGGCCATCAAGAAAGAAAGAAGTCTCCAATGAAAGAGTGAAACCGCCTTCTTTAGCATAAAACAACCACCCTTCCCCATCCCAGCTGATTATACTACACAGTCTCAAGTTCCCTGGGCACAATGATTGCTGGAACCTAGACTTGTCACAAGTCGACTTCACGAGTTTCACTTTCACAACTGAGGGTGAGAGGAGTGAATTTTTTTGGCTTTTGCGGCCAGCAAAAGGTCGACTTATCTCACTTGAAGGATATTCATTTGGGGAGCGGTGTGACTCGTATTTGCTGTCTCAGGTTACATTTGCGAGTCCTTGACTTTAATGGCGGAATGTATAGATTCCACTCTGACCAAAAGAATGTCAAATGCGTGTAAGTTTCTCCAACATCAAAATAGCAGATTTGTTTATTTCATGTTAAAGTTAAATTTGACAATTAAATCTCAATATTAATTTAAAACTGCACCTGTACTGTTTGCAATACTAACTTTCCTTCGGGAGTCAAATCAGCCATAACGTGCATTGTCTTGTAAGGAATGTTAACAACGTGTGCAGCAGTCTTGGTTGTCTCTGTCTCATGAATGACAACAGGATCAGCACGAGGAGCAAAGCCACCAGGACGATGTCTAAAAACAAAATATCACCTCTCTGTAGCCAAACATTAATATTTCCTTGAATACCATTCTCCTACTATTCTTTTTTCTAAATTTTTATTTGGTAACATCCTTGTTATGTAGAAAACCTTTTTCAAAAATTATTAATATCCTACAATCATTATCATTATTAATTCTTATAGCTTTCATATCCCTAGGGTCTTTTTGTTTCCCAATTTGGCAGCAACAGGCTTTCAAAACAAATTGGAATGACCTTTTAATGGTACAATGGCCAATTTAAACAATAATGTTTATGGAAGTCTTAATACATCTATCAGTGATAAATACTTTTTCATGCTCTTAGAATCATTTTATAAAATAAACAACTTATGAAGAGTCAAATTAAGATAGGCCCGAAGCAAATTTTACCAACCTTCTATCAATTTTGGCTGTAATGTTTCTTCTCCTTACACTTGACATGTTCTTTGCAAGGTAACTTGGTATTTCAGAAGGTGATGTTGTTAGAGTCCTGGATTCCTGCCAGCCAACAATGAGGAAAATTAGTTAGCAGTTATTTTATTGATATAAGTACAAGCCTGGTTGTAAGCTAATTAGAAGTCAGGGAATAAAAATAGGTTTTGAAGCAAACTGATAATCGCCCATACACAAACTTCAATTTTGAACTCCATGGAAAAAATTTAAAACTCTATCTTTAATTTTCTGTAGCTGGAATGTACCAAAAGAAATTATGCAGAGATACAAATGGGTCTATAACTGGGGTGCAAATGAGTCGGGGGCGTGAGTTATATGTAACCACGGAATAAAATTTCTGTTTAAAAATACAGACTGTAGATGGGGTTGTAACTTGGGAGCATGCAATCAGGGGGCGATGGGGGTGATAATTATGGGGATTGCTATTACTATTATTATCATTATTGTTGTTGTTATTATTACTAATGTTACCATTATTACAATTTTTTATTATTATTGAGCTACCTCATCGACATTGACATAACTATCACAGTCAACATAAGAAAACAGCTTGTTGTTTGGTCTTCCCCCTTTTGTTCTGAAAAGAAAAACATTATAATTTCAAGACTGAAAAAACTTTTAGGTGTTTATAAACCTCAGCAAAGGCTGTGATATTTTTCATAAACGTATAATAGGAACTTTCATCTGTCAAATTTGAATAGCACTGTAAACTGAAAAATCACTAACCAACAATGGATCAGTAAAGGGAACTTACTGTGTTATCCACTGAATAGAGGTTTATCTAGTATAAAGTAGTGCTATGCTTTCAACCTTTTACACAATTGGGGCCTGTATTCACTTGCTTATAATCTTCTTGTTTTTCAATTTTAAAACATCGAACACCCATATGCATGTCTTGTCTGTTTTCTTTTTTTATTTATTTTAGCCAAAGAAATTTTAAACCAGAGATGAACCTTAGTTACAAGTAGGGTCATATAGCTAGCAAGAGGGGTGATCAGGCCCTTGCCTAAACTAGATTCAAAACCCAAAAGTAAAGCCTCGATTGGGGGATGAGCTTATGCAGGTGCATCTGTACTCTAACCTGTGAACTTGCTTTCTTACACACAGCTGATATGGGCCCAGAGAAGGTCAGGTTGCGATCGATAGTGATGCCTAGCATTATTCAAGGGCTTTATTAATAATACTGTCAGCCCATCTATCAAAACGTCTAGCCCATCCAACTCTTGTATGGAAATAATCATAGTATAAAATAACTAACCATATTATCTTATTAAACATTCCAAAGGATACAAATTAAAATTCTTATCATTTTCATTGCAAAATGCAAGAGCGAGATTCAGTTAAAACCGACCGCAATATCACATACAACTTCTCAAGACTGATCTCCATACATTTCCTTTAAAAAAAAGTTGATCGAAGATCAAAGAATTTTCCCTTTGATGATCATTCTGTTAATTGTCATCACCTTTTCTCATGATTATGTATGGATATTGTAAGAAGAAAATTGATGTTGGTCAAAAGTAAAATATAATTGAAAAGTTACTGATAGAGTTATTGTTAATGGGTTAATGTTTTTGGATTCACCTTAGCTTTAATATCTCAGAACGGTATTTCTGTTCCAGTGGTCCAAAGCAATTATTTAAATCTTCATATAACTCCATCTCCCTCTTTTGTAAAATGAAGAAACAGCAAAAATCAACAATGATTGTGTTAAAACTCAAAATATTTACTACCCCACACCTTCTACCAACACTTACGAATTCCACAAAAGATTTATTTTATTGGGGAAAACCTTTTTCACTAAAACTACCTTTGGTTAATTTGGTGGATCCTAATGACAGAACTTTTTTATGACAACATGGTTGGGTATACAGGGTAGATAACAGAAATTTCCACACAAAAGGAAAACACAATAATGTGAAACCTCAAGCCTGTAGTAACACGTAAAGGATGCAGGTGCATCAAGTTCAGTAATGCTTCAACTCAGCTTTGAGCTAGCCTGCGCCGCAGACGTAACTAAGCTCTGGTTAAGCTTGTCCGTGAAACAGTGCTGAAATCCTTGTTCTGGGTCTCCAACTGTGTACCAGGATTTGAGAACATGCCATGATTGACCTGTTGAAAATGCCACTGTTGATTTGCCAATCAGGTTGAAAGGAAATTTGAAATGCTCTTCTGGTAATTTGTTGAGTCCCTTGGGGGCCCAGAACAAGGATATCAGGGCTGCTTTGTAGTCGTTACTAACCGAGGAACCTTGCGTTACATCTGTGACAATGGCTACTCAGAGCTGGTTCACAAAATTGATCAAACGGAAACAATTTTCGTCTGTAGAACACAAACAAATCAAGCCAACCTAACTGACTGAAAAGAGTTGTGCCCAAGAGAAAAAAAACGGCTCTCACAGAATACTCTTCCCTTGGTATTGCCTAATATTACCGTGCAGGGGAATGGCACTACAGTGTCTTGAGTAGTGTCTAAATTACTACAATATTATTATTGCAATGTAACTGGAAGGTACAGAATCACCCTTATCATTCCACAATATCCGGTCGGATAAAGTGCCATAAAAAAAACTAAACGTGATGGTTCTTAGTTCAAATTTCTTGTCGAACAATTCAGGAATCCTTCCTCTACTTCTAAGTAACGAAAGTCTCCAATTAGATCTTTCTCTTCTTGACATTTTAAATCAATGTTCTTTATAGCAGTAAAACAACTGTTCTTTGCTGTAACTGCATGGAATGACCTTTGCTTTACCTTCTATTTTGGAAGTCATTTTGAATCCGGAATTTAAAAAGTCTGGGAAAATGCTGTAGTGCCAGGCTCCCGCGTGGTAAGAAATTGGGCAATTGCAAATCCCTACTGTGGGATTAATTTGCCATAATTATTGTGGCAAATTTTGGAAGCTTCACGATGTCCATATTGTGTCATCCAACAGTGTTTTATGCGTAGCAATATTTAATTTTATTGTCAAAGTATATCAAATAATTTTGCATGTTTAAATACCGTTGAAAACATTTTTTGCTGCCAATAAAACACACATTCCTCAGCATCTTGATCTTGCTTATCTTGATCTGTGACAAAATTTTGTCATAATTTATATCAAAATTATTAGTCTAAAAAATAAACTCCTACAACTTATCACATGCTTCTAAAGACATGGTGGTCTCAACAAAAAATGGACAGTACATCACCAGGATGGGAGGATGTGAATGATAAAGTTTGGTTTTTAGGGGTTCCTCTGGGGTAACTGGGGTTTGAAAAACTGGCATGGTTAAGGGGCTGATTGTTTATTAGCTGTGATGGGGGGGGGGGGGGCATTCTGCTGGTCGGTCATTTTCAAAATCTTGTTGGTTTGGGGTGTCATTTTCAGGGGGAATTACCTGGGGGATGATTTAAATAAATTCATGAAAGTAGCGCTGAGAAGTAGTAAACAAGCGTGAAATGAAGTTAAATCTAACAGCCGTAGTAGTAAACACCAGTCTTGTAAACATGAATGTGGCAGTGTTTTCCCTAAAATTTAGCTCAGCAGGTAAGGGACCATTCATGGCCAGTAAGGCAAAAAAAATATGCGCCAGAGGTGGCACTTCCCTGGGGGGAAGGCGGGTAGTGGAGTGGAGGACATGGCCCACCCTCGCTGGGAAATTTAGGAGCTAAGTTCTCTGAAATGTTGTTCCCTCATTTTAAGACCTATTTTACACAAATCAGCCGTGGTTATCTTTAAACAACAATAAATTTAAAATGTTTGATTCCAATAATTTTACTCTGTCTTCACTGCTCTCTTTCCAAAATGTGTGGCCGATAAAAGAAAAGCTGCGTATACTTTAGTTCTTTTCCATACATATTTATTCATTTTCCTTGTGAGAATCGGATTGGATCACAACTTCATTTTTTTTTTTTAATCTACTTTTTCTAATTTTAGGAAACCTTCATGTGGTTGCAGGCCGTAAATTTTACCGGTTACCGCCAGATAAGGAGAACGCTGCTGTAGATAAGTATGAGATGAACTTTGGCATGATTTGAAGTTAGAATATTGGTAGTTTCCTCAGCAGTAATTCATAGGAGGGGGGGGCACTTTCACAATTTGTAAAATTTATGGGAGGTCATTTCTAAGAGGCAAGGATGAAGACAGGGATTGGTTTGAAAATCTTCTAAGCATTCTCAAAAGGGCCACCCCACCCTCACTGGTAATAAACGACCAGCCCCTCCTTAGGACAAGAAAAGCTAGGGGTGCTTTTCATTATGCCAGCATTTTCGGAAATTTCGGTCAAAAAATAAAATTTAATGGAATGCTTTGATTTATGTAGAAATTTTCCAGTCAAAGTGGTCCACTTCTGGAAGTGGTCCTCTTTGACCGGTTGGTCCAGTCCAACCAAAACTTGCCATTCCATTTCCAAAAAATTCTTGTTTCCAGTCCTACATGTACTTTGCTACGCGGTAATCAAGATTTTGGTTGAAACGCAAATAGATCGCTTTGATTCCATTGGAAGCTTTGTTTCAATCCAACAGTACGTTCCATTTTTCCCTTGATAATTCCACTAGTTGCTGACTGTTTGGTTTGGCAAAGTGAAAAAGGACCCCAGATAAATACCCTTTCTATAACAAAAGCCTTTGCATTTTAACCTTGAACCAGCTTTGAGTAAAGGGTAAAAAAAAAAAAGCTATGCTAAGGCCCAGTTCAGACGTTGTGCTTCTGCCGTGCCGAACTAAATTCAGGAATTAAGTTCGACAAAATCACGGCAGAAGCACGGCATCTGAATCAAACTTTTGAATTAAGTTCGGCAAGCAATTAAGTTCGACAAGTGCTGCCGTGCTACACGGCTCTGGCACGGCAGCGATTCAAACGTCGTGCTTCTGCCGCACTAAACAAAATTCATAAATTATATTAATGTATTTTGGCGAGATTTGGTTCCCACGGGGAGTTGGGAGAAGAATTGTTACGAGGCATTAGTAAATCCTGAATTTGATTCGACTCTGGCACGACGTCTGAATCAAAGTTGTTTTCCTGCCATGCTACAGTCGAACCAAATTGCAATTAAGTTCGGCACAGCAGAAGCACGACGTCTGAACTGGGCCTAAACCTGCCTATGAAAGGACAGAAGTCTCAGCTAGCGGTATAAGTTCAGTAAACAAGAGAAAAAGCTAAATCCATGGCTTCTTTTCTAATTTCTCCACCAGCTTCAAAACTTGCTGACAGACCTGCCTGACTTTCTTGATGTTTTGCAGTTCATAACAGAGATGGATCAGCTGTTTATGTCTGCAAGGAAGCGCATGAAGATGGAAAAAACAACTAGCTTAAACTGAACGATGTATAATTATGTCTTGTACATTTATGTTTCCATAATAATTATGGAACCCTAATACAATACAGCCATTCCCACCAGTTAAATTTGCAAGAGGATCAAGAAAAGACTGAAGTAATTTTGAATTGACTCGTTACCTCGTCGTAAAGTTGCCATCTCAAGTTCCTCACCAGCAACTTCAGCTCCTTCAACATTATTGATATTTTGCTGTGAGCCAATTTTAAACTCCGGAAGATAACTCGCGGCTGTCACTCGTCGAAGTTTTACCCTAATAAAGAAATGAATACGTAGCCATAACAACTCTTGAGCATTGCTTCCTCATCTTAAAAATTACGGCTAAACTTCAGAATACGTTAAACTACACGTAAAATATATAAGCATACTGGGTGTAGTTAGAGTTCTTACTTCACTGCGAAGTTTTTTGGCGGGTCCAGTGATCGATAATAGCCGACTCCAACATCTTCCATGAAATCCGCCATTTTGATTATTTCCTAGTGCCTAGGCTTTTCGCGCCAAAAAAAGAAAAATGCTCGCTGCGCTGGTTAATCCACACCCCAGCCCAACCTCTATTCTCGGTTCCGAGGTGTCCCCTGAATAGAGGTTTCTCTGTACTTGACTGCAACCGGCATTACCCGCAGTACTTCAAATTGCAAACTGCAAATCGATATAACCTCAAACTTCGAAGCAGCTTTAGAAATAGGGATTTATTTCTAGTGGACAACTGAGGCCAGGTTTGTACTAGGTCAGGAGCCGGGGGACACTTCGAGTCCTGGGGGACAACTCGGGACCGAGGATAGAGGTTGGGCTGAGGTGTGGATTAACCAACAAAGAAAATTAAGAATGTTTTCCATTCTGCCTCGGGATTGAATTTTATTCTGCCTCGGAATCTGCTGTAGTCATTATTTCAAGCAGCTAGAAAATGTATAAAAAATCATGACCAACTTATCTCTGCGATATTGTGGTTGACTTCTTGTAACTGTATAACATTGATTTAAATGATGAAGTTCAGTGTGAGAGCTGTCAAAATTGTTTTAGATGCCTCTCTAATAAACGCCCCCGGTCTAATAGACGCCCCCTTTGAGAATTTCTCCAAAATACTTTCAATTCATTGAGTTTCTTGTCGCTTGATTAACCAGGGCTTACGTTTCAGGATAAGGATAGACTAACGATGGCAACACAATAGCCCTGAGCAAAGATTCTCACATCGATGTTGGGATTTGAAAGAGCGATATGGATCTCTAGACGACCTAGACGTATCAATTGATGGAGTGTATATTCCTCTATTTTTAAACTCCCTTGATATTTTTGGCAAAAGCATACTAGCTTAGTTAAGCTTGTTGCAGTTATAAGAATAAACGCCTCCCTCTTGTAAACGCCCCAGCTTGGACCCCTAAAATTAAATAGACTCCCCGGGCGTTTATTAGGTCATTTACGGTAGTTAAGGTTGTGAAAGCTGTCATCAGTTCTGATTATGGCTTAAACTTTGTGGTGAGTCCTATGACCAGGGGGGTAGTAGCCTGCGAAAACATCCGTTTCTCCTCGCTCTTCGTCGCTGGGGACGTTTCGCGCGGAAACGTCCCCAGCGACGAAGAGAAACGGATGTTGTCGCCGGCTAAGAGGGTAGCAGGCATTTTTCCTTTTAAGCCCGAGTTGTACAAGTCCTGAACGGACGGCGGCACGGAGAAATTGAGGAGAAAGTAGGAAGTCAACGGTGACCTATAGTAAGCAATTGCAGCACAGCCGTTCCTCTTTGCCTAAAAGTGTTGCGTTCAATAAGCAGAGTTATTAACGAAAAAAAGAGAAAAGTTCTTTCTGTTCAAGAGTATACTGTTGTAGTCAGCGTGTAGAGGAATACACTCTACCTGACCGTGAGAACCTTTTTAAACTTCTTTATAAAGAACTTTGTCACACTCATGTATCTACCTCAAGCTCAATAGAGACGTGGGTATCTCTTTGTATGTCTACCAGTTTGTGTGCAAAGAACCAATTAAATGCCAGCGGTAAAACTGCTCGGAAGGACTAAGCGTACGCCTGGGCTACGCCCCTGAGGGTATGGTATGAATGGAGGTTAAACCCGGGTTTCGGAAACCAGCCTAGAATTGTCCCTTCCTCATGAACAGGCTGCCCCTTCAATAGAAGATGAACAGATACAAAGATTACGTGAACATTTTCCGGGAACAAATTTGGTATTCCCCAAATGGAGGTATCCCCTGAACGGAGGTTGCATGAATTTCCGCGTTTCGATCCTGTTTTCATTTTACGAACGATTTATATACCCTTGTATCAGAAATTCAGTATAATTGTTAAAACGTAGAAATATAGGCATAGATTTGGAAATAAATTTCACTCACGAAACTTGGATTTGTTGTTGATTTTTCTGTGTAACCTGGGCTTAGCTCATAGCCATTTTATATTGTTTTGGATCTTCCTACCCTCAGATAGTCCACTGATTGCGCGTGAGCGGTGTCTGGAATTATGCAATAGACCTTTATACCGATACGGCGGCCATATTGAACTAATTAGATTTGAGGAGTATTATGGGATGCCCAAGGGGCACTCGCTCAGTATTTACGCGCGCTTTTCAGGCAAAAAGAGAACTTCACTGTATATTTCTCGGGAAAAAGGCGATCATTTTACATCCACGGCACAACGACCTTTTTTCCCATTACAATCTTTTTCCAGGAAAACTTTAAGAAAAATAGGCCCGAAAAGCGCGCGTAAATACTGAGCGAGTGTATCGAATCATGCTCATGCCCCCTAGGCATCCCATAATACTCCTTGAATCTAATTAATTCCATATGGGCGCCATATCGGTAAAAAGATCTTTTGACCCTTTGGAAACTAGAAGTTAACTTACACAAAGACTTCTGGGACTAGGACTACTATGGGGACAGCCAAACAAATTGACAATGGTAGCGATCCCAGAAGCCTTTGCGAAACCTAACTCGGTCCAGTTTCCCTCTCGTTTTAAAGTGACCAATAAGATGAGCGTATGTAAAATGTTCGAGAACAATTTGACGTCATTTCTATGGCCTGTCCCAGGCTCCGAGATAGTCGGTTCTTAAAAATTGAGAAGGCGCGAACACGAACATAAAACGGGAGGAAACTGGGGAGAGGAAGGAGGCCACCGCTCATTTTCCCAGATCAAGCGCTCATATTTTTTCGCATGCATTTCACTTGCGCGTTATCCCTACTATCCGAGAGCCTGGAACAGGTTATCATTTCTACGGTCGATAAGAGAACAGAACATTGAAAATTGCTGTCCATTTGTTAAATAAGTGCAACGTTTCGCTTTACGGACAATCATTATCTGGGTTGTGAAGAGGTTTTTATGTGCGTTCCTTATACTCATTTATACTTTTGTTTAGACTGTGTTGTTCAACATACCCTCCTTATCTTCCTGTCGTATTATTATACTACAAAAAACGAGGCTAGGTTCAAAGTCGAGCAAATAAAACCATTCTCAGCAAAAGGTTCTTTACTTCGCCTGATTTTGAAAGTGAGGTGTTTTGGAAGTCGCAAATGGCCCGTTCGCGATATATCACCACGGGAAAGCTAGAACACACTTTCAAATGCAACTTTAATAAATCTCACGCCAAATTACACGTGCATGATAAATTACGTTCAAACGAGTCGTCTGTCAAATATTAATAGTTTGTTAACATCCAGTTCATCCAAGTAACTCCTACAACTCAACAGGTATACATCAACATTATCACTAGGTTCATAACGTTCATTTTAAATTAAGAAGTTCATTATTCAATGATTTCAATAAAAGCCAGTTACCTAAACCGCCGCCTATCATGCCTCTTACCCCCGTTTATTCAGTCTGTGTTTCTAAGATTTCTAGAACTAAATTAAAAAGTGAAGAAAGAAAGAAAGAAAGAAAGAAAGAAACGAAAAACAACGTCAAAAATCACGACTGAAATTTTTAGTTAAACCAAGGATTGTTAAGTTTGTAACAATATAAGTTAAGAGATTTTCTTCTCAAACAAGAAATCTCGTGTTTCAAGGGTCATAGTTGACCGCCATGTTGGTATACAAAAATGAATAGCAAATAATGTTTGATTTAAACAGTACTTCAAAGACATTACTGCTGCAGAGGATATTTAACGTCATCGAGATAGCGAAAGAAGTTTTCAAAGTGCATCTTTAATGAATCTAAAACATCATTAGCTTCTTCAAAAACTGTGTTCATTGGTCAAGAAAAATAATCATAAACAACACTCTTTTTGATGCCCAGAATGCTGGAAACTGCATTTCCGAGCTTCTAAATTACAAATTTTTCTAGGGTAGCATGCCCCAGACCTCCCTAGCGGAAAGGGGCCTTGCGGCCCCTTTTATGATCGCAGCCGCCTGATCTACCTTCAGCATCCGCTTGTAAAAAAAAATTATTGAAACCCCTGTCATTGCACAGTTAAAGTGGCAAATGGGTCATATCAAGTAAACACAAAAAATTCACACCTAAACACTCAAGGTTGCAAACATTCTTTCCAGAGAAAATGATATTAACAACAAACTTTGACAAAAGATGAATACACTTGTGTACAGTCTCAAAACTATTATAATTCGCTTAACAAGATTCCATCAACAAAGGTGGATAATTTAATTTTTCAGATATATATTACCACCCACAAATGTCTTGTGCAAAAATATATCTATATTATATGCCAACATTCCACTTAGAGGAATGTATCACAAAATAGTAATACTCAGTCTTTAAATAAATTAATGTTTTGACACCAGTAAACTAATAGCAGATGATGCTACAATGTAGACATGTATTCAGTGACCAAAAGTTTAAGGCACCATTGCCTTCACGAAAGAAACGGTAATAATTTTAGCTCCTCACGTAGAGCAGGGTGCAGAGGAAAGAATTTCCATACACTCAGGCCATTCATTGAAGATGAGGGCTTTTTGATCCAATAAGGAATGACAGGGCAAGTGCAAATCCAAACCAAACCTCTTTAAAACTTTGTTTAGCATTGGCCTAGAAAGGCAAAACCACAACAAAATTAATTGATGATTGCTAGTTGTCTGTATGGGTATTTTCCAAGGTCTTTAATTTTAAAACCATAACAAATGAAAGCCTGAAAAGCAATTTCATTTCCCAAAGTTTGCACAAGCAAAAATTATATCAATCTATAAGGAGGGGTAAACGAAAGCAAACTTGAGGAAAGTTGAATGAACAAGCTACCTGCATCTTTGCCTATTAAATTTATTCTTGAGCAGTGCATGCACATGAAGTGCAAGGCAGCCTGACAGGGATATTAATCAAATGTGCAGTAGACATGCAGATTAACAAAACTATTTCAAGCAAAGTACCAAGCTCTTTGAGGAGAATCCACTTTTCAGCATAACACCACTAAATTTGGCTATTTAATGTAAAGTCAAGTGAAAAAATCGGCAAAAAATTGAAAAACAGCCTCAAGTCAGAGCTCAGCACACTTTTAAAATTACTTTTTGAATTCTATGGTCCATCAAAAACAGTGGTTGAAATAGATGTGGTGGAGATTTAAATGGTTCTCCCCATTTTTCCACTACATAATTTTTTTAAATCTACATTATCTACATTAAACGTTACACTCAGTTTCCAAATTTTTTTTTCGTGTATTTTTGTGTGTATTTTTTCACAGTCGTGTTTCATCATGTGGCCTGTACTGTAACAGAACAAAACAAAACTTTGGATTACAAATTTTAGTGCTTAGAAGTCTTCATTCAATGCTCTGATTAAGAATAGAAGACTTAGTATAATACAAGAGGGTCATTAACTGCTGGCAACTGACTAAAAAAGGAACAACTTTGTATTTTGAGCCACCTACTTTTGGACCAAGTGGAGGGGGGTGAAAGCCTAAAATTGTCTTTAGCACTTGATTGCCCAGCCACCTACTTTACATCCTAGCTGTCTACTTTTAAACCCGAGGGCACTTTCCATTGGTTAGAAATGGCTGGCCAAACCAGTCCAACTTTTGTAAAAGGAATTCCACTATTCAGCAAGACTATCCAACCAGATTAGTCCATTTATAAAATTTAATAGTATGGTCAGCAGTGGTGGGTTTTAGGGAAAATTCAAGAGATAACTATTTTTTCTTCAAAATGACTGGTGGGCCAGTTCTGACCTATGGGAAAGCACCCTTAATGAAAACCCCAATACAATCACTCTTCTACATACCAGCAGCTACTAGAAATGGTGTAGTACTTAGGTGGTTTATTGAAGCCATTGAAAGTAGAAGCTGCCGAGCAGGTGTATGCTCCCATGTTTCTAAAGAATAACCAATCTCCAACATTGACCTGGTTAGAAGAACAGAACAAGAGTGTAAATTTTAGAAACTTTATAAGTCACATATTTGTAATATCTGTATCTAACCTTCTCTTACAATACAATTATGATATTAGCAAGATCCGATTCTACCCATTAGTTAAGGCAGAGAAAAACTGCATTTATTTGACTTAATTAATTGATTAATTTTTATAAAACAATCTACAGAAATATAAAAAATATTAATCAAAAACTACTTCTAGAGTACTTACCTTAGGTAACATTACATCCTTGGAGATACAATCCAAAGAGTCACAGGTAGGACCCCAAATACTGGACGGGAATTTTTTAGTCTCTTCGTCTTTTACACCAAGCACTTCTGGATGCACTATTGCATGGTCAAACATGAGGCAGTTAAATGAACCATAAACTCCATCATTTACATAGTACATAAAACCCTAAAACAGAGCAATACATAATGATATTAGTTCTTAAGATAAAACTACTGGAAGATGCATAAAAAATAGTTGACCTGATCTCTCTTTTTTTAGCTTGCATTATTAAAAGTCACTGAGACATGCCTTTGTGCCAGTAAGGCCCCAAGAGTGCAAATGGAAACAATGTATTTCTGAGAGTGTAATTCCAAAGGCCTTCAGGAAGGACAAGGTTGTCAATAAGTCCAATGTGCCATAAAACCACTTCCCACTGTTGTTTCATTTGAATTTTAAAGATTTCGATGTCTATGTTTTATTAGTATATACACACTCAGTGATCTTGGTGATTTAAGCAATCTGATTGGTTCGCTATCTCGGACTATTCAACAATATTCACCTCCTAGCGAGTGGATAATGTGTGAGCTCGGTGTTTTTCCCGTTTTTTTTAGAGAACGATCTTTTAAAAGTCGACAAAATCCTAGGGCTGACTTTTTTTAAGGCAAGAAAAGACTTGGAAGGATTCAATACGGCGTTTTTCAATTTACTGTAGCAGGAGTTTTGTGCTCGATGGATTGTTTACAACTCCCGTATTCAGCGTAGAAGAAGCCATTTCGTGAACTCAGCGTTTTCTAAGACGAAAATTTTGGCTCAAAAATCAAGTTTATTTATGACAAACAAATTTAAAAGGAAATGTTTGCAGAAATTCTACATTTCAAGTAAACAGGAAAAAGAATGATACAGGAAGACGACCTCTTACCTCGAGCAACCGAGCCGCCATTTTTGTCAGCACTTCATGCGAAGAACGACACAACATGCCCTTTTGGCTATAAACTTGGCGAGTCAACAGAAAACAACACAGCTCTACTTTTTTTCTCAGGTAAGGAAACAGTTCAAACTTTTAGCGATTCCATTGAAGCCATTACGCTGTTGTTTGCGAAATGAGTAAACTTGTGAATTGCCATGTTTGAAAATTCTGCAAAGATCTATTTTTAAACTTACGCGTGATTTGATCTGTCAATCAAATCCTACTTTTGAATGGTTTCCTTTCTGATTTTGTTGAGATCACTTCGTGTGTATACACTAAAACAATTATTCTTCTCAATCTTGGTGAATAGTGGCTTTGGGAATATTTACCTCGCCGCTTTCGCGGCTCGGTAAATATTTTGCCACTATTCACCTCGATTTCAAAGAATAATTGTTAATTATGCAACAACCACTTAGATTGGTCACTGGCCATAATTTTATTACAGTAGAGACACACAGATGACATCACAGGAAGTTTGTTTTCTCTGTTTTGTCCAACATGGCACACAGTTGTGAAAATGTTAACAAGAGTATTGGATTAAGCAACAAAAGATCTTAAAAGAAGTTTAAGGTATCTGCACCGGCAAATTCTGCACATTTTAGGTGATACACTGACATCCAGTGTAAGAGTATTATCTACATGTTAGCCAATAACATTGCTTTTTGGTCCATAAGGAACAAACTAGTGAAAAAATTGTAAGGCTACATCACTCTAAAGGTGTTATTTTAATTACCCCCTGGGGGTGGCATGGAAAGAGAAGAATTCAAATTTCACAAAAACCACAACAGTTTGTGGGAAAAATGAAATGCAACACAAACAGGAACGTAAAAAGCAACAATCCTGTGTTTGACCAAGACACAGCCCCACGAAATACCCCTCTAGAGGGCAATTTGTTGTTTTGTAATTTGATCCCTTTTTGGACTTCAGTAACTCAGCCGTATGGTAATTTCATTCTTTGGTCAAACACAGATCTGTTCATCAACATGCTCTTTGTGTATTTGCCAAATTTCACGAAGATATAATGATCCATTCCTCCAAAAAACTGGTTCCCGTAAGTCAAGGTAAATCGGTCACGCGGTAATTAACGCTTTTCCAGTGTAAAAAAGCTTATTTTCTTCTCAAAATCAACTGTTTTTGCTCGATACTACCATCACAGACCTTCTTGCCCGCCATTTTGAATCACCGCTGTGTAAAATGCTCGTGGAAGCCTAAGAAAATGCCAAATGACCTCTCTATAGCCCCCTTGGATTTTGATACGTGACCAGTTGCTAGGTGTGACGCATTTCCGGAAGATGCGTTACTCAGTGTCAGCTATAATGCAGTGAAGCGCGCCGAAGTATGAAGATTGAAGAAGAGTTTTATTCAAAAATGAAAAGAATTGCTTCTGTAAAGTGAAAGAAATTGGTAGAAAAACAGTTCAGAGGATTAGGGGCCAAGAAAACGTTTTACTCTTCCGGCAAAATTGTCAGAATATATCAGGTGAGAAGACACACCGATGTAATGTAAATTTAAAACAATATTAAGCCCTGGAAAACGGAGTATATTTCAAGAACATAACAAATATTGACAAGTAGCAAGTAATATTAGTCATCACAGCTTTTAACAGAAGGAAGAAAAATCAAGTTGGACATACAGCCGCTGTAGTTTGTCAATGAATCCAAGCAGTGAATAGATTTTGTTCAGCGCATCAATAGAACTTGATGCCGAAAAGAGGAGTCAAATTGCGCTACTGCCATTCTTTTTCTTAGTAACGGAAATGGAAAATTTTCTTGAACTTCCGGTAAATCAGTCAACTTTTGAGTAGATTTTCTCTTAAATGCGAAGGTATATTCAAAAAAGAACACCAGACATGCATATTACATCATCTGAACTTACTGTAGAAAGATTTTGAGGGCAAAATAAAATGTTGAAAATTTGCCGGTGCAGATACCTTAAGAGAAGCTACTTACAAGTAAGAAAAAGGAGAAACCAAGACAAAAGAGTTCTTAGCGACTTGAAAACACCTAAACTAAAAGAAATCTTGACAAAAGCTCTCTTCATGAGTCATCAAGACAAGGCAATCACAGTTTTGAAAACGTTAATCCAATAATTCCCCTTTGAGCAACTGACAAAGCACTAGAAAAAAACTGCGTGTCCTTTGGGCAAGCAGCTCTGACATTTTGTTTGCCCAAGGCCACTTCTTGGTTGTCTTGGTGAATAATTTTCTTAGAGGATGGCTTGCCTGGACCTTTAAAAGTTACTTGCCCAGCGAGAGAATCTACATGTCCAGGACTACCGGACAAGACTTCTTTCAAGCCCTGTGAAGGCCTCAGAAAATGTATGTAGAAACTTTTCACAAGGCAAAAAGGAAACTGCCATTTAATGCTCTTAACATTCACAAAATGAAACAATGACAATACAGGTTGGAATAAAACAATCACAGCACCAACTCACCAACTCATCTGTGTCCTTAAATACAGCACCATTAGCAGTTTTGTCACACTCTTTCAGTTGGCTTCCTTTTACAGTGCGCCGTGCAACGACATTTACAACAAGAGTAAAAGATGAAGCAGAATAAAAACGGCCTGGTTCGGCTATGATCTGCACACCTGAGCTGACTGGAAAGTGCTCCTCCAGCAAGGGGTTTAATAAGGAACAGACCTGAAAACAAGCAACCAACTTTTTGTCATAAAAATTACACTGAAAATTTTATATCAGTTTCAACTTCTAAGCCTATGAAGCAAACCTGATAGTACAATGTACATAATCAGAACTTTTTAGCATGCAGTTTCAAGTATTTTTGCTTTGAATTTTAATGTATCTCTTATGACAAAGCTACCTTTCAAAGCAAGGCTCATTAAGCTAACCTCTTCAAAAGTTATGGCAGCATCAGGGGCTCCAGGAAATCCTCCACCAATATCCAGTATGGTGAAGTCAAAGCCAATCTGAGTCTAAAAGACAAGGGTTGTAAGCCATGTCAACAAAGAAGAGAATACATTAGCATAGTACAGAAAAAGGAATAATTAGGGACCCAGTTGAATCCTGAGTCACAGCAGGTACAAACAACATTCTACAGCTTTAGGCTTTTGGAGATGTGGGCTTTCTGTGATCCTAGGAGTTATTATTCCTATGCAACTCTTTAAATTACCAGCAGACTGGAAAAAAGTCTTCTTCTGGATAACTATGAGGGTATGAAGAAAATCTTGAAAGAAACACTTGACATTGTGTACAATTCTGATTAATTTTGAAATACAAGAAACCTTCTGCAGCTTTAGGCTTTTAGAGATGAGACCTTTTTGTGATCTTAGGATTTATTATTCCTATGCAACTCTTTAAATTAACAGCAGACTGGAAAAAAGTCTTCTTCTGGTTAACTATGAGGGTATGAAGAAAAATCTTGAAAGAAACACTTGACATTGTGTACAATTCTGATTAATTTTCCAATACAAGAGACCCATAATGACAATCTACTTACTGCAAGGTCAAATACACTTCGGGCAGCTAACACAGCTGTTCCATAGGCATTTGCATCGTAACAACCACTGCCAACATGAAAACTGATAAGGGGAGAAAACCATTTAGTTTTACCTTACTTAAAAATACTTATTAATAATTATTCCTTGATTGCTTTGTAAATAAGGTTAGGCTCAGGGAGTACACAAACTACACTCATCACCACTGGTTAAACCAGCTAAGAGAGGGCAAGTTGCTTTCATCATTGCCATTCTTTTTTACTAGTACGCTGATTAATGCAAAATAATGTCAACTTATATTTTGACATTTCCATCCCCATCTTTCAAACAGGGTTTCAAGAAATAGAAAAACAGTAAACAGCAAAGACTACAGTAAGAACAATATTAACCCTCTAATTTTTAAGGTAACACGTAAGTCAGGAATATACCAAACTATTTTTCAACTTGACATTAACTAAAGCTTTACCTCACTCCAATCACATTTAACTTCAAGTCAAAGGCAACTTTGAGAAGATGACGACATTGCTTCAAGGGAGCCCCAAATTTTATTCCTAGTTGGCATAGTGACTTGGAATCATCAGTACGAATTCGCAGAAGCAACCTGTGAGAAAAAAGACTTGTTTCTTATTGTTATTTCTCAAAATTTGAATTGCACTTACATGTAATTTGTAAATACGCTTATATTTAGACTTCCAATCTGTAAATATAACTTAAGATATGTCTTTTTTATCTTAAGAGGAATAAAGGTTGATTGATTGTAATAGCTGTGCCTGGTGAAAATAAATCATGAATATATATACATTTTGTTTTTAATGAAACTGACAGCATTATTCACCTGGCAGTGGGATACAACTTCTTTATTTTATGTAGTTCCATCTCATTGTCAAAAGTCATCAGAGAAATACCGTGTTCTGCAGAGAACCTGTAGATGTAAAATGAAAGAACTGTTAGTTTTCACACAACAAGGTACATCGTAGGTTAAAGGCAATCTTGTTTGTTTGTATTTTTTACCCCCTTGTTTGTGGCATCCATTGATAGTCAGCAAAGGAAGGACCTACTTTCTAAGATTGTGAACTAACCTTAGATGTGACGCCTGTTTGCAGGGATTGGCATAAACAATTTTTGAGGGTGGCACACCCATAGCTAACATTGTCTGCATTTCAATCTGCAAGGGAAATTTGATGTTAGATCTTGCACATCAACAGTTCAGAGGACCGAATGTCACGTTCATTAAACCAAAAAGATCCCTTTACCTTGCTTGCACAGTCAAATCCTATTCCTAATCCTGTCAACATTTTCAGGAGAACTGGGTCATTGTTACACTTCATTGCTGAAAGAAAAAAGTTGTCTCAAAAAGGTACTCTTACAACGCAGTAGCACTGCACAGTCCATATATTATTCCACTTGAAACATTACGGTAAGATCGATTTTTCTGTAAAACCTGTGACTGAATGTACATTTCAGCAAATCTGTAGGCTTCTTGTACTTAACCACTTATCAGTTTCATAACTCCTGTTTCCTTTAATAAACAACCAATTCCTACATATGTGGTTCTTAACACTAGCCCAAAAGGGTGATCCTGGTTTTTACAGTGCTGATAAGAAAGATTGATATAAGAAAGCCATCTAAATCTTGTTAAATTTTGGCCCCATGACATCAATTCTAAAAAATTCTCTTTAAACAAGTACAAGCAATTATAGAGAGAACCAGCATCGTATTTACTGCAAAAGAAAATGGCAGAGACAACTAGGGGACTATATTTCCTGCTGTCCTGCTGTTAATTACACTTGTCGTTTCTAACAGGCTGTTAGCAATGGAAAAGATGAAGGCTTTCAAGTTCTGAGATACACTGGCCATCAAATAAGCATATCTGCCGTTTGCAAAAAATTTGGTGCCCAACCTCTCTGATATTGTCAATCCACAGCAAATACCAAACATATCTTTCCTAAATACCAACCATAAAACGGCTCCACTCTTGGCAGCAGAGAAACCCACTTTTGGTGCTTGAGAAGAACATCGGCCAAATCCACAATGTAGAAAGCGTCATCAGTATCCTGTGGTAATATTTCAACAACAATAATTAAGCTATCAATGGGAAAGCAGAACTGCAACTGCATTACAGGTCTTAAAAATGCCTTTGTAACCGTTTAATGGAACCCAAATCATGGCATTACTATATGTCTTTATAAATTTCAAGGAAACTAGGGAAAATCATAATGACATTTCATGTTCACATTTAGTTTCAGGAATAATTCAGAACTTTTTCTAACATTATTAGTCATTTCTATGCCTGTAAAATTGGCTTGTAGAAACACTTTCCACGATATGATTACAAGTAAGTCAGCTGAAGCCCACAAAAGTTAACCAACTATGTACTGGACTGACAATCAATATAATGGCTCTTTCTGGCACCAAAAAGAACTAAGGAAAGGGGAAGTATGTTATTAAAATTTCATGCTTGTTATGAGAGTTTGCCAGACTTATTTTGATGAATGCATAAAAGGAATAGTTTTACAATCGTTTTTTTCACACTCCAAGATTTTCATGAATCTTGTGTGGATCAAACCAGACTTAATTAATCACAACACTGACTAATTGAAACATTTATTGGCCTGTAAAAACAATTAGCACTTCTTTTAGAAAATGGACCAACCAAATAACCTGGGTACCATCAAAACTCAGTCTAGTAAAAACTACCTACTAATGTCAAAGATGAAGTTGATTTTCCTAGATTTAATTTGTTCAGTTCTTTCTCTTCGACAGAATTTTATTTTGTGGATCACAAAAAAGCTCTGCATAGAGAACACCTGTAAAATTAAAATAGCATGGTTCTACATGCAAGACAGTATTGACAGATTTGAGAGGGAGGGAAGCCCATAACATACCTCTCTTCCTTCGGCACCCAGTGTCTGCTCAATAACATCCACACAGGATAAGTCATCCCTCACAACATTGAGACTGACGCCTCCATCAAGAACACACTTCATTGTGAATGATTATCACTGAAGGCTACAAAAAAATCGTGCAACTTGTTATAAATTACAAATTAAAAGACAAAAATTTAGTGACCTTTTCTTCTTGCACAATGTTATGAAAATTACAGCATGTGTGCAAGTCTAAACATTCTCATTGGTGTTTAAGCTCAAATTTTCAACTTTGATAGAACACTGCTGTCCATAACTGAAATAAAATGTAAAATTCTGGTTTCAGGCCCCAACTGCTTTTCAGCACCCCTGTTTTAAGACCAACTATTTTTCAAAAAGAAATTTTACTTTTTTTGTAAAATATAATAACTTGTGCTTTACTGTTCATTACTTGCACCTCAAAATTAGTTGTTTCACATTAGTTTTATCCATAATAAAATTATTGTTTTAGACTGTTTGTAGCTGCATGCTTTCTTTTTTCAGGAATTCTTATCTTAAAGTTTTTTTTGTCTATGAATGTGATGATTCCTAGCCTCCGAACGACAGATGTTTCTCCTCGCTCATCACCGCTAAGGGACGTTTCGCGAGGAGGAACGTCTGCGACTCAGCGACAGAAATTCCATACTGATGACGTAAATCAATGTTTACATAATAAATCCGGTAGTCATGGGGTTCCAAATGCAAATTTGTTCAATTTTAAGTTTCTCCTGGTCAATTTTGGTGAAGTGTTGTGTTCATCTGCGCATGAACTCCAGCAAAACTCAGACGCTACTTTTAGAGAAAACTATATTCCACAAATATTGACTGTTTTGTTGGAGATTCATCGCGTTTACACTTGACCTTTGCAGCCTTTTGTCTTTTGTCTGTCATTCGTAAACAATAGCTAAAATAATGAAACTACTCTGTCGACCAATTAGCTCTTCTGACCGGATTCCGGACAGATTTTGTGTCATCAGTATGGAATTTCTGTCGCTGAGTCGCAGACGTTCCTCCTCGCGAAACGTTCCTCAGTGGCGATGAGCGAGGAGAAACGTCTGCCGTTCGCAGGCTAGATGATTCCCTGCTATGATTGGTGCCATTTCATCACCAGTAAGCTATGGTCCTCACTGAACAAGTCACTTGGTACTTAGTTTCATCCCTGGACTATTTTCATTCTAGGCACTTCTTGCCTCCCTTGAAATGAGTCGACATTCATTCCCACTGAGCATTGGATAATATTTAACCAGGTTTACCCTTTGGTTTTTGATATATTTTGCTTTGCTAGATTCAGTTACACTTGAAAATTTAAGTTATCAGCTTGTTCTGAGATTTTTCTTTTACTTTGCTAGTAAATTATTAAAAATCATTCAGCCCATGACTTA